TTGAGCGCGCGGAATGCCTGACGCTGCGCGAACTCCCATGTCCACGCGACGTCCTTCTTTGTCAAGTCGTTCAAGGGACGAGCCAGCCTAGCAAAGTCCTTGATGAAGCGACGATAGAAGTTGGCAAATCCAAGGAAACCGCGCAGATCTCGCAGGTTACGAGGATCTGGCCAGTCGCGCACGGCTTTGACCTTCACCGGGTCCATGCTGACCGAGCCCTGACGGATCACCAGCCCCAGGTACTCCACCTCCTCCCGCTCAAACTCGCACTTCTCAGGGCGCAGGTAGAGGTCGTGCTCCTCCAACCGCTGAAGTACTTCGTGAACCAGTCGACGGTGCTCCTCTAGGGTGTCCGTGAAGATGAGGATGTCGTCCAGGTACACCGCTACCTTGCCCTGCGCAATGAGATCCGCGAAGATCGAATTCATCAGCGCTTGGAAGGTGGCTGGTGAATTGGTGAGCCCGAAGAACATAACCTTGGGTTCGAACAACCCTCGGTTAGTGACGAAGGCAGCCTTCCATTCGTCACCCTCCTTGATCCGGACGTTGTGGTATCCCCAGCGCACGTCGAACTTGGTGAAGTACTTCGCTTCTCGCAGCCGGTTCACAATGTCTGAGGCGAGAGGAAGCGGATAGCGGTTCTTGACAGTGACGTCGTTCAGCTTCCGGTAGTCCTGTACTAACCGGAGCTTCCCGTCCTTCTTCTTGACAAAGAAGACTGGAGACGCCATGGGGGACTTAGAGGGTGTGATGTATCCCTTGCGCATGTTGTCCTCCAGGAACCGATCAAGCTCCTCCTGCTCGTTCAGAGGCATGGGGAAAACCTTGGAGCGGATCGACTCAGGCGCATCAGGCTTGAGGTCGATCGCGTGGTCGTAAGGTTTCGACTCAGGGAGACGCTCTGATTCAACCTCGGAGAACACCTTAGCGTGGCGTCGATACTCCTCCGGGACCATCTCCTCGAACGTCTTCTGAGGTTTCCCCTTGTTGGCAGCCTCTGCCAGCTGCGTCGAATAGGTGTAGCCTGCCGCACACCACACCTCCTCCCTCGCATCCTCCAACACTCCTGCCTTCTGCCACTTCCGTCGCTGTGCCCGGTTCGCGTTGATACGCTCAAACGCAGGCCGTTCCTCCTCCTCCTCGTCCGTCTCAATCCGCATCTCTCCCTTCTCCCAGTCTATCTCCGGATTCACCGTACGTAACCAAGGCAAGCCAAGAATCATGTCCTCTGGTCCCAGATCTGTAACTAAGAAATCGAGACGCTCGCTATATGTACCCATACCTAACGTAAGCCTTGTGAAATGCGTAATACTGCCTGCTTTGTTCTTTGTACCGTCGATATTGTGCACTGTGATCTCCTTGAACAACGGGTGCACCGAAATACCATGCCTATCTATGAACCTTTTACTAACAAAAAGCGAAGTCGCACCAGAGTCAATCATTGCTGCGGTCTTAACACTCTTATCGTTTCCTTTTACTATCACGCTAGTGCGAAAATGCGAACCGGATCGATTTGCTTCAGGTATAGTACAGCTATCTACGGTATCGTACGCGCTAGGTACAGGTTCAGGGAAAGAAGAAGAAGAGACCTTGGGTGGGGGCGCCGCTGCCGCAGCTCTTAAGCGGGCCCGTTCGGAAAAGACTTTTGGAGCAGTTCAAGCTCGCCACGGAGGATCTTCTGCTGCTCCGTCATCTGCTGCATCTGCTCGAGGATTGCGTTGATCCCCTGCACATTGGAGTTCGCCGTTGAGGTCGACGCGACCGGGCTGTCCTCGGTGGTAGCTGCAACGCGCTGCTGACCGCCCAAGCGTGGCCTGCCCAGTGCCTTGCTCTGGCAAACGCTCTCGCGATGGCCACGGCCTCCGCACCAGCGACAAGTCTCGTTCGAGTGGTTGCCGTCCTTCTTCTGGTGGTCGGTCGCACCACAGCCCCAGCACCTGCCGTTCATCGACCGCCTGAACTCGCTCAGCTTGGCAGCATCAATGTCCATCGCGTCGGGGTCGCGGGAGGTGCGCATGGTCGAGGGAGTTGCCACGGATGCGAACTGCCCGGTGGCGGTACGAGGGACAGTCAGGGTCGCAACAGACTTGCCCTGTTCGCGCGCACGCTCAGCCTTGCGCGTGCGAATGCGCATGTCGAGGTCCGTAGCGACCTGAACAAGGTCGGGGAGCGCAGCAGTGTTGCGAGCAGTATGCACCAACTCATCTTTGATCTCCGAGGAGAGGTGCTCGTAGAACCTGTCGCGGAGGTCGGTCTGGCTGTAGCCTGTCCTGTCCGCGAGCTCATTGAACCGCGCGTAGTACTCGACGACGGAGAGGCTACGCTGGTGAAGAGCCTGCAGGGCTGCCTTCGCGTCGACTGCCTCGTCGGCCGTCTCGAATCGCGTTTTGAACGCCGCTCTGAAGGTCGTCCAGTCGTTGTTGAACACGGCCAGCCCGTTACCGATCGTTTCCAGGTAGGGGGTAGCCCAGATCGCAGCGTCATCGGTGAGGAGAGTGAGAGCCGACTTGATCCACTTCGCGTCGTCGCGATCGAAGCCGCCCGTGGCGTTGGCAGTGTTCAGATGGCCACCCATCTGCATCGCGTAGACTTGGAAGGATGCTACGAAGCGGCGTGCATCCGAACTGGTCTTGCCGTTGTACGGCTGGGGCTTGTTCGCGACCTTTGTCGCGTCCTTCGTGGCTTGGGTGTTGACGTTCGAAGCCACCGTCGCATTCGTCATAGCTTGGGGAAGGGTGGTGGACAGGTTCTGGAACGCGGTTGCCAGATTTGTCACCGCCTGCGTAAGGTTGGCCTGTCCGGCAACCAACTGCTGCTGGTTCGCGGTGAGGGCCTGCATGAGGGCCTGAAACTGCTGGGCATCCATGACTAGGGGTGGGATAGGAGTGTGGGTCTCGTCGAATCTAGCCCTGCGGGTCGTGTAGGTGACAGGGGTACGGATATGAAGACACGGTTGGTCGTCGCACTCTCGCCAGAGGAGGTCGTTTCGCTCGTTGCGGACGATGTGGACGTGCCGGTTGTCTTCAGTGTCAACCGCGTGCTGATGACCTGCGCAAGCCACCGTGCTCTAGGAACCAGGATACGCTCCGGGGAAGTGAACACCTATTGAGGCTTCCGGGCAGCCAATCAGTCGGGATGACCAACTGCGCGGATAGAGTCGTCGGCCGGGAGCGGGGTAGTGTTCTCAGAGTGTGATACTCGAGCTCAACAGGCCCAGGGAGACTGCGATACGCTCAGAGCCTTATAACTCCGGCAGGTATGCAGGGTAGGGGAAGAGCGGGGCGAGTGGCACAGGGTGGGGACGATGCTTGCGCGAGTGGGGGCGATCCGATGCTTTGATGCCAGCACTCACTGGTTAGATCTCGACCTAATGACGCGGGAGCGGGCCGCGAACGCCAATCGGAGGAGAGGGAGGGGTGGATGGGTGTAGATGGAGGTTGGATGACCTCGATGTAGTGGTGCAGAGGCGTTGCCGGCACTAGGCGCAAAGCAGACGCAAACTAGAGTCACACGAGGGATGTCTAGCCCACAAAGACCAAGTTAACATAGCTCTACATACATACAGGCAATCGAGATACTCACCTAGCCCACAAAGACCAAGAGGTCGAGATGAGGGCTAGGACACGAAGTGCAAGTGCTAAGAGAGTCCGCGATACGGGCGCTTAAGCGCGGGAACAACCTTCCAATATAGTAGCAGGCAGAGAAAAGGCAAGGAAAAGACGAAAAATAATACGTAGGGCGAGTCCAGAGTCCGTTCCACGACAGCCGCCGTCCCGAGCTTGAGTTGCATACCGACAAGCGCCGCGAGGTCTTTGTCTTCCCAGGCTTCGACGTCGGCTCTGTTGCTCCTGTCGTCGGCTAGCTTCGGGCGCGTCTCGTGACCGAGGACGATGTCCGAGATCTTCGCGAGTTTGAGAAGCCCTGAGAATTGCCGACGCCACCGGGGATAGTCGCTCGATCCCGAGAGTGGCTCAATCTTCGCCCGGAGCAACGAGTTGATCTTGTCGGTGTTGGAAGTCATAGTGAGTGGAGATGTCAAGCTAAGGTGTGTACAAGAGGCTGAGTGGATACTGCTTTAGAACGAAGCAGGGCTCATAACCTGTAGAAGTTCGCGCAGGTTCGGGGAAGGGAAAACGAAGCTTGATTAGCGCTGTATGCGCGCGCGCTGTAAATAGTACATGACAAGAACAAAGACCTAAGAGTATCGTAAGGCGTGATAGACTGAACTAAGAGATAAGGAACTACAAAGGTATCATCCGAACGCATAGCGTAATCTAATCTAATCGTAGCCGGCGCTTCCGCGCGTATCTTCAACAACCAATACGGACTGACTGATGCCACTAATGCCACTTACAACTTGTTTGTTGATTTTTATCTCATGTATCGCTCGTGAGGGCGGAGCTATATTATGTATAGGCAGTACGGGACGTACAGGTTGGCGCATACAGGGATAACGTCTCGGCGCACCGAGGACCAGGCCCGGGCAAGGGCGAATCCGCCAAAAGTAGGGAATGCGAAGCGCATATCAGTAGCTAATTGGTAACGAACGAGGGGGAGTAATAATGTACATTATGGCGACACCTCCGCGCGGAGCACGGTGGGGCATGCCGTCAGGCCGGCGTGACAAAGTCGTCGAGACTAAACTAGGACCGCGCAGACCGAAACCTGCCAACGCGATCCCCATCATACGAACGAGCGCGAGGTGGACCACGTGGTTCGTGAAATCTTGCGAGTGAGGATCGCCGCCGTGCCGAACTCACTGTCGATGACCGAGTTGCAATGCTAGAATAGACGGTTAGAAGTATAATGCCTCCATTCTGCTGATTGCATCGTTGTCAGTGGACGAATCGAGAAAAGCATTTCGACCGAGATGCTCACTTTGGTTCGCACATCATAGGCAGACGACACCGAGATGCAAGGTCCGGCGTTCCCATTAGTATTGTAGAAGCGTTGCTGGATAGATTTACAAACGACGTCGTCTCGTCCGGTCCATACCGTGCTTAGTAGCACGGCGCAGTCTTCAACGCTTCGGCCACCTTCACCACCTCTTCGTCCGCCCACTTCACCTTGTTCTCGTCCACATGTCCTGGGTCCTGCCGCGCCTGCTCGAGCACAACGAGCGCAAGGAAGAGCGTGTACCACAGCCGCTTCGTCTTCTGTCGCGCGAACAGCACCAGCGGGCTCCCGTAGCCCTCCACGAACGCCTCGCTCGGCGCCATCCACATCGCCTCCAGCAGCGGGTCGCCCCACAGCGCGTGCCCGACCGCCGCGAACGACGTCACCGCGACCTCCGCGTCCGCGCCCCTGTCGGGATCGAAGTCGACGAGCGTCGTCGCGTCGTCGCCGGTGAAGGTGACGAGCGACGGGACCTCGCAGTCGTCGAAGAGGAAGAAGCCGATCGCGCGCGACAGGCACACGCGCAGGTCCGCGTACGGCAGCGCGATGCCCGCCGCCTCCGCGTCGTCGAGCGCGCCCTCGACGAGCGGCGTGAACGCCTCCTGCCAGCTGTACAGGCCGTCCGCCGACTGCGAGGGGAGACCGAACCAGTCCATCTGGATGGTGTCGTGCATTCGCTTGAGGTACTGGCCCAGTAGGAGGTCGAGCATCACGAGCTGGCGTGGAGACAGCTTGCCGGAGGCGCGCGCGAGGGCAAGCGGGACGCCTTTGGGGTGCGCGAGGAGCAGGTAGGGGCAGGGAACGAGGGACCTGGAGGCGTCATAGTCGAGGATTTCGGGTGTGGGGATGCCGGTGTTGGAGTCGAGGATGAGTTTGAGGAGCTCGTGCACGCTCGCGAGGGAGTTCGGGGAGTAGTTTGTGGATACCACGGTCGACGTCGGTGCGACTTTCAGCAAGTAGGAGGTGCCGTCGCCGGTGCGCACAACATAAGAGGTTATGGGGGTGAACGCACTGTGGTCTCTGGATGAGTCCGGTGATGTCTGTCAATGGACTCAGGACTCACTCGAAACCGCTGAGGTGCTTGCGCTCGACCTCTTCGATGACCACTGATTCCCTGCGGGCCTTGCTGACAATCTTCGCTGCGTCCTCTGCCGTGACCGCGGCCATCGTGGTCGTCGTTGATCAAGAGGATAAACCAGGCTGCAACCCCCTCCGCGCGAGCACAGAGCAGCACCTCCCCGGCCCGCTCGTCCGCTGCGCGGCTCAGGCCATCGGTGCAGCAGGCCCAGCAGAGCGTTCCGGAGTGTGCTCCCCATTGCCCAATACCTACTCCAGCTCCTCCTCCTCCTCATTGCCGTTGCTCTGCACCCAGCCTGGTGTGTTCCCACCTGACACCTCAGCCCCGCCGCCGCCAAATCCAGGCTCCCAGTCCTCCGGCTCCTCCTCCTCCACCTCCACCCGCAACTTCCACTCGTACCTGTCCCGCAAGAGCTGAACCGCCCGTGTCGCCCGCTCCACCCGCAGGTCGTGCTCCACCCGTATCTGCTCGCACCCCCGCAGCACATCCTCGTATTCTGGGTGGCCACGACCGCGCGGCCCCACCACCGGCGCGAGTCCGAGCACCCCCAGCGAGCCCTTCGTGTGCATGCACGCCGCCAGGTGCCGCACCGCGTCGTTCTCAGCTCGCAGCACGTCCAGCGTCGGCTGCGTGCGCAGGTGGTGGATGAACTCGCCGTCGACCTGCGCGTCCGACAGCGGCGCGCGGGGTGCGAGCACGATCTTCTCGTACGGGTTGCCCTGCGCCGCGGTGCTCGCTTGGTGCGCGGCGGAGAGGGTCATGGACAAGCTGTGGGACTGGGAGAGGAGGATGTTGTATTTGGAGAGGATCTCGGGCCAGGGGGGCATGAGGTTGGCGCCGCCCATGGCGAGGGTGCGTTGGAGGAGCTGGATGGACTCGACGATCTGGTTGGTCTTGAACCGGAGGGACTCGAGCTGGCCGACGGGAAGAATTTTTATGTCGGTCGGCAGGGCGTCCGTGGTTTTTGAGCGGGAGAGCAATCCATTGAGACGGTTCATGAATGCGAGGACAAAGCGAGAGAGGGAGGAGAGTGAGAGACGCCCGACAACAGGCCGCTCCGGACTGCTTGAGACCCCACAATGACAAACAACACGTCGTCGATGATGGTTTACACCAGGCCAAACAAACAAAGTTCGCGGGTAAGTTTTGAAGATTGCGGTTGATCTTTTCGAAAGGAACACCGGTTGACGCGACCCCAACATTGACGTCCGCAGACAAATCCGTAGTAGATCTTCTTCGTCGGTCGAAGACAAGTATCACCTCTCCCCCATCGGTTCGTGCACCACAGCTGGGAACAGGATGTTGTGCGCACCGCCTGCTTTGACTACGGCCAGAGCTACAAAGGCGATCCGAAGTCCAGGCGTATATGAAGGATCTGAAGTGCATCTTTTTGGTTAACGGCCGGGCGAAGACTCTTTGCTTCTGCCCTGAGGCAGCCGGACGGTGCCCAAATTCACCTCTTCGACAACACTCTGCTTTGCGGTCTTCGATTACGAGAGTTTGAAGAAACAAGAGCGCGGCAAGCGCGACTGTCTTGGTCCGTCTCAGTAGGAACCATAATCGTTCATCTGCGACAGCGCGCAGTGTCCTCTGGCACCTCGTCTCTGTGCCGCGCTTCTTGTCGAACCCGTTGTACGTGCACACTGCTGGTGGTGTGGTATTCGCATGATGGTCGACGGTAGCACAAAGCAATCACGGCTGAATCCACAACGCCAGGCGGGCCCCGAAAAAATGCTCAACCCAGCACACCCGGACGGAGACCGAATTTTGGGGTGTCTCGGAGAATCCCGATCTCGGCCTCCCTCGGCGCGTCGAAATTCAGTCTCCGCTTAGAAGGGCCATGCTGAACTTTTTTGACACCCGCCTAGCGTTATGGATTCAGCTGTAATGCCACCGCCGCCGCGTGGTCTGAGTGAATCGGAACAGTACTTACTTGGTGGGCGACCGTGGGAGCCACTACGAGACGGTCGATAAGCGCCAAGAAAGCCAACAGGCGGCCGCAAGCGCGCGCACCTCTTCGTCCCGACCGCCTCGTCTCGGACAGTAGCCTTTCGTTGTCCGCCTGTTCGGTCGGTGCTATTGGGCCCGCGACTGGGCAGGAACGCGGCTGACTCGTTTGTCGCAGGCATTTCCCCCTGCCACCCTCGCCCCGCCCTGCGCCACGCCCTGAGCGGCTGACACTGTACGCCATTCGTTTTCCTCACACTCACTCGCTCTCCTCACACTCACTCGCACCCTCACACTCACTCCCTCACTTATCCATGGCTTCCGATGCTGCCAATCAGGCCGCCTCTCAAGGCTCTGCTGCGTCTGCCCCTCCTCTCGTCGACCTATCGAGCCCTCGCAAGGGTGGTCCATACGCCTCACGTAGTCTCGCCAACACCGACATTGACGTCCAGCCCACCGCCCGGATCGCTCGAGGTCTCATGTTGGAGAGGTCGTCCAAATGCACCACGCCGCTGACTCTCGACGAGTTCATGCGCACCTTGATGCCCGAGTTCGACGAGGGGGACTTTAACAAGGCGTTCTCCGCAAAAGACATCAAGAGCATCGGGGGCCGCTTCCATCGCAGGCTCAAGAACAAAGACCACACGGACAAATTGAACGTGGTTGAGAAAGACGTGAGCGCTGCCTGGGTACGTCTCCTCGCTTGTCGTCGTCGTCGGCTCGTGTCTTATGTCAATGTATGCACACTTCGACAGGCAAACGTCAACAAAAGCCGTCCTCTTTGCCCCGGATCCGTATTTGGCCTCTCCGAGAACTACCCCGACGTAGGAGAGCCGACCGGGTCGAAGTGCGACGGCCACTTCATTCACGAGCGCGACCAACACTCCATCAAAGAGAAGCGGCCCAACTGGGACTACCACCGCTTCACCGTCGAGTTCAAGCGCGGCGGGACCCAGAACGATCCTTGGGACGACGACAAGACGTACAACCCCGAGTCGACTGCTGTCTCGCGTAAAGTTGTCCGCGGCCAGCTCTCCTCCTACGCCGACCTCGTCTTCAAGCACCAACACCGCCTCTTCCACTTCATGCTCCTCGTCAACAGCGCTCGCTTCCGCATTCTTCGCTGGGACCGGTCCAGGATCGCGGTAAGCGAGGCGACCGACTACGCCAAGGGGGTCCGCGGCACTCGACAGCTCTTTAGGGTCCTCTACGCGCTCTCGATCATGACAGACAAGCAAGCGGGATACGACCCCTCTGCTTTCCGGCTCGAGCCTGGCTCGTGTGGGTGGGAGCGGATGAGCCACCTGGGCGACCCCACCAAGCACGCGTCCGACGTCGACCACGCTGAGCGTTTTGACTTTGCCGACCCCGACAAGACCACCTACCCCGAGAACCTCTACCATCCTCAAGACGCTTCTCATCACTCGCTGTTTGACACCGGCGGGATCTACAGCGACCCGAGGGCAAAGGTGACGTCGAACGCGCCGTGGGCCGACTGCGTCGATCTCCCCACATTCCAGTACATCCGGGCCAAGTTCAAGGCTTCCATTAGCGGCGATCGCCCTCGATACATGTTCACCATCAAAGGCAGGTACTATCTCGTGGGTTTCGCCGAGTTTGCGGCGGTGGGTCCGATCGGGCGGGGTACGCGCGGCTTCCCCGCGCTGGAGTGGCACACTCAGCAGTTCGTGTGGGTCAAGGATTGTTGGCACCCGTTCTACGCAAACACCGCAGTGGAGGGCGACATTCTCAAAGAGCTCAACGAGGATGGCATCGAGAACGTGCCGACGCTGGTGGCATACGAAGACTACGAGGGCGAACACCAGGTGACGTGGGTGTCCGAGCACAGCGACCACCTGCAAGCTGAAGCCGCGTCGACGTCGACCACGGAACGTCCGAAGGCCCCTCTCCCCACCCGCTCCCGCCCGCCGCACTCCCCGTCGCCCGCGCCGAAGCCACATGTGTACAAGCAAGCCCAGCCAGCCCAGCCTTCGACGTCCTCTTCGGCGCAAGGACCCTCCGTCCCCTCCCTTGCGGCGTCGTCTGGTCAGTCTGGCGTCAAGCGTCTCCACGGACAGGACGAAGCCAAGACATCTACACTGGTCGAGCCGCCTGACTACGTCCCCGGACCTCGCCACATGCGTCATTGCCGTCTCGTCGTCGCCGAGGTGTGCTTGAAGCTCTCGACGTTCGAGTCGTCTCAGCAGCTGGTGCAGACTATCTACTGGGCTTTTCGTGGTGAGTATTTCCCCAGTCTGCCCGCGTGCCAGAGTGAGCTGACCGCGGTCATCGCAGCGCATGCACAAGCATATGATGTCTCCAAGGTCCTACACCGCGATGTGAGCGCGGGCAACATCCTGATGTACCCCAGGATCTTCCACGCGGAAGGCAAGACTGCTTGTTGGAGTCGCGGTATTCTCGGCGACTGGGAGATGGCCAAGAAGATCACGGTTTCCGACGTATCTCAGCCCGAGCGCACTGTGAGTCGTTTCGATGTCGCATCTCGCACTTTTCGCTAAGGACGTTCGCAGGGAACGTGGCCTTATATGTCGGTCATGTGTCAGGACGATGCATCGTTGGGGCCGAAGGTCGGAGATGAGGTCGAGTCCTTCCTCCACGTTGTTGCCCACCAGGGCCTCCGCTTCGTGAACCACAATTGGTCGAAGGTCGACGTGCACCAGTTCTGCCTCCAGTACTTCGAAAGCCATGCCGGCAACCGGAGCAACATGCGGTCGAGCCCGTTTAAGAAGGAGTGCATCCGTAAGGGCGTACTTAACCATCCCACCGGAATCCTCGGTCGTCTCGAGTTTACCGCGGTTGGTGACGACGGCGGCGCGGCGGTACACCCTCTCAACGAGCTCGTCCAACTTCTCCTGAACCTGTGCTCGGCCCGGTTCGCGGTCCACCTCTACGAGGTCGAGCTCGCTGAGTACAAGTCCGCAGTGTCCCGACCTGCGGCCCAGGTCGCTTCGCAGACCACTCAGTCGATCAGCCTCTTCAATCCGATACGGAGGGTCGTCGCCGCCGCTGCTACCGCTCCTGTGCCCAAACTCCCATCGAACCCTGGTGAGCCTGTAGAAACGGACGCCGCTCTACTGGATGACCATGCGCATGTCCTGGACATGCTGGAGGGGTTCGCGTACCCTCCGCTCACGGAGACGGGCGCGCCGATGCGGACGTGGCCGGCGAACGACAGGAGCGCGGAAGACGCGCTCATCGGGTACGATCCGTACGCTGGCTTCCCCCTTCCGGTCGCCGCTGGGTTGAAGCGGACGTTGGTCAAGGCGCGGAAGACGTCGCAGGGGCAGTCGGCGGGCGCCGCTCACTCGCGTAGTTCGGATTAGACGTCGATGGACTGGGGGCCGTACGAACGATAAGTTGTGTGGACAGCTGTGTAGCATATTTCATCTGCGTGTATCATACAGATTTTCTGTCGGTTTTGCTCGGTCGCGCATCGTGTGATAAATCCCGAGATATGATCCTCTTCAACCCGTAAATACTTTGATTGGGACGAGGATTGCGGTCGGTTGGACCGCCGCCCGCGCTCCATTCGTTAGCGACTTTGGAACTATGTACACGGTTGTAGGACCAATCCTACAGATCTGACCTGCCCTCTCGACTTGGCGGGCGTTAGTAGTGATTGTCGCACCCAATCCGCTCACCACGGAGCCACGTGCCCCTGAGATGGGGATCCCATAGCTTGGCTGGAGTAGTCGGCTGTGCGTAGGCGTCGTGAGCAACGTCGCCACAAATTGAACGGAAAGACAACGAACTCGATCGGATAATGGTCTTGTTGGCGATGAGAGTAAAGGGCGCGAGTCATTTTCGGCCACTTGGAGGATACCGTCTAGCTAGCCTCAGATCACCGGCGTTGCTGGCCCAGCAGACCCTTCCGGGGTGTCCTCCTCATTGTTCATCGCCCAATACTTACTCCAGCTCCTCCCCCCCCCTCGCTGTCGTTGGGTTTCTCCCCGCTCAGCGTGTTCTCACTCACCCCGGCCCCGCCGCCGCCAAACCCAGGCCCCCAGTCCTGTGACTCCTCCTCCTCCACCTCCACCCGCGACTTCCACTCGTACCTGTCCCGCAAGAGCTCCACCGCCTGCATGCCCCGCTCTGCCCGCAAGTCGTGCACCCCTCGGATCTGCCCGCACCCCCACAGCACGTCCTCGTATTCCGGGTGGTGGAGACCGCCCCGCCCCGCCCCGCCCCGCCGCCTCCGCGTGCCCGAACACCCCCAGTGAGCCCTCGGTGTGCATGTGCGCCGCCAGGTGCCGCGCCGTGTCGTTCTCCGCTCGCAGCGTGTCGTCGGCTGCGTGGGCACTGGGCAGATGAACTCACCGTCGACCTGCGCGTCCGACAGCGGCGCGCGCGGCGCGAGCGCCGTCTTCTCGTACCGATTGCCCAGCGCCGCGGCGCTCGCCTGGTGCGCGGCGGAGAGGGTCATCGGCAGGCCGTGGGACTGGGAGAGGAGGATGTTGTACTTGGAGAGGATCTCGGGCCAGGGTGCGTTGGAGGAGCTGGACGGACCCGACGATCGGGTCGGTCTTGAACCGGAGGGACTCGAGCTGGCCGACGGGAAGACTTTTTGTTTCGGTCGACAGGGTGTCCGTGGTGGTTGAGCGGAAGAGCAATCCATTGAGACGGTTCATGAATGCGAGGAAAAGGCGAGAGAGGAGGAGGAGGGGCGCCCGACGGAACTAGATGAGAGCGCCGAGCGCTTTTCTCAGACCACGAACTAGTTTCCGCACAATAACAAACACCACGCCGTCAACGATTGGTTACACCGGTCCAAGCAGCCTGGCTGCATTCAAGAATCAAGTTCGTGAGTGAAGCATAAAAGGTTGCGGTTCATATCTTCTAAAAGAACGGCGGTTGACAAATGTTGGGTATGTACCTCCAGTGTCCTGTATCGACATCCTCGAGACGTAGCACACTGCGTACCAAGTGACATCGCGACCATGATGCGCGTAGAAGCAGTGGTCCAGCCGTCTGCACATGCGGCAGTGGCGTCCTTCTGTCTAAGTCCCGTCCTTTCCCCCTTTGCTGCATCGTTGCTCCTCTCCTCTCCCCTCTTCCGATCCTTCTGCATCCACTATCGAGGCAGCCAACTTAGATCCCTCTCCCCAACCACTACTCGCCGCTCAATATTCAATCCTCTACGATACAACGCGGCCGTCCCGATGAAGCCTCCCAAAGCGGAAGAAGCACCTTCACTGTTCCCGACCCATCCGCTGCACTGGTGGTCGCGCCCGACTCAAGATGGAGCCACTTGTTGAAGACCTCGACGAGTTTATGCGCGACCTCAGCTTTCCCAAGGTCGACGAAGAAAAATTCGCCAAGGCGTACTCCCGCATCGCCGACATCCGCACCCACTTTTTGAAGGTCTTCGAAAACGAGGATTACGAGGATAGGGACGTGACACAAGCCTGGGTAAGTCTCTGCCTTCATCCCCTGCGAGCCCCAGAACCCATTTCGAGTCGTCGTGTCGCTCTCCAGGCGGACATGGACGTCGCACATACCCTCTGCCCCGGTACTGTCTTCGGGCCCTCGGAGAACAACTACCGGCTCGGAGGGGCCGCAGGGTCAATCCGTGACATCGGGTATTTCGTCCAGCAACACGACAAGGAATTGGTCACGCCATCCAAGGAGCCCAACTGGGGTTTCCAGCGATTCACTCTGGATTTCCAACGAGGGGACCCCTTCGACGACGAGGCCGTCTCCCTTGAGTCCGAGGCGGACCGCAATCAGCTGCTTTCCTACGCCAACCTCGTTTTCAAGTACCAGCATCGTGAGTTCTTGTACATGCTCTCCGTCAATAGCTCCAGGTTCCGTCTGCTGCACTGGGACCGGTCTGGTATTGTAGTGACGCCGCCGATGGACTACACGGCTACTTTGGACGACACCAAGAGGCTCCTCAGAGTTCTCTTCTCCCTCTCACGGATGGACAACAAGCAAGCCGGGTACGACTGCACGGTGTCCCAACTCTCCCCGAAGACGCTTGGGTGACAACGCATGCAATATCTGGCAGATCTCAGCCCTGGATGCGACATCAACCACAAGCAGTCCCCCGAGTGTTTGGATCTGCCTTTCCCAAGCACCTCCGCCGCACCTTCCCCCAGCCCAATCCTCCCCCCGTCCATCCTTCCTTCACTCCCGATGGCGTCTGCGGTCGTCAGACTCTAGATGAGACCCAGTCCGACAAGCCACTATCCACGTTGTGGGACGACTCAGACTTCGACCCGCGTACTTTCACCTACATCCGCCAACGCTTCAAGGCATCACTCGTCAAAGGCCTCCTATACGTGGTCGTCATCACGGGGAAGTTCTACCTTATCGGATCTGCTGACTTCGCGCTAGACGGCATGATTGGGCGCGGCACACGGGGCTTCAAGCTTCATTGCTCTGGAGTGGCACACCCAGCGTTTTGTCTGGCTCAAGGACTGCTGGCATCCATTCTATGCCGACGCCGGTGTCGAGGGCGAGCTGCTCCGGCGACTCAATGAGCACGTTGAACACGTGCCCACCGTGCTTGTGTATGAAGACTGCGAAGGCCAAGTCACCCATCGAACTCGGCTCAGGTCGAACCTACAAGGTGCTGCCGACATCGCACACACCAAACCACACGCATACAGCGAGCTGTCCGAGTCCCCGGCACCACCGTCGTCGGCCCATGCTGCATCACCGACAGCCGGAACGAAGCGACTTCTCGACGAGGACGAAGCGAAGCGCTCTAATGATGAGACGACGACGGAGCTCGCCGGATGTCACCTGCGGCACTGTCGCTTGGTCGTTGCGGAGGTGTGTCTCAAGCTCTCCGACTTCGAGAGGTCGCAACAGTTGGTGCAGGTTTTGTATTGCGCTTACCGCGGTCAGTCGCTCGTTTCTCTGGGTGCAAACGAGTATTGACAGTGCCGATAGCTCACAAGACGGCCTACAAGCGCGGGATCGTTCATCGCGACGTCAGTGCGGGGAATATTCTCATATGTCCTGTCTTCTTTCACAAAAACGGCCTGTCCGCGATCATCCGGCTAGGTCTTCTCGCGGACTGGGAAGTGGCTAAGGATCTAAGCGGCCGCTCACAAGTATCGCAGCCACCACACACGGTGTGTGATCTCATGCTCACGATCCACCCTCAAGTTCACTGACGTATCTCAGGGCACGTGGGCTCACCTCTCCGTCGCCCGACAAAACGACAAGAACCGGACGCCGGACGTCGGGGACGAGACGGAGTCGTTCTTGCACGTCGTCGCGCATCAAGTCCTTCGGTTCGTCCACCACGACTGGGAGCAGGGGGATGTGCACTCCTTCTGCTTCGCGTACTTCGATAGCTGTCAACGCCAACCGAGGTTGCAGTGCAGTGTCACGAAGGAGAGGTGCATCAAGGAAGGCAGGTTGGGGCACCCTCAGGACTTCAACCTGGCTCCTCACTTCGGCACGAAGGACGGCCCATACCGTGCCCACCCCCTCAATGTGCTCATCGACGAGCTGCTCACGCTCTGCTCCGCGCGCTTGGCAGTTCTCCAGCACCAGCAAGTCTCAGAAGCACAGCGCCAGTGGCAGGCGCTTCCCCGAGTGCGTCTTGCCCCCGAGAACAGAAACCAGGGCACCACGCTACTCAAGAAAGCCGCTCTAGATGTCGTGAGCGACCCGGGTGAGGATGAGCCCGTGCAAGAGGCCTCCGTCGTCGGTGATCCTCCGTCCTCGCCCGAAGAAAGCGTCAAGGCAAAGGCGAAACTGCTGGATGACCACCGCTACGTCGAGAAGCGGTTGCGGCAGTTTGCGTTTCCAGACAGCATCAAGGGTACCGAGCTCTACGTTTGGGAGTGGCCGAAGGAAGACAGGACGGGCCAGGACATGCTGATGGGTTATAACCCAAACCAATTCTCGATCCCTCCGCCTCGGGCTGCCTCCAAGGCGAGGAAGACGTCGGAAGCCCAGTCGGTGAAGGAGGCTCGATTGAGCGGTCACTAGTCGGAGGCTATGGCAAACGGATGCATATTGTTTGTACTGTGCGGATACAATCTCGTCTAGACCGGTCTGTCTCGGAGCGATCTGTCGAATACCACCGTGCGGTGTGGGACAGCGAGGGTCGCAGGTAAGATATTTGCTTACCACAAGCGATGAAGCCATCCTCGGACCACTGTGTCTTCCTATACCTCTGACGGATGCAGCGTGTGAGGGCATCTATAATCTCAGTGCATAGCACTGCGACAAGAATGGTCGGGTCGAACCGCGGTGTAGTGCTAAGCACAACAAAGCCCTTCACTCCAGGCTATACGTGTTCTTCTCAAGCTGAAGCGCGGCGTAAAGAAATAATTCCTCGAGTGGCACTGGATCTACTCACCTCGACCTCGAGGTCGCGTCTGACTTTCCACTCCGCTTCGGCCTTGATGACGACGTGGACGTCGTCGAGGTCCTCGATGATGAAGTGCTCCTTGTCGTTCATGGTGAGCAGTATCTGCTTCACCGCGGAGTCGCTGAGAAGGAGCAATCAGAGATCCTGCCGGAGAGCCCACGGTAGCGCGACTAACCAAGTGAGGAGGATGCCTGTAAGTACGCGGGGGGAGCGCATGTCGTGAGCGACATCGCAATGGAGGCTGGGAGGGAACGAACCTCTTATAGCCTTCATGTTCCTACGCGAGCGAGGCACTGGGAGCGCAGGACACGGCTCTGAGATGGTGGCGGGAGAGAAGACGCGTGACCGGGCCTGACGCGTGGCTCGCGACTGGGGTCGTGACCGGGCCCGGAGACGGGGAGCGCGAAGTGCTGAGCGACGAGGGCAGGCCATGCTCCGTCGGTCTACCCACGTTCCTCTCTCTCTCCACCCCCACCCCCGCCCCCACCGCGCGCGCGCAGTGCTCAGGAGGCCACGCCCGCCCACTCCGCCGCCCTCGAACCGCCTCCACTCGCTCTCCGCCCCGCAGCGCCAGCCGACAGCACCAGCCAGCCTCCGATTCGACTGCGGACCAGAGCTCGGACGAAGAGCGATCCACGGACGACATAAGACGATGCCCATCCCGCCCGCGGTCCTCACCCCAGACCTCTCGTGAGTCCCCCGTCTGCCCGCCCCGCGACCACCTTTGCCCCTACCCCTGCCCCGCATCCACCCCCGCCCTGCACGATGCCCGCCGTCACGCTCGCCGGGCCCATCGCCACCCAACCCCCCGCCGTTGCTCATGCCGCGGTCGACAGGACGCCGACCAGCGGTGTCTACCCGGCCCCGCTCCGCGCGAAGGGTCAGAGCATGCCCGGCGGCCCGCTCGTCGTCTCCAAAGGTGCGCAGGCGTCGTCGTCCACTGGGTCGCGCTGCGGGACGCTGACGAGGAAGCGCATGGAGTTCCCGAGCCGACTTCTGTGGTCGAAGGTGCGAAGCGTCTCGCCGCCTGGACCGCCGTCGACAAGCACATCCTCCCGGAACACAAGGTACGCCCCTCCGCTGCATCAGCGCTGCGCTGCGCTCATCGCCCGTCCTCTCCAAGGTCATCGGTATCGGCTCTGGTACAGTCCTGTTGCAATCCAAGACTTTGTGATGGTTTTCACCACTTGTGTCTTCAGGTTCGACCGTCCCCTACGTCGTTGAGCGCATCGTCGCCCAAGGCCAGGAGCTCAACAAGGACCGCGTCTTCATCCCCACCGGTGCGTCCGTGCCTGCGTCCCCGACAAGCGCGTGCTGAAGCGGGTGCGCCGCAGGGTTCCAGTCCAAGGAGCTCATCGTCGAGGCGCAGCTCCTCCTCGGCGACGTCGACCAGTACCCGGTCATCGATGTCACGATCGACGGCGCGGACGAGGTCGACCACGACCTGAACTGCATCAAGGGCGGCGGAGGCTGCCACCTTCGCGAGAAGGTCCTCGCCGAGGCTGCTGATACGTAAGTCCCACTCTAATCCCTAATCTCCCGATGCCCGCGCTCCGCGCCCGAAGCGGGACGCTGAAGTTCGTTTGGACCCGCTCTTCCCAGCTTCGTCCTCGTTGCGGATTACCGCAAGAACTCGGACGTGCTCGGCACGAACGTGAGCCCGCGCCGTTCCTCGTGTCTGTCGCATCCCACTACTGACCCCGACGCGCGCAGTGGAAGCAGGGCATCCCGATCGAGGTCGTGCCCTTCGCGTACAAGAAGATCCTCCAGAACCTGCACCTCATCGGCTCCCCGACCGCGCAGCTCCGGATGGCCAAGGCCAAGGCCGGCCCCGTCGTCTCCGACAACGGCAACTTCATCATCGACGCGCCCTTCCCCGAGGAGCTCATGAAGGACCCCTACACGGTGAGCCCGTCGTCTTCGCTCGCGTAACCGCCGCAGTGCTGAGCCGGATGCTTGAACAGCTCCTGCAGCGCATCAAGATGCTCACGGGCATCGTCGAGGTCGGCCTGTTCTGCCACATGGCCAAGTCGGCGTACTTCGGGAACCAGGACGGCAGCGTCACGGTCAAGTGGCACAACGGCCGCATAGAGCAGGTAGCCGGCACTGCTTGAGGGTGCCACAACGTAGAGAACGTGAATGACGAGAAGAAGGTAAGATCGGTGACCCAAGCCTTCGGGGAGCAGATTTCTGACATTGGTGTTGTTGCAGAACTGCTTGTAGATCTCATGGACGGAGGTAGACTGTACGAACGAATGTCTCACAATAAATAAACCCCCTAGAATTGCATGATATAGCATGAAGATGTAGCTTTGAAAGTCGTCCGCGAGTGCTTTTCGCTCGGGGACTGATAAGATCACGTGAAGGTATGCCGTGAGCCACAGCCGGTTGTGGGTGGGTGCTGATTGACGACATATAGGGTCGCTTCTATGAAGTTACACACCGATTATCGCCTCTGCCAACTAAACCACCCAGTCCCGCCGGACGCTCGCGAGGCTGCACCCGCTGCGTCGACCCGGTCAGTGGCGTGTTGAGCCTCTCAACACCTGCCAAAAGCAGTAAGCACAAACAACAACAAGCACAATTGAGCCTCTGGCCAAGCACGAGGCGCGAGGACCAAGCGGCGGTGAGCCACTGGCCTCGCCCGGGACAAACAACCCAACACACCCCGCGTCGGCCCGTTGCCTTTCCGGGCAGGAAACGCGGACGAGTGGCTCCCGACGCTGTTTGGTCCCGCTTGCAAAGTTACTGTACATGGCGAAAAGCAATCCGTCTCCTGCACTCCCCTACGCGAAACCAATCCATCAACCCCCTCCCACTGGTATAAAGCGGACGCCCCCCATGCCCTACGGAACCCACCCCCGACCTTCGTGGACGCCTCCTCGAGTCCCCCGAGCCTTTCCCCCGCCCCCGAAGCATTCCTCCTCGTCCCCGAGCCACCCATCCACACCCACCCATCCACAGACGCCATAATGCCTGCCGTCCGCGGTTCCAAAGCCACCCGCGTCAACAAGTCCTTGAAAGTTAAAGTCGCGGAATCTGAAGTCACTCGAGCCACCAAGTTCTCGAACGGGTGTTTCAAGGTGTGCACTGCCCACTCCCCTCATACCTGGACCACAATCCTTACTTTGGCTTGTCTTCTAGTGCCCCTACTGCGACAAGGTTCCCGGTAATGACTGGTTCCGTCATGTCAAGACACATTGCCCCAGGTGAGCCCCAGTGCGCGCCGTGCCTCATCCCTCCACTCACCCGCCTCTCAGCGACATCCCGTGCGCAATGCCAGGCTGCGACGCAGTATTCCGGCAGATGCCCAACATGCGCGCCCACGTGAAGGCTGTGCAGTGAGCACCCTCCTCTACCTGTTCATCCCTGCACGCCGCTCACGCGTGCGCCTCAGCCGCCACGAGCGCAACATGGTCTGCGACCACCCAGTCGTCGACGCCGCGGGGGTACAGACGACCTGCAACGTGGCCTACGCCTGGGAGAAGGGGCTCGAGAACCACCGCTTGCGCGTCCACAACTGGCAGCGCGGCGATGCGAAGCACGCGACATGGAAGAACGACGTCGACGCGCGCAGCCGCCGCGCGCGCCGCGCGACCGAGCACATCGCGGACCACGAGCCCGAGAGCTGGGGCCCCATCTACCCGCCCGCCGCGCCCTCGGCCGTGCTCGCCGCGAACGTCCTCGCGCACGGCGCCGCGTCCGAGATCCGCGTCCAGCCGCACGGGCTCTGTGCCCTCATCGACCTCCTCCCCGACACCCCTGGTGGCGAGCTCCCGCCACTCCCCCTCGAGATCCGCCGCGCGGCCAGGCTCCCCCTGTTCGACCACTTCGCGTCGCCGTCCCCGCGCGGGGAAACACCCGCGCTCGGGTCATCGCCGTGCTCTGCCACGGCCTCGCCTGAGCTGTGCACGCCCCCAGACACCGTCGCGCGTGTCGCGCTGAAGAAGGACGCGCTCGCGGCGCCCGCGCCCGCGCTGTCGCTGTCGCCACACGCCTGGACCTCCTCGTCGCCTAACTCCTCCCTGCCCGCGCTCTCGCCCTCGATGCCGATGTACTGGGCGTCGCCCGCGCCGGGCGCGCAGTACCTCTACGGGGACGATGGCTACCAAGTCTCCCCCACGGCGTACGCGCAGGACTACACGCTGGGCTGGCAGGAGTCGTACCAGGAGTTCGAGCAGGGGAGCTCGAGCTCGAGCTCGCGCGCGCTGCCGATGCACGCGATGCGGCCGAATGGGCTTGGCCTCCAGTTCCAGTGAGCGCGCGCGTTCTTCGCTGTTTTCTCTTGTGGACCTTTCTCTGTTTCTCTATCCGTCCGGGAATCTCTCGTGGTCTCCTCATCGCATCGCATTTTCTGTTCTCCTCTTCCCCTTCCCCTCCCCTCCCCCTCTCCTCTCCTCTCCCTCGCATCATCGTCTCGGCGTCTCACCTCACGGACTCTCACATACCCTCCTGCATCGGGGTCGAGCTCGCGCTTTACGCCCGGCTCCCCATAGTGTAGCGTAGCATCTCCATCTTCCTCTCTAATCCGCGTGTCGTTCGGGGCTTTGTACACCATAGTAGAAGCGGCAGCTGCAATCTTAGACCTGGAGGACCACCGCCACTCGCGGCCTCCATTCGATTGTCTTTGGTTTTTTGTGTGCGCTGTGGCCTGCACTTTCGTTTGGGGCGGCGGGCGCTAGTAAACAACGTAGTTACGGTGCGCGCTTGTTTCTGGTCCTGGGAGGGTCACGTGTCTCCGCACATCATGCCACTTGAAGCGGGGGAGCAGAATTCGTGCGCATCTTGACTTCTCCGTCCACCTCTACCAGCCTCTGCCATGCTTCCCCCCGCCGTCTCCGCCCGCCTTCACGTCTTGCGAACGTCGGCCGTGCTCTCCCCACGCTGTGGCCCTCACACCACTCGCCTGCTGTGAAGTGTTCTTCACCGCATATACTCAGCAACATCCACTCCCCTATGTGCTTGCATGCGCCTCCGCTGAACAACTTATTTCTAGTTGTCGGCCATTATGCCCTGCAACGCCGCGAACCAAACACCAAGCGCGTCAACCTCTTCAAGGTGCAGACATCGTGCTAGACAAAGGCTCACGAGCGATAAACCTGTACGTTCTCACTAGGCCTCAAGCTCAATGTTTAACCAGCACTAGTGGCCGGTTAACATGGTCTCGAGTTGGAGCTGAGAGTCGTCTATTGATCTTGTCTTCTACCTTTATGAGAAAACCCGATTTCTCGTCGAGTTACAGTCCATTGGTACGCGCACGTATTGGTACGCAAACGCCAAGTCAACTCGAGCCACTCGTGATCAAGGAAGACGGCCCGTCAGGTTATCGCCCGCTCTCACGGGCCGCAGGGTTCTGAAACTTCCGTCCAGCTGATAGGCGGGTTCTCCGCCATGCGATGCCTCCCCATTACGGACAATCCTCCAGTCTTCCTGCTTCCTACTGTCTTGAGGAATTACGGCTCGTGGTCCCGTGCTTGCTGTAAGTCCACATGCTCCCGCTCTTCCTGAACCCGGCTCTAAATTCAGCCCGCACCTACTTCAACAATCGACCATCTCGCTTCGCTCTCGGTGAATCATTCATAGGGAAGCCTCATCATCACGCGGTCGTTCCTGGCCTAAGCCCAGACGTCATTATCATTATCTTCTCCGATATAAGACGGCCCGCCCACCTCCCGGTCTGCAAGCTGCCCGCCATGCGCGCGCTCACACTCGCGCTCGCCGCGCTCCTTTCTGCGCTGGCTCTCCTCCACCCCAGTGATGCCCAAACACCGACGCTCGGCCTTGCCGACGGCTTCCTGTCCTTCGACACTGCGGACTTCAAGGTGCAGCTCGTGAAGGACTCGCAGACGCTGTACTCGTTGCAGACGAAGGACGGGTTCGATTTCATCCCCGCGGACGTGATGGACCAACGCCAGTACGACGGGAACTACCACCTTGGCGACCTCACGTTCCGCGCGCGCGTCGTCGGGCAGACGGCGTGGACCAACGGCGACACGTCTTCGGCGCGCAAGAACGTCACCCAGCTCGCGGCGTCGGGCAGCACGCTCGCTGCCGCCCACCTGGCGCCCACCCTTCCAGGCGCGTCGCTGCTGAACATCACCCGTCGGTGGGCACTCGAAGACGGGGAGCTGCAGCTGCTCTTCGACGTGACGAACTCGCAGTCGGAGGCTGTCGAGATCGGCTCGCTCGGCGCACCGCTGGAGTTCAACAACGTGCGTGGTGTGGCCACTGTACGCTGCGTGTCCTGACTTGTCAACAGATCTTCACAGACCGGACGGCTGCCGAGACCAACACCCTCTGCAGCCTCTTCGACCCCTACATCGGACAAGACGGGGGCTACGTCCAGGTCACGCCCCTCCTCGGCACGCTCCCCCCACTCCTCGTCCTTCCCCTCGGCGGCTCTCCCCTCGAAGGCTGGCGTTTCCTCCCCGAGGACGAATCGCAGCCGCTCGGCTACCAGTCGCAGACGTTCGAGGGCCTCTACGAGTGGCAGTTCCACACGCTCGCGTACGCACAGGACGAATGGGCCGCCGTCACGCCCTGGAACGCCCCCACGTCCGCGGTGCTCCCCCCGGGCACGACGCGCACGTACGGCCTGCGCTTCGCGCTCGCGCCGTCGATCCGCGCGATCGAGGACACGCTCCGTGCCAAGGGGCGGCCCGTCGTCGTCGGCGTCCCCGGCTTCGTGCTCCCCGCGGACCAGGAGGCGAAGCTGTTCGTGAACTACACCGCCGCGGTGCGCGCGCTGTCCGTGGAGCCCGCCGGGGCGCTCTCATGGACGGCGGACGCGGACGGGGCGAGCCCCGCGTGGACGGGCTACACGATCACCGCGAACGGATGGGGCCGGTCGCGGCTCACCGTGAACTTCACGGACGGGACGTCGACGACGGTGCACTGGTACGCGACGCACGCGGCCGCGCAGGTCGTCGCCGACCTGGGCCACTTCCTCACCACGGAGTCGTGGTTCGACGACCCCACGGACCCGTTCAAGCGCTCGCCGAGCGTGATCAGCTACGACAGCTCCGTAAACGCGGTGGTCAGAAACGATCCGCGCGCGTGGATCCCCGGGCTGAGCGATGAAGCAGGGGCTGGTTCGTGGCTAGCGGCCGCGGTGAAACAGTTCGCGCAGCCGAACGCAGCGGAGGTCGCGAAGATGGAGCGCTTTGTCAACGAGACGCTGTGGGGCTCTGTGCAGAACAAGAACGGTAGGCGGACGAGTTGTCTCGTCTCGTAGATTCCCTCCGGTCTGACGCTCGTGACACAGGCACGGTGAAGAAGTCCGTCTTCTTCTACCAGCCCACGCTGGTGCCCAACTACACGTATCCGTCGTCGATGGACTGGACGGTCTGGTGGTCTTGGAACGAAGCGTCGTCCTACGCTACGGACCGCGCGTATGACTACGTGCACGTCATCGCCGCGTACTGGTCGCTGTACCGCGTCGCGCGCAACTACCCGTCCCTGGTCACGACGCACGACTGGCGTTGGTATCTGAACCAAGCAGTCCTCACTGTCGCCACTATGACGAACGGCCGGGTCGGGTACGCGGATGTTGGGCTGATGGAGGAGACAGTGATCAGGTATCTGTTGGATGATCTGCAGCGCGAAGGGCTCTCGACCAACGCCACCCTCGTCGAGAGCCGTATGAAGGCGCGGGAGTCCATATGGGCAGGAGAGCAGTTCCCGTGCGTCTTCCATATTCTTGTGTGTACATCCCATCGCCTAATTGTCTGCCCGCGTCAGGTTCGGATCTGAGATGGCGTGGGACTCTACTGGGCAAGAAGGCGTGTTCGCGTGGGCGACCTACTTCAACGACACCACGACGGCCACGAACGCGCTGAACTCCATCCTTGCGTACCAACCATCGATCCCGCACTGGGGCTACAACGGAAACGCGCGCCGCTACTGGTCCGTCCTTCTCGTCCCATCCTCTCCTCAGCTCCCTACTGAGAGCGTTTCTATCTCGCAGGGACAACGTATACGGCGGAAAGCTCCAACGCATCGAGCGCCAGATCCACCACTACGGCTCCGCGCTGAACGCGATCCCGCTCCTCACCCGCTTCCGCACCACCCCCGCGGACACCCACCTCCTCCGCGTCGGCTTCGCGGGCTCCTCCGCGCCGCTCGCCTCCGTCGACGCGCGCGGCTTCGCGGCCGCCTCCTTCCACTCCTTCGCGGACACGCTCGCCTGGGACGCCTACTCGGGCGACTACGGCCCCGGCTTCGTCGGCCTCGCGCTCGAGGCCGGCACGTACCTCGTCCGCGACGCGGAGCTCGGCTGGCTCGCGTTCGGGGGCACCGTGCGCGCGACGACGGCGGCGACGGTGCGTGTCGCGGTGCGCGACGCGGTGCGGCGGCGGGTGTTCGTCGCGCCGCTCGGGGCGTGGCTCACGCTCGACGCGGGCGCGTTCGACGAGTTCACGTTCGAGCCAGCGGCGCGGCGCGTCACGCTGAACATCACCGCGGCGGCGTCCGGGGTCCAGGGCGCGGCTGCGGCTCCGCGGGCGCGCCTCGTCGTGCAGAACACGGCGGACAACGGGCTGGGGGTGCTCAGGCCCACCACGAAGCTTGCCCAGGACGCGGGCGCGTACGTGATTCCGTTCGCGCATGGAGTGGCCTCTGTCACCTTGACCCTTTGAGTGCTTTATGTTTGGAGGGTATAACGACGAATACGGTGTTGGGCTTGTGTCTGATAGGCGAGCGACAGAACCTGTGATTTGGTTACTGGGAACATAATGCGCAAGGTGGGTGGCGATGGCAGTATTTACCCCGTAACACGTGCGAATCGACGAAGCCGACATCCGCCAATTGCTTCTCCAGAAAGTCGGTCCATAGGGAAGCAGGACCCCCGAAAATGGTAGGGGAGGCCGGAATCAGAGGGCTCCAGGGTAGCCTCTGGTTTGTCCGGATTCCTGGCTGCAGAGAGGCTTCATTATGTCCGGAAAGTTTCCGGCCTCCGGCCGGAGGGGTGCGCGATTTGTCCGGACTGTAGTATAAGCGCCCAAATTCGCTCGAGCTCAAAATCTCTGCTGTATAGCAAGAACTACAGTGTCCCACGGGTCCTTGAGACGCGAAAAACATTCCGGCCGATATCTCTGCGTTTTCGGGTCGGCGGCCACCACGTTTTGGCATTTACATATCTCTACTTAGTGGCCACCTCAATGAATATTTTCGGGTGGATACGATGTGCGAGAGACGAGTTCGACAAGATATGACATATGGTCCCGAAGTCCGCACCCACCCCTCCTTGAGACGGCCCATTTCGGGCAATAGATCATAGATCTTCCACGGCGCGCGTTGGCGCCTAGTCACTTGATCCATCCGAGTCGTGGTCGTGGTGCTCGATGCCGTCCTCCTACTCGTCCCCCTCACACGGGAGTTCAAGTCTGTGATGTAGTTCGCTCATTCAAGGTGAGGTTTCTGTGCAGGACACGGAGAGGCCAGTCGACGCAGCACAACGCGACACCGTGTGAGAGTGTCACGTGGTAGGTGTATGCCGGCCCAACAGACGCCGTTGACCCCGGAATCCCGGGACATGCCCGGCATCACCAGCCCTGTGATATAATCACTTGAAATCTCGCAGAGAGAGAGCTAGAGGTAATGGAAGTCATGCCTCGCATTTCCGGAGTTCAGGATGTTTCCATACTCTTGATGATATGCCATTTAAGTTTGCTCACACACTCGGAAATGCGAAAACATATTCTCATGATTTCAACCGGCTCTGGAACCAGCTGGGATCATTACTCTAACTACAAGGTGCATTGTTGTGCACCGAAAGTCCATTTTTTCAACAATTGTAAGCATGTACAAGAGGAGTCATCGCGGTCTGTCTCAAGGACCCGTGGTGTCTCAAGGACCCGTGGGACACTGTACGTAGTCTGTGCGTGTATACATAAATTATGAATACAGAGAAATGTTTCCGCATGATATCAACGTGTGTACAGGGCTAGGGGATGACTGTGTAAGCCATGGTATGTGTCTCGACTCTCCAATACACCAGCAGAGAGTCCGATCATGCCTGAGGTTTCGCTCCCTTCCGCTTCCGAGTTATCTTAGCTTGATTTCCGTCTTTCGCGCCCGCAGAAGCATCGCCAAGCTGTTCCAAAGCACCGAGCTTAGGGGGTCTTGCATTATCAGTACTAGAGAAGTGTGAAAATGGTGTCATGTGAGCTGCATGTGCATCTTCAGTCAACTTATGCAGTCTTATGCGCTCAGAAATGTTTCCCTAGAGTTGCAAAGCCTCGAGAGTAGGGCGAAACCGCCAGTCAATATTAATAAGCGCTCAGCAGACCCAGGCAAAGCGCTGGGCACTCGGACTTGTCTGGGTCTATAGGAGGCCAGTGGCCGATGACAGTGTGTGCAATCGTTTTTAAACCATTGTCGCATGCTCCATAAAATGTTTTGGGCTCGAAAAACCGTGCGAGAGAGCGGTAATGACCAGGCTGAACGCGTCTGGCGCTAATGGCGGGGAGGGCAAAGCACCGACTGCCACATGCTATCCACGCCCCCATGTCACTAAGCCAATAACATAGATTCTGAGTGCAGAAACACTCGTTACAACACCTCAAGCAAGCATCGTTTTGGGGCTTCTCTAAATTAGATCGTGTCTGGTGGTTTGCTTGCCAACATCATTTGTCCGGACAAAGGTTCCAGCCTCCCCAACAACCCGGTCAGATTTGTCTGGATGACCTTCCGGCCTCGACGAGCGTCTGGGGCCGATTTGTCCGGATTCCGATTCCGGCCTCCCCTACCATTTTCGGGGGTCCTAGGGAAGCCCGTCTCGACGTGGTTTCGAACATATATACGAAGGCGTCGCACACAAAATGTCTGTTTAGCCAAGAAGAGCGACAGGTCACTGGACCTGCGCGGCCCGTCTGCGTACATACCATCCACCGAAACACCGCGGCTTGCCTCACACGGTCCCCGAGCCCGACGAGTCCTCCCGCCGTTCGTCCTGTGCGATCTGCGAGTCCGACTCGCCCGCGGGGACCATCGAGAGCCTCGTGACGGTCCACTCGTCGTTGGCGACCTGCGTGTCGGAGGGACCGTGTCGGAAGACCATCTACGACAGCAGGTTCAGCTCGGATGCCCGGGCCCTCGCACGGGCGCGACTCGAGATCACCCACCGAGCCTAGAGGGTTTCCGTTCGGGGCCGCCTTCTTCTCCCCGTCACCAGCGGCGGGCACGAGCATGTGGCTCGCGTCGAGCTCCGTCTTCCGTGCCTCGCCGCGGCTGCGGATGATGCTGCGCGTGTTGAGGCTGGAGCGAGAGTGAGGGGGGTTCGCACGTCGCACCGTCGTAGGAAGACTTACGCGACCAAGAACGAGTTGGAATAAACTGGACGGAGCGACCGGCCGTCAGCGATGGGGAGTGACGTGGAAGTGCGAAGGCGGCGTACTCTGTTGGCCGACGAGCATCGACGCTGCGAAGATGATGTTGTCGAGCGAGGTGATCGACTGAGGAGACTGTGAGCTGAGCTCTTCACGTGAGTGTGCAGTCTGAGACATACCAATATCATTCCGACAACGTTGAACACGCTGGTGCGGATAAGTACTTGAGAAGCTGATAAGTACTATTGGAGACCATCACGGGTTACCTGATAAGGAAACCTGGTGTTTCGTTATGAGCACTCGACTATGTCTTCTCAGCGCAGAATCTTACCAGAGCCGATGACGTAGAGGACGATGAGGTCGATCATTGAATTCGTGCTGCAGGTTTTGAATGGATCACTAGGAGTATCAATGACAAAAGCATGGTGTACTCACCGACGTGACCCCTCAATGCGCTGCTTATAGAGAATGTAAATGAGTGACGAAGTCAGCATGGCGTCGGCGGCCATCATGAGCGCCGATCCGGCTGTGTTCAAAAACTGCGAGACCCTATTGAGCGCGAATGGTAGAGGACTGGTTCCGAGCTCTTACTCCACCAGCGTTTGGCGCGTTGAGGATACTAGGCTCTTGGAACCTGCATACAAGTTTTAGTCGCCCGGAACTCCATAGTTCGGTTGCTGACGCTCACGCTTTTACTGAGACAGCTACAAGGCATTCGTTTCAGCACAATTCGCGGGTGAGACCTTCGAACGCACCGAAGTAGCATCCTGTTGAGGTTCATCAGAGACTCTCTCAACAGTAGACGGCAACCACAGCACGTACCACAAGCAGCCACATTCATGGCCATCTGTAGAAGGCTGTGAGTACCAAAACACCCAATCGACGCCGCAATACTTACAGCAGCAAGTACCACGCCCCTGTGACGCCGCGAGCCGACTTTGGTAGCGACTTTAGTTGGGTAACTACTTATAAACGCAAACTCCCTTACGGATCCAGACACGGCGAGCAAAGAAGCTGAGCGACAGGTGAGCATGCGGGTTGCAGGGTTTCGCGTTGAACGTACGCACCTCTCAGAAAGCAAGTTGCAAAGCGACTTTGCGCATCGTCAGCATTGTTTCCACCGACAGCTAATGGGAAAGCACGTACGCCTACTACGGGTACAATCTGCCATAAAGATGTGATCGGTTGGCAGTAATCCCAGAAGGAACCGGATTGCGACTCACGGCTGCAGACCTAAGACGAATTATGTACGAGTGAGTCACGAGTCGTTCGACCAATTGATTAAACCGACTCTAAGCCGCAGCTTACCAAGGGTCGCGAGCGTTGAGGAGGCCGAAGTTGAAGGCGTTGGTGATGAGCGTCCAAAAGCTGTCAGCGGTAGAATGGCTGGGTGTGTATTTGGAAGTTTAAGACTAATGGGGGAGGAACATACCACACATCTATCTCTGCAACTACGGTGAAAGATTGCAGGACGCTGGGAGCATGTAGTCATTGACTCGTTCTCGACCGAAAAGAACGGCGCCTCGCTTACACCACGGCGATGACCTGAACGTGGAATACTTAGTTTTCAATACCTCAACGCGCGCATAAGGACGCCTGTACTGACCCAGATCTTGAGATACAGTGGGTCTGAAGAGTAATGGCGGAAATAGCCAATGGTTTGTTGTAAGAGCATGCCTTCGAGCCTAGTATCATGGCCCAACGCCGCAAATGTCATCCTCAGGGAAAGACAATAGTAGCAAACGATACTCACAGAGTAGACAAGATTGTGCCCAGGAGCCAGGCGCCAAAACCCACCTTGTACTTGTGAAGAAGGCCATCGAGGGATCCGAGTGGGAGCGACATCTTGGCCGTCGCGGGTGTGATCACTCGCCGAGCGGAGCTCGCGAGGCTTTAAAGGCCTGCACTGAAATAACTACGGCGACTCCGATGTTGTGCAGCGCTCATCATGTGGCGCGGTGGATGGACATCCTTGATACGTGTATGACAGTAGGTTCAATGTGATCCCGAAAGCAATGCGGAGTAATCGCCTACCTGTAGCGATCGTCGCGGAGCGGAACGCGGTCCTCGTAGGGGAGTTGAGTTCGATATCAAGGGTTCTCAAGGGCGATGCGCGTGAGCCTTGTAGGGCTTATTTTGAGTGGACTGGTTCCGCTGCGAGCGTTCTCTCTGCTCCCGATGGATGGTTCCTAGAAACATGGCCCTTCTGTGTTCCGTACACGGTCCAAATTCAAACTACCGGGCTCGTACGGCTGGATGTCCGAGAAGAAGTGGTAATAGTTAGGTGCTACAAGTACTGCGACTCGGCGCGGTTCCTGGAATAACTCGCCGAACTTGCAAGAATTCGGCGGGGCACGTGTCAAAAATCGAAGATGGGTGATTGTTCCCTCACCAGTATCTGTTGTGGTTGGTGGTACACGGGGTGTGTTATTCTGCAGCCATGGCACTAGCATGCAGCGTAGCATATGCCAGCGGAGGCGACAATCCAACTGATCGGGCGCTTGTTTGCGGCAACTCCGCACGCACAACATGAACTCCGCTAGGCGGGACGTGAATATTTGCAAAACCCGGGCGCTACACTCACTCGCGCGCTCGACACAGCCCACCGAGCCTGCGGCCTTTTCGATCACACCGAGGATGGCGGAGCGCTGCAGCTGCTGTCTTCGACGGACACAACTCTCCTGAATGTGCTCTTTTGTGGTCTTCGTGGCCTCGGCGTGTCTTGGCGAACTCCCATGGTGAGAGCTCATGAGCGTCCCGGGGGACGTGTATTCTCGTCCCCATCGCGAAGCCCAGTCGCATGCGCGCTCGCAACCTTTCATTCCCGCCCCATTGTCGCCGAGGCAGTCCGCGACGTTGAGCTCCTCCGCCAAGATGACTCCTCCTGAGAGCGCATTGTCTTGTCTTGCCGCAAGTGTTCTCGCGTGGATCATCTGGGCAAAGCTCCTCAAGTCCCATCTGTCACCCTTGCGACAGCTCCGAGGGCCGCCGACCCCCAGCTGGTTCTACGGCCATGTCCACCAGATGACCCACGCGCACAGCGTCCCTCTCATGCAAACATGGCTTTCCCAGTTTGGGCCGAACATCTTGACCAGGTGGATGCTTATGGTGCGTGTACATCCAGCTACTCTGTACAATCGCTGACGCTTGCGCCAGGAACCTGCTCTGTGGACGGCAGACCCTCGCGCGCTGGAACACATCCTCCACTCTCCCAATTACGTCAAGCCTTGGGAGGCTAGGGTCTCCGCTTCGCGCATCATCGGCAACGGTGAGCGCGTTCAGGTGCTACGGCTTCCCTTCGTCCTGACAAACTTGGTGCAGGAATCATCCTCGCTGAGGGCCATGACCATCGAAAACAGGTGCATTCGTTTCGAGAATCCATGGTCCATTAAAATGTGTTGATCTAACCCTTTCGGCCACTCTTGCGCAGAGACGAGTTCTCGTCAGTCCATCTCCATAGTAATCCCAATGTAGCCTCCTCACCATCTGTGCAGAACCCGGCCTTTGGACCGATTCAGATCCAGGCATTTACGGAAATATTTTTAGAGAAAGCCAAAGAAGTCTGTAGATGCACTTTCTTGTCGAAGCATTCACGGTTGAAACCTTTTTCGACAGCTTCGCGATATATGGTCGTCTCGTGCATCATCCAGCGGAGAGCCGGTAACAGTCAACGTGGTCGACTGGCTCGAGCGCACCACTCTGGACGCGATAGCTGAGACGGGTGCGTGGCGTCTCGATTTGCCTCGTTCTCTGAGTGCTCACCTGGGTCACGCAGGCTTCGGACTCCATCTTGATTCCTTGAATATGCGCGAGACACCCAATGCGTTACAGCAAGCGTTTCATGATATTCTGAGCGTCCCCCCTGAGGTGTCCATTTTCCGACTGCTTATGGACATGGTACCTCAGCTCGATTTCTTTGTGAGTTGCCGCGTCCAAACGGCCCTGATTAGTGACCTCACCATACGATCCGCAGCCTGACGAGCGGACAAGATCCATAAACAATGCGCGCCGCATGATTCGTGACATGGGTCTGCGGTTGGTTGAAGAGAAGAGGCGCGAACTGTCGTTCAAAACCGACGACACGCGATCTCCCCAACCCGGTCGTGACCTGATCACCTTGCTTCTCCAAGCGAACATGGATCCTGACCTCCCCGAGGATCGGCGCTTGAACGAAGAAGAGATTTTATCGCGTATGTGTATCTTTCCCCTCAACCATGTCTCTTTTTAACACCGTCGTCTCAGAAATACCGAGGTGAAGACACATCCAACGCGTCTCGACGCCCCTCTGACCTGCCATGACAGCTTCCTCGTCGCTGGCCACGAAAGCTCCAGCATGGCCGCGACCTGGTGCTTGTTCGCTCTCGCGCAAAACCCTACGGTCCAAACCACGCTGCGCAAAGAACTTCTCGCGATCCCCTCCGACACGCCTCCCCACTCCGACCTGCTACGTCTCCCGTACCTCGACAGCGTCGTGCGCGAGACCCTCCGCCTCCACGCCCCCGTCGTCTTCACCCTCCGCGCGGCCCTCGCGGACGACATCGTGCCCACGAGCGCTCCGTTCACGGACTGCCACGGGACGACGCGCCACGAGATCAAGATCGCGCGAGGCAACCGCGTCGTGCTCCCCTTCCTGCTCGTCAACCAGTCGAAGGCGCTCTGGGGCGACGACGCGCTGGAGTTCAAGTGAGGACCCCACGTCCTGTCCATCCTGCCGTCCACTGACACCGTTCCGCACTCTGACCCGGCGCTCCCGACAGACCGGAGCGGTGGACCGCCCTCCCAGAGGCCGCGTCGAAGCTCCCGGGGCTGTGGAGCAACCTGCTCACGTTCTCCTCCGGGCCTCGCTCATGTATGGGCTACCGGTTCGCGATATCCGAGTGCGCCCGTCCGCCCTCTGTGTTCTGTTAGGGACGTCTGGCGCTGACCGGTTGAACCCAGGCTGAAGGCGCTCGTCTTCACGCTCGTGCGCGCGTTCGAGTTCGAGCTCGCCGTGGACCCCGCCCAAGTCACGCGGGTCGGGATGCTGGTGCAGCGGCCTGCGATCGTCGGGGAGCTGGAGAAGGGTGCGCAGCTGCCCATGCGGGTCCAGCCTTTCAGGCGCGACGATTAGGATTGAGGTCCCAGCGTCTTTTCTCTTCATGTACGGTACGCCCTCGTGTGACACAGGCCCCAATCGTGCTCCCGCGCGAAACGGCCTATCAAAATCGGGACAGCTGCAACGAGTAATAAGCTCGCTGGGATCCCGTCTAAACCAACAGGTGCGATCTACCGTGTTTTTTTTTTCGTTTTTCGCCCACCTAGGTGTCAAAAGTTTGTATAGGTACATGCACATAGGTGATATATTCTGCGAGGGATTGTTCTTAGTGATCACACAGTGGATTCATACGTATCGATGATGTAGCGGACGAATAACGCCCAGCGGCGTTCCAGCTTCTCGTATGCCTCTTCCTTCTCCGTGTCGTCGAGGCTCGAGAACTTCGGACGTCGAGTTAGACTCCGAATCGCCAGAAGCGGGCGGGACGCAAGGCTCACCGTGATACTGTCCCACACGAAGGACCGCAGCGTCGCAACACCTGCGACTTCACTAGCCATGAACACCTGGAAGAAGTCAAACGACAGCCCCATGTTGCCAAATACCGCTGGGTCGTCAGAGCACAGCACGACGTGTACACCATGGTTGAGGACAGCAGGGAGTGGATGCATGGGCATAGAGCCCGTGAACCGCAGAATCTCGTTCCTGATGATATCCTTAGCGGCCGTCTCATGAGAACGATGGGGCACACTCACGAGATAGGGCACATCTCGATGCAAATACCCTTCTCCTTACACATCTCCATAAGACTCGGATGCTTGTAAATGGACAATCTGCGTCCAAGAACGTGAATCAGTGCGTATGCGGCCATTCGCATGAGGATCGCACCCATGGCCGATGCGCTTCGTGCCTAGCAGGATGGCGTCGTACAAGTTGAGGTCAGCCGGTGAACCATCTCCGCACGTTTCCCCGGCATGGAAGATGAACGGGACATGGACGCCTGTTTCCTTTTGCCTCTCCACGAATCTGGTGAGAGGCTCGTAGTAGTAGATGAGGGGCTTCAGCGAGTCTTCACGGCCGACAAGGTCGAAGCCGGCGATGAGATGGGGGAACTCCTGGGCGAGCGCGAAGCAGTCATCCAAGAACCAGTCGAGCTCCGCTGGTTCGCATATGCGGAGGGTGCAGTAGATGATGCGCGCGCCGATGAACTCGTCGTCGCGACCTTGAGCGTGCATCTGTGTGCGGACTTCATCCACGACACGTTCAAAAACCTGGACCCAAACTCGGTGAGGCAGATTTTCTTCGCCGTCTTCGCCGCGCATATACCTCAGGTAAGGCGGATCAGATAGCGGGCGGTGTGCGCACTTCGGTGACTCACTTGTCCCAGAAATTCACACGTGGCTCGACATACGAGATTCCATCGTCAATGGAAGATAAGAGCAGCTCTCGTATGTATTCCGTAAAAACTGGCAGATTGAAGATGATACCCTACGAGACGTGAGTGAAAACATAGATGCCGCGTCGATAGCAGAATACGAACCCAGGATACGTCGAGAACCTTTTCGAACCTATCCCATATCTACAGTGTTGCACAAATCGGATCAATTGTTATTTATCAAACCACCACAAATCGTGCGCGCACCTGTGCCCCGGTGTTGTGCGTACGGTATGCTTCCGAGGGGTCGATCATCTGAGAGCCATTCACCCACCTGTCGAAGCCCGGGGGACCTCCAAGAGTCTGGTCGAAGTTGTTGCGCGCGTTCTGGATGGGGACCCACGACCCTAAAACGTATTGCGCGTCCGTGATGCTTGCAATCCGAGTCCGCTGGGACTGTGGGAGGAGGCGGAATTGAGGGAGCACGGTCTTGAGGTTGCTGGGGGTGAGGGCGCTGAAAATGCGGACATGCATAGCAGGCTGCCGAAGACCGAGCTTCAGGAGAACGTCTGTCCGTACGGTCGCGCCCAGGTGCGCATGGAGCAGCCCTCCCTTGGGCATCTGAACAGAAGGATTGAAGCATGAGTGGTGCGGGTCAAGGCGCTGCGTACCTTGCTGATGATGTCGAAAACCTTCGTGCCGATGATCGTCTCCTGAGCTGGTACGATATGAAGTGGGACAGCGAATGAGAGTCAAAACCAACGTACCGGTTAAGAACTCCATCCCTGGGAACATCTGCTGAGATCCGTGCGGATGGTTGGACTTGCTGTCCAAGCCCCAGACTGACTCCGCCTCCGCTGCCCGCATGCTCCTGAGGATCTCATCCGCGCAGCGTTCATCTGGGGTGAGGCTCTGAGAGGTAACCGTGTCCGGACGCAGGGCCCTATCCTTCTTGATGAGCTTCTCGCGTTTCCTGAGGTAGGCTTCCGTTGGCATGGAGAGCGGCAAGCTGAATGGAGACTGCGGTTGTGATGCGAACGCGAGGGGACCACAAGGAAGTGCTGTGGGGGTGAGGGAGAAGTGTGTTGGCGAGCCAGCAGTGGTTTTATATAATTATCCCGTTGGCAGCGTGACATCGGCCTTGCGAAATCTCGCGCAGCATCGCGAGAATCGGAGCAACGGTGCAATTGACCATGCGCTGTGCGTTCCAAAGTCGAGTCAACTTCATGGGCCACGTGAGGTACGAAAACGGGAGATCGAGGACAAGGTAACAGCCAAAGGTCCGCGGCGCCAGCGGGCGTGCTCCGAGACCCTCGGAAAGTGGCTCTTCCGGGCCGAAGGGTATTGATTGTGGGCGTCTAACCGTTGCAGCCTTCGCGAGAAGCCGCAGCAGTGTGCGAGTCACTTCAAAACGTTCACGCTTCACGCGTCCACTGCACCTGGGTCAACCTACGGCTCGGGCGCGGTACGCTCTATACACACTCTCCCCCGCCGCGCGTCCATCATACCGCCCGCAAGGTACGTAAGCACGGATCGTTCACGGAGCGCGAACAGCTATATAAACCCCGTACAACCCTCTCAGGTCATCGATTCGCCATGTCTGCCGTGGACGTTCGCAAAGTCTCCATACTCGGAAAGGACTCGATCCACTGCGGCTTTCACCTTGTTCCCTATATTGTTCAAACCGTTCTTGATACCCTCCCATCGTCCACCTACGTCCTAGTAACCGACAGTAACCTCGCAAACCTCCACCTTGCCGCCTTCCAAACGGAATTTGAAGACGTGAAGACCAGCGCCCGCTTCATCAGTCATGTCATCGCTCCCGGAGAGACCAGCAAGAGCCGTGAAGGAAAGGCGGAGATTGAGGATTTCCTCCTCCTGCACAAATGCACTCGCGACACTGTCATCCTCGCGCTCGGCGGAGGCGTCATCGGAGACCTGGTTGGGTTCGTAGCGGCAACTTTGTGAGTCCTTTTTTTTGGCATATATGCGCCTACCAACTCCTACGAAGCATGCGGGGTGTCCGCTTCGTCCAGATCCCAACCACCCTGCTCGCGATGGTCGACTCGAGCGTTGGCGGCAAGACCGCGATCGACACGCCTCACGGCAAAAACCTCATCGGCGCGTTCTGGCAGCCGGAGTACATCTTCATTGATGCGGCGTTTCTGGAGACTTTGCCGGCGCGCGAGTTCTCCAACGGCATGGCAGAGGTCGTGAAAGTGAGTGCATCCTCCGTTCGCGTCGTGTATATGCGCATATATGTCTTTGCAACTTGGGAAGAGCATTGAAGGGTGCATATATGCGCCTTCGGAGCTCGCCAGTGGCATAAAAGAGTGCATATATGCGTCCTTTAGAACCTGTGCATTATCTTTCCTGCTTGTCCAATGCGCATACGGGTCCCTCTGTTGTGCGGCTCCTATGTGCGCGTTATGTGGTGCAAACAAGTGCTGACCGCTCCCTTCAGACAGCAGCGATCTGGAACGAGACCGAGTTCGCATCTTTGGAGTCCCGATCCGCTGAGATCTTCGCCGCCATTCAAACTCCTTCGAGCAACTACGCGGGACGTACTGAGAAGACCCGCTCCGAGGCACAGGAACTCCTCCTCTCCGTCATCGCCGGCTCTATTGGTGTTAAGGCGCATATAGTCACCATCGACGAACGCGAGACCGGGCTCCGAAACCTCGTCAACTTCGGACACACTATCGGCCACGCCATCGAGGCCGTCCTTACCCCGGTGATGCTTCACGGGGAGTGCGTCTCCGTTGGGATGATTCTTGAAGCCGAGGTCGCACGCCAGCTGGGCGTGCTCAGTCAAGTGGCGGTTGGCCGCCTCACGCGCTGCCTCAAGGCTTACAACCTCCCCGTGTCGCTTCACGATCCGCGCATCACCAGCCTACCGGCCGCGCGCATGCTCTCGGTGACGCGCCTGCTCGATATCATGCGCATCGACAAGAAGAACAGCGGGGCACAGAAGAAGATCGTCATCCTGTCGCGGATCGGAGCAACGTACGAGCAGAAGGCCACCGTCGTTGCCGATGCGGTCATCGCCAAAACGCTTTCGGACGCGGTCAAAGTTATCTCCGGCGTCCCGAGCCGCAGTCCAGTTCGCATGGCCACCCCAGGCAGCAAGAGCATCTCGAACCGCGCGCTTCTTCTCGCGGCTTTGGCGACTGGGACGTGCCGCCTCAAGAACCTACTCCACTCGGACGACACGCAGGTCATGATGAACGCGCTCGTGGAACTCAAGGGTGCCAAGTTCGACTGGGAAGACGGAGGCGAGACGCTGGTCGTCACCGGCGGCGGAGGTTCGCTCGCCGTCCCCGACAGCAACAAGGAGGTCTACCTGGGTAACGCGGGCACCGCGGCGCGCTTCCTTACCACCGTCTGCACGCTCGTCAGCGGCGACGGATCGCAGCGCACAGTCATCACAGGCAACGCGCGCATGAAGCAGCGCCCCATTGGTCCGCTCGTCGACGCGCTCCGGGAGAATGGCAGCAGCATCGACTACCTCGAATCCCAGGGATGCCTTCCACTCTCTATCGCCCCTGCCGGCCTCAAAGGAGCGCTCGTCCGACTCGCAGCCAGCGTCTCCAGCCAATACGTCTCTTCGATCCTGCTCTGCGCCCCGTACGCCGCGGAGCCGGTGACGCTCGAGCTCACCGGCGGCCAGGTCATTTCCCAGCCGTACATCGACATGACTATCGCGATGATGAAGACGTTCGGCATCGCCGTCGAACGCCTGATCGATTCTGTTTCCGGGAGGCCTCTCGACGTTTACCACATCCCGAAGGGCGTCTACACCAACCCCGAGCTATACAACATCGAGTCCGACGCGAGCAGCGCGACCTACCCACTCGCTGTCGCCGCGATCACCGGCTCCACCTGCACGATCAGCAACATCGGCTCTGCCTCGCTGCAGGGCGACGCGCGCTTCGCCAAAGACGTCCTCGAGCCGATGGGCTGCACCGTCGTCCAGACCGAGACCGAGACCACGGTCACCGGGCCCCCGATCGGCCAGCTGCGCGCGCTCGGTCTCGTGGATATGGAGCCGATGACCGACGCGTTCTTGACGGCCTCAGTGCTCGCGGCGGTGGCTTGCAACCCGCCGAAGGAGGGAAGGGTGTTGACGGACGGCAGCCGGGTGACGACGACACGCATCATCGGGATCGCGAACCAGCGGGTCAAGGAGTGCAACAGGATCAGGGCGATGATCGACCAGCTTGGTAGGCTTCCCCCGCGTATACCCTGAATCTCATTAATACCCCTCCCGCAGCCAAGTTCGGCGTGGAGACCAAAGAGTTTGACGACGGTTTGGAGGTCTACGGGAGACCGCTTGCGGAGCTGAGGGAAGGCGCCAGCGTTCACTGCTACGACGACCACCGGGTGGCAATGGCGTTCAGCGTTCTGGGAAGCGTCGTGAAGGACACCATCATCGAGGAGAAGCGATGTGTCGAGAAGACTTGGCCCAACTGGTGGGACGATCTCGAGAACAAAGTATGTCTTGGCGGCGATGTGTCCTGGATCCGCGCTCATACTTGCTTTTAGATCGGCCTGGAGGTCCAGGGTGTAGAGCTCGCATCTATGCAGGAGCTCGGCTCAACCAGCCGCTCGACGGGAAAGACTGACGCTTCAGTCGTCGTCATCGGCATGCGGGGCTCTGGGAAGACGTTCATCGGCGAGCTGGCCGCGAGCACTCTGGGGTGGCCGTTCCTCGATGCGGACGCCGTTTTCGAGCAGAAGCATGCGATCGGCGTACGGGAGTTCGTACACCAGCACGGCTGGCCCGCGTTCCGCGTCGCAGAGACCGAGATCCTTCAAGAGTTGCTTGCTAAGCACGGCGAAGGCCACGTCATCAGCCTGGGTGGCGGCATCGTCGAGACTTCCGGCGCACGCGAAGTCCTAAAGGCATACGCGCAGAAAGGCTCCGTCGTCCACATTGTGCGGGAGATCGACGAGGTAGTCGCGTACCTCGGAGCGGAAACCGCCCGACCCGCGTATGGCGAGCCTATCACCGACGTGTTCAAGCGCCGCGCACCGTGGTTCGCGGAGTGCAGCAACTACGAGTTCATCAACTACACCGGGGTCCTCAACTCTTCCCAGATCACGGCTGCCGACGACTCTGGGTCCACACCATCCGGTCTCAGCACCCGCGACGAGGTTGCTAGGTTCTTTGGTCACATCACTGGCGCACACACCAACTTTGCGGAGAACCTCGCTTCAGGGAAGAGGTCCTACTTCCTCTGCCTCACGTACCCGGATATAACCCCCGCCCTCCCTCACGTCCAAGAGATGGCCGCCGGCGCGGACGCGGTCGAAGTGCGCGTCGACCTCCTCCGCTCCCCGAAGGACTTCGGCACGGTCGGGCCCTACGCTCCCTCCGTCTCGTACGTAAATGAGCAAATCGCTGCGCTGAGGCACAAGACATCCCTCCCCATCATCTTCACCGTTCGCACCGCTTCCCAGGGTGGACAGTTCCCCGACAACGCGGAGAAGGAAGCCTTTGAGCTGTTCATGGCGGCGGTGCGCAACGGGGTCGAGTACATCGACCTCGAGGTATCCTGGTCGGAGAAGGCGATCACCGAGTTCCTGGTGCGCAAGGGACGCTCGAAGGTTATCGCATCCTGGCACGACTGGAGCGGCGCCATGGCTTGGGACGGACAAGCCGCGGAGGCGAAGTACAAGCTCGCGAACAAATATGGGGACATTATCAAGCTTGTCGGCAAGGCAAACAACTTGGAAGACAACCTCACGCTGCGCCAGTTCGTGTCTCGCATGGAGGCGGCGCCTGGCTCGAAGCCCGTCATCGCGATCAACATGGGGGTCGAAGGTCAGATCTCGCGTATCCTGAACACGACGCTCAGCCCCATCACCCACTCGCTCCTCCCGAGCAAGGCTGCTCCCGGTCAGCTCTCGTTCGCACAGATTCAGACTGCGCTCCACCTCATCGGCCAACTGCCTGCGAAGAAGTTCTACCTCTTTGGCACGCCCATCGCCCACTCGATGTCGCCTACACTCCACAACACCGCGTTCAGAACGCTCGGGATGCCGCACACCTACGAGCTGCTCGAGACGGAGAGCGTCGGCGAAGAGATCAAGGCCGCGATCGCCGCGCCGAACTTCGGCGGCGCGTCGGTCACAATCCCCTTCAAGCGCGACATCATGCCCCTCCTCGACGAGCTCTCTCCCGATGCGGAGGCCATCGGTGCCGTCAACACCATCATCCCTATCACGAAGGCGGACGGCTCCGTGAAGCTCTACGGCGAGAACACCGACTGGCGAGGCATCAGCCAATGCGTCCGCCGCGCGCTGCCGCCCACCATCCTGAAGCCCGAGACGGCGCTCGTCATCGGCGCCGGGGGCACCTCCCGCGCCGCGATTTACGCGCTCTGGAAGCTCGGCGTGCAGACGGTGTACCTCTACAACCGCACCAAGCGCAGCGCGCAGGCACTCGTCGACGCGTTCCCCGACGTCGACGTCCGGCTCGTCGACGAGCTCGGGGTCTGGCCCGGGGGCGGCGCGCAGCCGACGGTCGTGATCTCGACGGTGCCCGCCGCGGCGACGTCGCTCGACGAATCCGCCCCGGACACGATCTGCGTCCGAAGCTCGATCTTCTCGGCGCCCGCGGGCGGCGTGGCGATCGACATGGCGTACAAGCCTGCGGAGACGCCGGTGCTGGTGCAGGCGCGGAACGCGGGGGCGCAGTGGCGGACCGTGAAGGGCGTCGAGGTCCTGCTCGAGCAGGGCTTCCACCAGTTCAACCTCTGGACGGGGCGGCACTGCGCGAGGAACGTCGTCGCGGAGCGCGTGTGGACGGCGTACTCTCCGTAGACGGACGGGCTCGGAGTGAGCAGTAAAAAAGCAGAGTTTGCAGAGTCAAAGACAGTGTACTAGTATGTTGTAGAAATCTCGAAGTTTTGTACTCCCCCCTCCAATCGACCACGTCCGTGCGCTCGCGCGGAGGCTCGGTCTCGACGATCCGACCTCCATCGATCCCCGGCTTGAGGATGTCATGGATGAATACGGCGACCTTGGGGAGTGGAGAGGAAAGCAGGTCGGAGCGAGATTCCTTACACTCTGACTGATGACGGATGGGGCGTTGGACAGGTTATGTAGCGGAGTGGTTAGACTACACGTATGCGTGCCGCGAGCAGGTGGACATGCGGTTGCCAAGGCAATAGCACACTGGCACTGTATTACACTACCTAACATACACATGCTTCGCTCATATCGTCGTGCAACTGTGCCGGATGTTGAGCGCATAGCGTCTGGCGCTGGCCCGGGAACGCGACGGTGTGGGCGGCCTGCACTGCTGCGTAAGGGGGCACCTCTCTGGGTTTTCATTCAGCAGTTGTCCTCTTGCAACGCGGTGTGGGCAAGACATCAGCAAAGGGCGTATCTTCTTGCCACGCATCGGGGCGTCTGACCGCGCTTGGCGCTTCCTGATAAGGACTTGCCGTCTTTTGTCTGCTGGACGGCTGATGGTAATACATGACAATCAATTATCTGCTCTACTATTGCTTGCAGATCATGGCATATGGGAGATGGACCAACGTCTGCAAGACGAGGGTTTGACATGTATGGTAACGTATGGTGGGGTGGGAATACTGGTAGGCACATTATATATATTGCACATCCCTGAGGCACGGTGTTGTACATTCCGTGCACATCCTCGACACGGGGCTCGAGCATGCGCACAGGCGGGCGTGGGGGCGATAGGCGAGTGCGCGGCGCGGGGTGGAGACCCAGACGTCGACGAAGGCGAGGTTCGGGTGGGGCGGGAGGTGGTCCGCGTCCGAGAGTCGAGACGTCGTTCTCGCGGCCCTCGAAAACGAGGTGGCGGACACGGGGGAGGCGGAGCCGGACGCGCCGTCCTCGTGCTCGTCGTCGCGGGGGCCCATCTCCGTGTGGTCGCGGAACTCGAGGTAGGTGAGCGCGGCACGGTGCGCGCGGAGCACGCCCGGCTGGACGCGCGTGACGAGCAGGAGGACGAGCGCGGCGAGGCGCGGGAGCGCCCAGCGGTCGAAGCGCGGCGGGGGCGGGGGCGGGGCGTGCCGTCGGTGTGCGCGGAGGCGGCGGTCGAGTCGGGGCGGGGGCGGTCGGAAACGGAGAATAGTCCGAGTCCAAGACTTACCATGATCTGATTGCACTCATGATAGATGGAAGTGGGGGCCATTGCGCGCGATCAGCGCCCGCGCAGACAATAGGGCAAACAAGACGCTTCGGCGCGAGCTGCGCGTCTACTGAACGTCTCCCGCAACCGCCATCGTCGCTCCCGATGCCACTCGCCTCACAGTCAGGTATATGAAGAGCACATACCTGGTGCGATATCTCCCTCTCCCTCTCCTCCTCTCATCTGATCATGGTCAAGTTCCCCAGCCTCTCACAGACTGCACGTGTATGCAACGCCTGGGGCGAGTCGGACACGGCGACCGGGTTCCACCACACCCGGTCCCCGGGTGGCAGGTGGTTCAGAGAATGGGATCAGGCGCACATCGGTACGTAGCCCATTCATTCAAATGTGTCTAGCTGAGGTCCAATCGTGCGATCAGGCTGCCCTTGGTGCCTCCGGTCGGACTCACGGCAAGCACCCTGCTCCGGTCGAGCCTCTCGAAGGAGAGCCACATCCCGCCCCTGCCGCTCAGCCAATGCACCAGGTCCTCGTGCCGATGGTCCTCGTCGCCCCCTCGTCGTGCATTCTCTGAATGTAGAACAGCGAGAGTTTGAGTGAGGTCGACCCGACCAAGCCACGAGCTCGTAAAGGGCTCCTCAACGGCGCCCGCCCGCCTGCCCCGGGCCAGTTGATACTCAAGGTAAGCGTCGGTTTTTTACCATACATCTTAATTGACAGTTGCATATTGTTAGCAGGCTTACAAGGCCTTGTACGGCAACCCGGCGGCTGCGATCTGCGGCGATGCGGGTGGGTTACTCACTCGGAACTTGGAAGCAGCCGGGCCAGAAGTCCGTTGCGGAGGGGACGGCCATGGACGCCAACAGCTTCAGGCTGTACTCCGTCGTCGCTACTGCTGCTTTGGTGAGCTCCTCGGTCACGTCTTCGGGCGTCTTCTGACGTATTTTGCAGGTTCGCTTCCGATGCAGACTGTCCCCCGACCACAGGCGATCAGATGCTCGAAGAGAGTGACAGCAAAGAGGAGACCTGGGACACCGAGGAGCCTGTCGGCGACGCGTCAGGCGACGATTGACAGGTATGTATGGTATGCACTTGTCTACGGCAGCACTCGCTCACCGTCTCATTTTACAGATGTAATCATGTATGTTCAAAGTGCGGAAAGCTCGTGATTCACTTTCGTTCTTGTGTCTCCACATCTCCAGTAGTCTCGTATTATATTTTCCATGATCCGATAGGTTCTTCTGAATGATTAATGCGTGTTTTAATCGACCACTATCCAACCAGCGGCAACCTGTGTGCTACAAAATGCGGTCTTACATCCCAACATATGACAAGGGTCTAAAATCATTGTGTCAGATTACCATGTCGCCCCTTGTGTATGGTCGGACAACTACAATGCGTGCAGCCAGGTATTGCCATTGTCTCCCTCGTGTATTGCCATCGGCCCCCTCATGTATTACATTGTGCGGCGGGAGAAGACAATTGTCCGACCAACCGGCGTCTAGAAGGCGGTAGATTGCCATGCCAGACGACCGATGGCCGTCTACGGCTACCACCCTGTCATACGTGATCTGTCTTGCGATTACTTACCATGCAATACGGCCGTTGATCACGCACTGCGATGCATTATCTTCGAATCCCCCGTTTTGCTGATGGAGGGATACCCACAGGGTGGGCCGGACGGTGCATGCACCGGGCCGGTTTGTCTAAGCGGGATTCCTCGGCGCTTCCAGCGGTGTTCACACGGCTCAATTCACCAACCTCCTCCTCCTCCTCCATCACCCGCGTCGTCTCGAACTCAGTCCCTCCGTCGCTCTCCTCCTCAACGGACACCCTCGGACTCGCGTCGGCGGACTTCCGCTCGCCTTCGCGCGCGTCCTCCGATGCCCACACAAATAGAGGGCGCTCCAAGAGCCCCATCCGCGACATCCGCGCTTTCCGGCAACCACTCAAAGGAACGCGTGGAGGAGCCGAGACGCCGCCGCACGGAGAGTCGACGAGCTGGTGCACCTCCAGGGAGATCTCGCTCGGGCCGTGGCGCGCGAGGGAAAGAAGCAGGTCGTGCCCGCTGAGCAGAGCGAGGGCTACTTGGGCACGCGCGAGGTGAGCACTCTTCTGGCGTTCAACGCGCTCTGTGTCTCCACTCCCCCTGCAACCCCACGTCTACCCATGTCCGTTTTCCCCCCTCGGAGCGCAACAAGGGGACGCTCATGCGTTGTTCTCTGTTGCCATCGCACGACCTGTCGCGTTACCATCTTCTACGGCTTCGGCCCGCGCGTGGGGGCGCAGCTGGTGACGTCGCACGAACCGCTGGCCGTTCGGTACGCATGGTAGCGTCCCCTTGTGGGCTTCCTGGGCTGCGCGTCTCTTTGGGTTTCATCCGCGCAGACTCGGATAGAATTCGAAGAGGCAGCGTCGACCTGTGAAGTTTTTGCGCACCGGTCCGTGCGTCGCGCGGGCGCGAAATTTTGAATTTGAAGTGGTTGCATGCGGCGTTAGGGTCGCTATGTGCGCTGCTCAAATCACTACCATACTGTTACCGGATCATGCATAAGTACTGACTGACGCCTTGTTCCAGTACGTCGCGGAGGCACTCGTTAACGTCTTAGGCTGGGCTGAAGAGATAGGACACGAGCTGCTGGAGTTGAGCACGGACTTGCTCCGCTTCGCGCCGATCCCGGGGCTCGAAGAGGCGGCGCGCACGCTGCTCGGAATCTGGGACGCCCTTCAGATGGTTGACGTCAGTGTAGTTTGACATGTTCACCGTCTTCGTGCGCTGACTTTCGCGTAGATAAACCGCCTCGCTTGCCTCTGTCTCACCGAACGATGCGCGACGGTCCTCATCTCGATCCGAGAGGAAATCTCGGACGCTGGAGATGACGTCAGCATCGAACTGCGCCCGCCATTGAACCGCCTGGTCGAGTGAGTCCCGCGCGCGTGGCTTCTGTATGCGCTTCTGCTGACGCTATTCGAGCAGGTCGTACAAAGAGGTTCACCGCTTCCTCTTCAAGCAGGCCCGTCGACCTTTCATCAAGCGCTATCTCCAGCGGGATGAGATCGCGCGCAGTCTGTCGGGGTGTCACAACAGCATCACGGACGCGCTCACGATGTTCAACGTCATTTTTTCCTTCAACCTCGGAACCGTGAATACTGAACTCCGGTGCAGACTTCAATCCAGATCCGGATTCTCAAGCAGGTCCTCGCCGCCGAGAAACAACGTCAGGCCGACACCGCGGCCCACCTCGCCTCTTGAATTCAATCGGCAGACCGCGATATGGAAGACGCTGCAACACCCCAACGTTCTTGAGCTGCTGGGTGCTTCGTCGGCATCGAGTGATCCGCCCTGGTTCTTTGTCAGCCCCTACCTGAAGCATGGCAGTACCTCAAGGGCCTTTCGTCCCTCGACGGCGTGGATCTACTGAAGATGATCCACGAGATTGCGAAGGGCGTCTTGCACGGCGATCTGAAGGTGCGTAGAACCTTCGCTTCTGTGACATGTGAGCTGACGGATCAAGCGACTAGGCCGCGAACGTCCTCGTGAATGACCGCCATCACTGTGTCATCCCGGACTTTGGCCAGAGTGAAATGAAGACAGAGGCGTACGGGGTCAGCGGGTTGCCCCTCCCTCGTGAGTATCGGCGGGTTTCCGCGGCGTGTCCACCGCTGACGCAGACTCTTTCGCAGATGGGACTCTGCGATGGCAGGCGCCGGAGCTCATGGCAGGCCTGAGTGGACTTACGCAGGCGGTGGATTTGTATGCGTTCGCGATCACCTGTGTCGAACTCCTTACCAAGGGCGCGCTACCTTGGTCGATGGCGGACGACGACGCTGTACGGTACTTTGTCCTTCGCAAGTCCACATATCCTTATGCCATTTCCACTATGTTTACGTGATGTTGTGCAGATGAGAATATGCGCCCCGAGCTCCTCCTGCTCCGCGTGTGGTCGTCCCAGCTATCTGAGATCCTCGGTCTCTGCTGGCATCGCGACTGGGGTCTCCGCCCGTCGTTCGAGAAGGTGGACAAACAAGTACAGCAGCTGCGTTCTGTCTACGGATTGGACTTGAAGGAGTCGCCCGCGCCACGCCCGACAGAGTTGGAGCACCTCAAGACGCGCAAATCGCCTAACATGCACCCGATCCCTCTTCCGCTTCTTCCGCGTATGTTGTATTTCTGTGGTTGCGTGGTGCCCCGCTGACGGTGTTTTGGCTTTGCAGCTGACACTACTGCATCCTTTGTCGAGGTTGGGTCCGCACCGTCAACGGACGTCTCGTTCATGACCGCCACCGAGATGTCTTCCGAGATGTTGCGTGACGGCCACGGGGAGCGCGTCGATCAGGATCCGAGCCGGAGCAGCAGCCGCGCGTCCTCGTCGCTGCACGACAGCCAGTTTGAACGGATAGAGTACCCGCGACACCTTTCGCCGCCGCCGCCCGACGAGCTAGCGCAGAACGTGCGCGATGAACGGCGTTACCGGATGCTGCTGCAGCACGAGTTCCATCCGTCTCGTGAGTCGTCTGTCGCTTCATTACTTGGCGTTTGCTGATCTTCCCTCTCAGTCACGCTGCTACTATGGTCACCTGGGCAAATAGCCATTGGAGCAGCTGGATACCGTTGCGAAGCTACCGGCGGAGAGTTCATCACTTTGTTCAACGCGTTCGAGCCGATGAAGACCTCGGGTGGGCTCGCCCGCGATATACCGTCGCTGTACGGGTATGGGCACGTCAATCTTGGCAGTCAACGCCAGGACAAGCGGGACGTCGCGCAGCGCGGGATGGACCTCATCCAGTCGTGGTTGACAAGCACGCGCACGCGCGCTGGGGAAGCCAAGTATTCGTGAGTGTTCGCGTCGCTCAGGTTTTACACGTTGGCTGACTGCGTCGATAGTCGTCGTTACGCGACTCCGCTGCGCGCTGCGCGCTGGGCACAAGGCTGCGCATCTGTTCACGGAGTCGACAGTGTATCGGTACATTGACGACCTCGCGACGCCAAAGAAATGGCTTAAGGCCAACGTCGACGACATCCTCAAGCTGTACGGCGCGGAGCATCACATCTCACAAGAGGACTTGCACTTTGGTGCGTCACCATCTCAATTTCATCGGAGGAGGATGCGAGCCGACGAACTCTCGTAGTTATTGGCACTCTCGAGGCGCAGGATTACGCGCTCTTTGTGAGCCATGACCACCCCGACAGCCAAGTCGAGTTCAATGTCTTCTCGGCGATGCGCACCGGCCAGCCGTGGGGCGAATTTAGGTCCTCGTCTGACCTCACGGCCTCCTTCCTGGGCGGCGACCCGCACTACGACGACGAGCCCCAGGTCACACACCAGTACACGCCCAAGATATAGACGTACGGCAACAACGGCGGGTGGTCAAGTGTGCTCCTCGCTCGGCTGCGTTTCAAGCCGGACTCGCTCGAGCCGACATCGCAGTAGCCTAGTGCGCTTTCTTCAATCTCACCGGCGTTGACACGGACAGCCTTTGGATAGCATTCTAGACGAAATTCACACCATCTGGTTACCCATCACGTACATACCACATCTTGTTGTCTTCTACACCACTGCATCACTGCTCGAGACCGTGCATGTCGTTTTCTTGTACGCCCAATGTTTTGTAGCATACATCGCCTGGCGAGTGACACACCATATGGAATTGTTACCTGAGTCGTTTGATAAGTCCGAAAAGTCCGCCGTCCTTGTGTTCGCCGGTACGCGCGCGTACCTTGGAGTTGTGATCGAGCAGGTTTCACGTGCGCGGAGCTCTGGCGGAGTGCGAAATATTTGCTCGGAGCGTGTATGCTAGCTGCCCAGTGCAGGCCCCGCCACTCGCCCTTCTCCCATCCTCGTCTTTAGCGTCGCTCTTCACTTTGCGATATGCCTGGACTCCCGACCATTCCGCTCCCTCTTGCCGCACTACCCCATGGCTTCCAACCCGGAGTACAAGCTCTCACTGACGCCTCCAACACCACCGCATTCGACACCGGACTTGATATCCGAGACATATTCCTAGGAATCCAGCGCTGCGTAGTCTGCGGAAGCAGAATGGCATTGCATCACGCCCATATCATCCCCAAGGTCGAAAGTGACACTGTAAGTCGCTTATGATCGCTGCCATAATCATGCCAACCACTGCCTGTAGTGGGCAGAGCTCGACGAGCACGAATGGCTCCCTGAAAACGCAAAAATCTCGGTCAAGCATGAGCAGCGCAACGGCCTCATGTTATGCGCAACCCACCACATCGCCTTCGACAGCCATCAGTTCTTCATCCGCTTCGTCCCTGGTCCTGACGGCGATATGCAGGTGTGTTTGGGTTTTACCCTACATGCCGTACTGAGCCAATGTTCTCGACATAGCGCGCTCGCTTCGTCTTCATAAACTATGCTGAGTTCATCGAGTTCGTGCATCTGCACTACAAGGCGATCGCCCTGGACCCCCAAGACCGGTACTCCCCTATCCCTAGCCTCTTCGTCATCCAGGAATGGCGTGTCCGTGGCCGCTACCCATTCCGCAACACCACCCCAGACTGCCCGGACGACATCAAGTGGGCAGACTGGATCTCGTCCACTGGTATCTTGCGCACGGACGGTGGGCCAGGTCATTTCGCTCGCCCCAGTCCGCCACGTCCCACTCGCCGTACCCCGGCGCGCACAGCGCAGCTGCCTGCGCCCATGGCCTCAGGCTCGGGCGGAATGTCCGAGTCCTCAACGAGCCGTCCTCTCCCCCACATCAACGACGCGATCGCGGACATCCTGGCAGCTCAGCGCAAGATGCCTACGTGGCGTGCGTGCACGCTCGAGAACACGAGCTGGGATGGAACGGCGGATGAGAACATCGAGAAGTATGTCGCGACTGTAGGCCTTGAACACTCCGGCGCCCGTTAGATCTTGCTGGACTGTCGGGATCGGCATGCTCTGGTCCCAGGCCAAGGATGGGTTGTATGATTTTAATGTAGTTCTCCGGTCTGTACGCCACGTTCCCCTGTACTTGTTGGTCGTGTTCGATGTCAATGTAGCTTCTCCTGGGGCAAAGAGTGTCGTTCGGATTGAGCGCTCGGTCGAACTGGTGCCTGCTAAGCATGGACGCCGGATGTGGAAAGCGCGCCGAGGTCTGCTTATTTCCTTTCCTCACTCCGCGTCCACGCGCACCAAAGCGCATATAGTCACTCATATCGTCTTAACCCTCGATTGACATGCTCCTCAACAAGAATCAGCCTCCGGGGGTGTCCAAGCCCGCTCAAGCGCAAGGTTCCTCCTGGTTCCTCGTGTTTCACCTACAGGCGGCGCCGATCAGTAATGTTCTGTCTGGTTCTGCCTGCGGGACACTACTCCAGACCAAATCAGACACCGAAAACCAGGCAACCGGGAGTTCAAACACGCGACTGGGAGACTGTAATCCCAGGTCGCTGTTGTAGCTTGATTCCGACACGCAACAAACCAATCCATTAAAAAACCAATGCAATTTCTAGGACAATAACTAGGGTGTATACACTCGTGGCGCACGCGGCACTGGCACGCCAGCGCCCCTCATCGTCGTGACCAACGCGCCCGACGCGCTCGTCGCGCGCTACCACCCACCACGCCCTCGCCCACCCTTTCCCCCGCGCGGCCGTTGCCGTGGAGCCCGCGTCGCCCTTGCCTCATCGCGCTCGCGCGCGCGGCCGTTCTCAAGCCCAGGAGGAGGAGGAGGCGGGAGATTAATATCAGGGGTTGCGTCGTCGGGTCGCGGTGGGTGAGCACCCGCGGCCTCGATCCTCCGGTGAGTTCTCCCCGCCCCCCGCGCCGACGTCCTTGCCCGTCTCGCGCTCACACTCGTCCGCATTGCGCGCGTCCTCGCCCGCCTTCTCGCCCACGTCTGCGTCGCCGGCCTCGCCTCCACCAGTCTCGGCCGTGCGCGTTGCCCTCACCCACGTCGCCGCGTCATCCGCCTTCCCCTCGTCGCCCACACGCCCTCGTCGCTCTCATCCGCATCGCCCTCCCCCGCATTGTCTCCCGCCTTGCGCCCTCGTCGCGCCCGCATCGCCCACTTGGCCTGCTGCCCCGACCTTGCCACAGCCCCCGCGTTGCACGCGTCTCCCGCGTTGCACTTGCCCTTGCCCTCGTCATCCTCGTCTCACCCCACCTCGCCCGTCTCGCCCGCAACGTTCCCGTCTCGTCCGCGCTGTCCGTCCCGCCGCTGTGTCGCCGCCGTCGTCTCTCCACCTCGCCCGCGCCGCCGTCACCATCCCCGTCTCGCCCTCGCCCACATCGCCCACCTTCGCCCACAGCGCCGACATTGCCTGCCAAAAAACGCCAACAAACATGCCACCAGCGTGACCCTCAACGTGCCTTCCGATCGTGCGACGGCCTCGGCCGGGGCGCGTTTGACACCCAGGCGAACTTCAAAGCTTCACCATCGCCGGACTTTTTGTTGATAGCTTGAAGAACACAAACACGGTTGGGTTCCCGCTCATGCTCGGCTAGGCAGCTGCGATCTCCAGCGTGAGCCTCAAAGTGTTCTCGGTGCGTCTGCACCACCTCCAAACCGCGCTCCTCCGCCCGCCTCGCTCTTCTCTGCGCTGCCCTCCACCCACGTCGCCCACCTCCCGCGCCTCCCTCGCCTTGCGCGCATCCGTGTCGCCCACCTCCGCTCTGCTCTCCCCCCGCCTTCGCGCTGCCCGCCTTCGCCTTGCCTGCCTGCGCCTGCCCGCCCGCGCCCGCACACCCTCCTTCACCCGCACGCCCATATCTGCCCGCACCCGCCTCCCCGCCCTGGAGTGTGAACGGAGTTTCATCCCGGCTGATCTGAACTCAGTTGGCACGCAGCATCACCTCCGTGCCATCAGTCCAGTAAGCCTACGTTTCACACGCCCAGCGCCATCCCCCGGCTCATTTTCCCGCTGGCCGTGTAGCTGGGTGGTGATGATCGTAAAAAAACAAAGGCATGCGTGTAGAAAAGCCACAGGGCGGCCGTCGGCATGTGCGTAGACGTACGTCGCAGTGCGTACGGGGCATCACGCACAGTGCGCGCAAGCAGTCGCGGGCGGTGCGGTGGGGGCGCCACACGCGCGCTAACCCGGGCCCACCTTAGGACTGAACGTTTGAACAGGCCCTACTTCCTCGCACTTCTGCACGAAAATAGCCTATCGATATTGGTAAGGCTGTATTAATGCAGGCCCCTCAAGCCATGTTTGGGTTGTGACCTGTCGAACTGTTTGGATTGGTATGGTAAATCCGCACATGCATCCGACCCTGAGAAATCTAGTATGCAGAGCAATCATTCGTCGTTTCTCCCTCACGCGCTCGCGGAGAGCAGCTTGTCCAGAGCCTCACCGACGCCCTTCCCCGACGCCGGGTTCTGGCCCGTGATCAAGTTCCCGTCGACGACGACGCAAACCTGCACAACCCCGTCAGCACCGCCCACCCCACACGGTCATCGCACACGAACTCACCCCGAACAGCTCCGCGCACTCGTACACGCCCCCGAGCTCCTTCATCCTATCCTCGAGCAGGAACGGAACGTGCTTCACCGCGTCCAGCGCCTCCTCCTCGCGGTTCGACAGCCCCGTCACCCGCCGGCCTTTGAAGACGCTCGCGCCCGCCGCGTCCGTCGCGCCGACGAGCGCGCCCGGGCCGTGGCACACCGCGCTCGTCGGCTTCCCCGCGCGGAAGAACGCGCTCGCGAGCGCCGCGTTCGCCGGGTCGGTCGCGAGGTCGATCACGGGCCCGTGCCCGCCGACGTAGAAGACGGCGGCGTAGTCGGCGGCGTCGACGGACGCGAGGGTCTTGCACCCCGCGAGCTTCGCCTGCACCGCGGGGTCCTCGAGGAAGGTCTTGTCGGCGGAGAAGAGCTCGATAGACTGCGGGTTGACGGGCGGGTTGGGGCCCTTGGGGGAGGCGAAGTCGATCTCGTACTTGGGCGAAAGCACTGCGGGAGCGGTGAGATACTGTGTCTGTCCGATGTCGGACAGACACTCACCGTAGTAGGGGTGTGCGGCTTCTGGGAGGTACCATCCCTAGAAGTAGACGCGTTAGAAGTGAGCAAGAGGCAGGGTGGGTAATGTTCGTACCGCGGGGTGACCCGTGAAGGTCTCAGCAGCGGAGCTGAAAACGAAGAGAACACGCTTGGCCATTTAGATTGTGGTTATGCTGTGGAGAGGCTGAAGAGGTCGAGAAGTGGAGTGGTGCAGAGCCCGCAGCTGGCCTCTTCTCCTTTATACTTCGTCGAGGGCGAGAATTGCACATGGGAGTAAGGCATCCGACCGGCCACCCTGCTGGGAACCCGCGAGGAGTGCTTGAGAATCCACCGTTTGGCGATCCCCCGAGCGGACACGGGATGTCAACGTATTCGCATTTGCTGAAGTAAGCCCCATATCAGGAAATGCCGAACGGACCTGTGGGAGAACAGCCAATCAGAGGCTGGGAGGCCCGACGCTGCCGCTCTCCGGACGGAGATTCCGCACATATGTCATAAGTATGCTTGTCCTGTCTACGGGGCTACCGCATATCGGGTTTCAACGTCAACTTTCGGGCCCCCAAGGATGACTAGGGCATCTAGGTGTCGAAACGAAAACACCGAGTGACTTGGCGCAGCACGGCGCTTGTCACGACTCGGTCCTGGGTTAGGGTCACTACTATAGGCACGAGTCTCCGGCATACGCTACGCTAGTCTTACTATCACCATCGTCGCTACCCTCGTGTTGTATCCCCGCTATAGGCGTGGATCTAACGCACCTGCGACGGTCTCAAGACTCACCCGAGGAACACCACCCCCGGATCCTTGCAGCACTGCAGGGATGGAGGAGAGCTTCTTCTGATAAGTATGTTGATGCTACTCGTAGTGCACTGCATGGAATTCGCCATAAAGCACTTCTCATCATCCGCAGGTGAACCGGACGGTAAGGTGTGAGGTCAAAACGAGGCACCTGGGTTTCTGGAGGGTTTTTGTTGGTCAATCATTTATATCCGGCACACGGAGTACAGGTGTGGGTACTCTCAGCCTGTGGTTCTACATCTAAGGGCTGATTGCTCATCACATGTGCCACTGAGCGGTCTTTCCACGTCGTGCGCGCACCATGCGCGCTTCCATGTCTAACATGCAACGTGACATCATCCGAGGAGGTGGAGAGAGAGAGAAACAAACTTGAAAGGAGTGCCTCCAGGATCCTGACCGACCAATGACCTAGCTTGTTTGGACGTATCCGTACTGCCCGTATACATCCCCGACGAGGGATCTCCGGCGAGTGGACGTTGGTGTGAGGTGTTTGGTGGACGGCCGTACTACGTAGTGATCTTCCAGTGGCCACCCTTAGTCGGATACCTTCGCAGCTACCAGTCCCAACGAATCAGCGGCGTGTGACAACGACAGCCCGGTGGGCTTGGAGGATGGGGTGTGCTCAGCTTGTCTCCGGCTGGGACGATGAGGTGAGGGACAGGTTTGGTGGTCGGTGGTCGGTATCGGTGGGGGTGACAGTGCACGATGTGCCGATAACTTGACAGATAAGTGCCAAGGGAATGCCGGAGGAAATTGTGAGGGGTTTGGTAGTGTAGAAGCCCCGCGGTCGTCAACGTCGCGGACGGGCCATATAGGCGCCCTCAAGGTGGTAGTGATACGGAGTCAAGGAGGGGTCGATGGCGCACCAGTAGTACAGAGAGTTGATGGCCTCGGAGAGCTGGCGGGCAGGCAAGCAAACGTGCAAGCTCTTTGCTCTGCCCTAACGACGACCATTCGGAGGGCTCGATGTATATCAGGCAGTTACATGAAAGGCGATAGCCGGGGGACGGGCGCGAATACTGTATGTCGGTCATACTAACCTGGTAGCGATGAGCGGAGCCTGCGCCGCGCGCGTTCTCCTCGTTCCACCGGCGAGAGGTGCTCCATACCGTACAAGCCACGCCTAGGCGGCCCGTCAGGGTGTCTCCTCGGGCGATGGCAGGGGTGACGCGTTGACGCGTTGGGGAGAGTGCTGGGACTGTGACCTCTTTGTGAGGGACTGACTGCCGCCACGACAGATGACTAGTGCTGTTACTTGTATGCCTGTGATATGCTTATAAACCGCGTGGTGCGCTTCGTCAGGTTGAGGTGAATGCCGTGCCGAGAATCAGCCTCGAAAGGAGTTTTCTGTAGATCATATGTAAGCTCTTTATATTGTATGCACGGACGAACGAGTTATTTGTCACCACCAAGTTGATGCCATTGGTAGGTACGACACCGTTATTCCCCGAAGCTGTAGTTGTACCTTCGACCCCCGACAACCAAGGCCGGTGTACAACTTCGTGCACGCAGCATACGAAGTTACAGACGCCACGTTGTCATGGACCATACACACCTCTCACCTCCAACAAAAAACCTTCTAGGAGGTGAGGGCACCTTCGTAGACCCCGCCAGCACCCGCCTCTACTGCAACGTCTCTTCGACGGTAACGGGAGGGGCATAACGAGCAAGCGTACCGGACAGCCCTCAAGGCCTCAACCCCGTCCTCTTCTTCGTCTCAGGCACTTGCAAGTCCCCCTCGCTTCCCATGGCAAGCAAACGCGAAAGCTCAATTGAAAGCGAGTTCTACCACACGTACGGCGTCCCATCCCCATTCACGCGGAGCCCACGAGCTGCGACACACGCGCCGCGACGTCCGCGGACGACAGGCCCTCGACCTCGACGTGCTTCTCCACGCCACGCTCTGCGGCACACGCAGCGGGTGAGCACCATAGCGGGGAGGAAGGCGGACGACGCACCGAAGCGCGCGAACACGCGTGCGGGGGTCCCGCTCGCCTGGCGGATGAGGATGGGGAGGTCCGGGTTCGCCTGCTTCATGGTGGCGTAGTGCGAGGTGATGAACTGCCTGGAAGCGCAGGGTGCGCGGGGCGGCCGGTCAGCCTCCACGGTAGGGCAGGGAGGTGGGTGGAGGCGGGATGGGGGCGACTTACCGCGTGCCGGCGGACGCAGGACCGGTCTGGCAGCAGAGGATGCGAAGCTCCCTGACCGCGGGGGACAGCGCCTTCGCGAACGTAGACATGGTGTGGGGTGCGGCTGGGGACGTGGACGGCAGCGACGACGACAGGCTGAGGGAACCCGGGCGTCGGCGAATAAACCTGGATTTTGTGCGTACAAGTCGTGGCAAATTACGCCACGCGACGCGCGACGCATAGGCGCGCGAGCGGGAGCAACACGAGTCGCGCCGGCGGCCTCGTCCAGCACTCCTTTCGCTCCTCCCGTCTTCATGCTCTCCTGCCTCCTCATTCAACGCGTCGCTGCACGCGTCCCTCTGCCGTCTCATAATGGTGCTGTGTTCGCTGGGGTGCTCCGTGCCGCGGTGAGCGCGCGCCAGCCCCTCGCTGTCCGGGCGTTCTCGTCGACTGTGCTGGTGTCCGAGCCTGCGAAGGCCACGTCGACTGGCGCCGACGCCGAAGAGGACGACGGGAAAGCCAAGGGGAAGGCTGCCCAGACCGGTGCTGGCAAGACCTCGGGGGCGAAACTCACGGCCGAGGAGAAGGCCAAGGCGAAGGAGGTGAAAGCAAAGGCGAAGGCGAAGGCGAAGGCGAAGGCGGACAGCGAGAGGGCGAGGAAGAAGGCCAAGGCCGCCCAAGCACGAGCGGCGCCGTTCGAGGAGAAGCTGGCGAAGACCAAGCTGGGCGGTGCGCATGCTTGCCGCGCTCTCTCTTGCGAGCACGACGGTCTGACGGTCTACGCCTAGTGATCAAGGTCCCCAAGGAGTACTTGCCGCCGAAAGAACCGTCGTCCTCTTTCATGGTGTTCCACAAATCTCGGCTCACGGACGTCTCAAACCTTGGGATGGCGGAGTATGCGGCCCTGGCCAAGGAGAGTGGTCAAAAATGGCGCAACATGTCCGACTCAGAGAAGCAGGTACGTACCGGCCCTGTCCGTCTCACTGCGCCCGTCCCCTCACCACCTGCGCTCTTCTATAGCCGTACAAGGCAGCTGTGGAGGAAGCAAGAGCGAAGTATGTCCAGAAGTACAGGGAGTGGATGCTCAAAGCCGACCGGCGTCTCGTGAAGGCACTGCGGAAGCAGGCTCCGCACAAGTACAGTATGCCGCGCGAGATCAAGAAGGAGCTCTGGGTCGCCCCGAGCCGTAGCGGGTACTTGGTGTCAGTCGGCGCCGTCTCTCGTTTCCGCTCCGTGTGCTCAACTTCGGCGTGCGCCGCGCAGGTACAAGACCGAGCATCAGGGTCTCCACAAGGAATTCATGGGCAAGAAGGATTTCGCGTCGATTGCACGGCAGGTCGCAGACCAGTGGAATGCATTGCCTGTGGAAGAGAAAGAGGTGCGTGTGCAGGTCCGTTTGGATGCGCTGTCTGACGTCGTGCTTCCAGCGGTACAAAGAGCTCGCTCTCAAGCGGGCGTTGGAGATCACTGCGGCGCGAAGCCAGACTGCAGCGCCTTAGCTTCTCGACGTTCTGTGTCTCTGCCGTCCCTGAGGGTCTCGCCGCGGCCCATCTTCTGCTTCATCCTGGAGTCTGTGACGGAGGTCCCGACCCTAGACATTCGCCCTTGGCGTCGTCGCTATGTTTCTTTGCGCAGCAATGCACACTTTTATCTCTTGGACCCCGTCGATCCAGCCAAACCCACCCGCTCCTTTGGATCTCGAGAGCCCTGCCGAGCCGTGCCATCACCCTCGACGTCGATTCCGAGTCTGCGACTCGGGAGCTCGCGAGTTCCCGCGGGGTGCGATCATCGGCCGCGCGCAGGCGCTCCGCCTGGCCTCTAACAGGACCACGGGCGTGCTCCGGGCCTGCATACAGCTGTGGGTCTCTGCTTCGTCGGACGGCTTCCGAGGCGTCGCTGCGGGTGGTCAGATGCCAGCCGTCAGCCGGTCACACAGGGACCCATAGGCAGGGTCGTCGGGCGCTCTGTCCCGAAGCGGCTCACAGATAGCGATGCGGTGCCGCTGTCGAGGATCGTGAATATGATGTGCTCACCACGAGCGGGAGCCTCGCTCTTGGGTGTCCACGTAAACATACAGCCACTGCGGATAAGGATATGGTGGCTACAAATACATCGTCTAAGGCCGGCATCTAGATTCTAGGAGACATGAGGAGGAGGAACCAAACACCAAACGGCTGGCGAGGCCGCATCGTACAGCGACACAGCGAAACCGCGACAGGCGAGAACGAGGTCCCGCAGAAGTATAGAGGCGCTCACGCGTACCCGAACGACTCGACGTGCAGGACGACGCTGGGGCCGCCGGCGAGCGCGCGAGCGAGCGGCACGCGCAGCGCCGCGCGGCAGTCCCGCGCCATCCCCTGCGAGCCGCACACTGCGAAACCGGTCAGCGCTCGCACCCGCACGCAGACGGAGGGTAGGACTCACCGGTAACGGACGTCCGCCCGCGGCTCCCGTCCACCTCCTCGCGGAGGAGCGCGCGGAGGTCCGGGCGGCCCCGCGCGGTGCGCACCGCGGGGTGCTGGAGCAGCAGCGCCGCGGTGGCGCGGGACGGCTTCCCGGGGGCGGGGGGCTTCTCGGCGGCGCTGTCCGCGGACGTCGAGGAGCGCGCGGAGTCGTCCTCGTCCTCGCCTTCGCCCTCGCCCTCGCCCCAGGGGGCCTCGGACGCGGCGGGCGCGCCGCGCCCGGTGACGAAGAACCGGACGGCGACGTCGATCGCGGGCGGCGCGAGCTCCAGCGCCGTCGCGAGCGCCGTGGACACCCACTCGATGTGGCCTGGCGGTGGGAGGAGGTCAGCGGCATGCGCGCGGTGGCACGGGGCACGGGGCGCGGACGGGCACGCACCTTGGTCGCGGACAGACCAGACGAAGAGGAGGCGGCGGCAGCGGCTCCTCCCGGTCTGGACGTGGCTGAGGACGCCGAGGAGGGTGGAGAGCGTGAAGGTGACGCCGGAGCCGCCGGCGACGAGCACGACGGTGTCGTCCGCGTCGAGGTCGGGCGAGAAGCCGTAGGGGCCGTCGATGAGCACCTTGACCTTCGCGCCGGTCTGCGCGGCGCGCGCGAGCTGGCGCGTGAAGCCCCCGCGGATGTTGATGAGGAAGACGAGCTCCTTCCAGAACGGCGCGGCGTCGGGGTCCGCCGCCGCCGCCGCCTTGTCTTCTGTGGTTGGGCTCGGGGGGAGGCTGGGCGTCTTGGGTGCGCCCTCGAGCTGGTAGCGGCTGTCGACGGACGCGATGGTGAAGGGGTGGGCCTCGAGTGGGAAGGAGGAGACGGTGGGCATGATGAGGAACGCGGTTTGGCCGGGGGTCCAGCTGAAGTGCGCGGGGCGCTGGATGTGGAGGCGGACAAAGTGCGGAGAGAGGAGCTCGACGGAGGCGTCGAGCCGGTGCGCTGTCTTGTGGAAGCCGAAGTAGAGGTGGTTGTAGTACACGACGCGGGCGAGGCGCACGAAGCGGTCGAGGGCCCAGAGCAGGAACGACGGCCAGATCCACATGCCGAGCTTGAACCGTTCGGCGTGGTAGTAGCCGCCGAGGAGCATGATGCTGTCGGAACGTCGGTGTTTGCGGGTACACGGAGGGACACGACACGTACAGGACCATGAGGAAGTGCACGAAGTAGAAGATTTCGTAATGCTGCGACCGCACGGGGCGGAGAGAGACGGCCATGAGAATTGTGAAGGCGACAAGTGCCATCAGACCGAGACGGAACCAGTCCTCGTCCAGCTCTTGGGGACGGAGCAAGTAGAACTGGAGGAGCATGGATCAGCCGCGGATCGTCATCAAGAAGGGCAGCTACTCACTCGGATTCCAGCGTGGAGCCAGAGCATGACAAATACAACACGGGCGGCCATGCGGTGGATGTAGTTGAGCTGCCGGATGGGAGACTGAGCACGCGGTCTGCTCTCGACGAGAATGAACTTTACCTTATCATAACTGATTCCCGTAACGTCTGGGTGACGACAGTCAGCGGCGGAGAGAACGATTTAAAGCATCGACTCACAAGATATGACGTTGTTTTTGAGGCCGAGAGCGGTGATGAGGGGGAACTGGCTCACCGCAATAACGCCAGCCCTGTTGCCGGTGTATAGCGGGTCCCACTTCTTCCCGGTGCTGGGGTTAGTGGCTGTAAATATCGTCAGCGACAGGACATAGATAAAATGTCCATGAAGACTCACTGTAGATGAACTCCGAAGTGAAGAGCGCGATGATGTACACGCAGGTGACGAACACCTCGGCGAGGTTGAGCGTGTACACCGACCCGAGCTTAACGGTGATCGTCCACCTGAAAGCGACGACACGGTAGGCGTTGACGATCGCCGAAGGGACGTTGCGCAACGCGAAGCCTCGCGTCGGCCCCGCGGCCCCTCCAGCCTCAGCCGCATCGACGGACGGCGTACCCTTCGTTCTGGCGGCCCCGCGGCTCCGAAGCTTGACGGCGACCCAAGAGGCGAACTGGAAGAGGGCAATGATCGCGATGAAGCATGCGATGGCCCACCAGATCTGCAGGGGGTAGCGCGTTGGCCGTAATGCCGCGCTCACAGGAGCCTTTCTGGGGGGGCCACCCATCGACGGGCCCGAGGACGCTGCCAACATGGAGGAGGTCGTGTTGATGCTGGAAGCGGCGCCGGACATCATGCTGAGCAGGAAAGGGAGGGGCGGTGGTCCAAGGAGGGGATCCTAGCGGGATGTCTTCTCTTCTTCTGCAAATATAAGTACTGCACTGTCCTGGAGGAGCACCGCACGCGCGACGGGGCGTGCTCAGCAATACAGGAGATGGGAGCCTGGACACCACGCATGGCTATCGAAGCGTGCGAGATGCCCGGTCTTCCGCACGCGCAGCAGGGAGCGCGATGAAGGGCCGCGCTGGGGAACCACATGGACCGGGACGGCGCTCGTGTAGGATATACCGCATTGTGCGATGCTGTTGAACTATTCTTCCTGCTCCGAGTGTTTTCCCTCCTCGGTTCGAAATCATGATCGAACGCCTCGTCCGAGTGCCAAGGAACGTGGAACTGGGGAGGTACGCTGCCCGGAGTGGACGCCTGGAATTCTGACGCGTGGAGTCCTTTGGGTAGACACTATCACTGCTGCCAGTTATCAGGCCATTGGGAGACGAAGTTTGGGAACATGCGGAGAGCGTACTCGGGAGACTCCCGCCGCGTACGGAGGGTACAGGGCCCGCGGAGGAATCCATGCGCAATGGCGAATGACAAGAAACCATGGGCAGGTCCTGATGCGGCGTGACGCTCAAATCACAGCCGCGCGCGGGGACAGCGTGATGAAACAGTGACCGAGGATCTGTCACAAAGCCTTTCTCTTCTCTCTACCATCTCCGCTGGCGACACCAGGCCTTCAGTACTTCAGTTGTAGCCCGGTGGCGGCGTGTGCATGATTGAGCATGCCCGAAATCTCCAATATGTGGCATTCAGCTCGGTGGCCGCGGAAAAAAACATGCCTGGCATCTGTCCCATCGAGCTCCAGCGTTTAGCCACGTGCAGGTAGAGATATCACCATATGCTGACGGGGCTAAGTATACACCGCCCTTATCTTTCGCAGAAGACTCGCCAAGATAGGCTCGCGTTCGTGCTGAAGCTGCTGCCATGCTCTGTGGCATTTCCAGCGTGATGATCTCAGTCGCTAGGTGAGCATTCTCCTTGATGTTTCGAGTATACAGGCATCGCATACCCCACGACGATGGTGGGCTCATATGTCGGCGTCGCAACGGCGAACGAAAATAGAGAAGACGAGAGAAGACGAAGCGGCTGCAACGAGGTCCCAGAGTGACTTGGCTTCGCTCATCGGAGAGTGTCCTTATCTGATAATCTGTACCCCCACAGTCAGACGATAAGGGGTGCACGCGTGGATGGCCCCACGTGCGAGTTCGGTGTAACAGGCCGACCTCCTGCAGCTGGTCCGTGTTCTCCCTCGATGGTCTAATATTGGCTCTGCGCTGCTTCTCTCCAGCGCCACATTCATATGCCCCATCACAGAGTAGTATCGTGATTGCGTCACCCGCTCACTTCTGGCGTAAACTCCTCGGGGCGGACAACAACTCTAGGCTTTGTGTCACACCTCCTCACCCCCTCTCCTCAAGACGTACTCCTCCCGAGTCTACCGCGCAGTCGCGTCACGCGACAGCTTCTCGCCCCTCCACTCACTTCCCTGCGCTTCCATAACCTCCCTACCGCCCCGGCTGGCCGTCAGATGCGCTGATAGACCCGCTCCTTCGGAGCCTGCGGGCGCGCGTACGGCACGCGCGGGCACCCGCACGGTCCTGCGCGCAATGCGCGGCCTCAATCACGAACGAGGTCTGACGGAGGGGAGACCACAGAGCCGCGCGCGGGACGGCGAGGAAACTCGAGGGGGTCAGCACAGGCCAGCACGCGCGGTGCGGACGTCATATCAGGCCTCAGGTCTCCATCTTGGACCTCCCTACCCGGTTCCGCCGTACGCCCCCCTTCTCGTCCTCGCGATGGGCGTCTATAGTGTACTGATTACCCGACAGGTTGCGAGCATGCAGTGTCGGAGGAAGGGGCTGGGGGATGCGCACGTACGCCGCGTGGCTGGGGTCTATCCTCGGGATGAGTGAGCGTTCAAGCGCCTTCGTATATTTCCGTACTTCGTCGCCTTGACACTCAGAAGTGCAGATACAAGGAAACATGAAGTGCGTGCATGGGTTCTGCCTCATCTGCCCTCGAGCTGACGGTGGTCCAATTGGATATTCTCCGACAGGGAAACAAAGGACGAGCCTCGTCGGCCTCGCCAACAGACCGTCCGAATTTTCGATGGCAAACCACGATGCCCGAGCCTCTGATGCGCTGAGCGGTGATTGCGGAATTCTCCGACTTCCACATGGGCGAGATAAGTAGCAGCAGCGCAGTACTAAATCACTTTCAGCATCTGCGATACGAAACGCCGACAGACGGAGATGCGATGTTTATTTATTTTCCTTCCGCCGTGAGCAGCGCCGTTTCGTGACCGGCCATCGGTTAATCCCCCACAGGTTTGACCTATGCATCGTACACGGCCGCAATTCAACAAATAGGAAGAGCTATGTATGGAGGTGCCTCGGGACCTCTCCTCAACCCGAGCCCCTGCGGCTGATGCCCGCGGATTGCAGCACACCATTATCAGCGTCGCTCGCGACTGGAACCTCCCGATCACGCGCTCTTCCTCCAGCCCGCAGCCCAACCCTCGCGACTTCAGCTCGGAGCCGCACAGCCACCCATTCCGGACGCATGGTGCACGCAGATATCTGAATCAGCGCTCCAGCGCGAGCGTCCGACGAGCCTCGGGATTTGGCAGCTGGTTGTCGCTCGTCGCACCTCATCCGGGCGGTTGGCGAATTCGTCCTGCGGTCGGTAGAACGTCCGCACCGAGCACCGAGCATACGGCCGTGCGCGCGGAGCGGGAGAGGGTTGATCGTCACCGTTGTGCGTATCTCCCCGGGCTGTGCGCGCATGCGCTAGATAGTAGAAGTACGGTGCAGTCCTTTGCGGTTCCCTGATCGAATGTGCGTGATGCGTCATCGTGCAACGAACTGAAAGCGCAGGAGCCGCGCGTTAGGTGCCAGGCCGGTACTACGGGCGTTGGGTCGGGTGAGGACTTGTAGCTTCCGGTGCGCTACGCTGGTACAGCTAGAGCACCAACGGGCAGACCGTGGACGGTTGAATAGCGTTTATCTCGGCAGTCACCTCTAAGCGCATGGTACCTGTGCTGGAGCGTGGGCGCAGCGGGTGGATAACAGAGGTATGATACACGGTGATACTAGAGTTATCTACGAACAACTACAACTACGAGTCCGTAAACAAGGTTCATATCAGTCTCAAGGTGCACTATTCTAACAACCGTGACTCTGCACGCGTATCCTTGTCGGATTTTCAGCTAGTGGGGCGGTGTCCTCAGATCCTAACTTCCTGTTTCAATCTATCGGAAGTGCTCTGGATGACAGCACAACATGACGAAATATACGCGGGTCTCCCCGTGGGCAACAATCTGGTATGGATTTTTGTATGCCGGTGCCAAAGGGGGCTCTCGGAGACATGCGAGCCGAAGAACATGCATGGTCATAGAGTGTAAATGAGAATTAAAGGGTGTGGGTAAAATCAAGCCAAAGAGAACTCGCCAAAGAGTTGTTCCGACCGCCATCCCCGGCCGCGGCCAACCCTGGCCAACCACCCGCACTGCCCCGCGACGATTCCCTCCATCGCGAACGGCATCATGGGGAAATCTGGCCAAATGCGGACAGCGCATCGAGCCTCGACGGGCGCACGTGAGACGTTTTCTCCAGATGCCGCTGCCCATACATACACGCCCACAAGACCGCTCAGGAACTGCGGCGCCCGCCGCCCCGACGTTCACATAATTAATGCGGGCAGCTGACCGCGTCCAAGCCGCTTGGAGACGGCGTTTGGCTTCGACGTGGCGCGGCGTCATCTTGGCGGGCGGAGGCATGCCAGTTCGTTGGCGGTGTCCGGACGAGAGACCGGGGCGCGGTGGCGATAGCATTAACGAGTTGGTACAACAACAATGCGACCGTGCAGATTAGCAGATGGAAGATGGCGATGGCGAGAGCAGAGACAGGGGGAGGGGTATGCCGTAGGCGAAAGTCGTGAGTCCGAGGGAGGGGCCGTGGGGCCAAGGTAGCGCTAGAATACAAATACACAGGGTCGTGAGTACAGTACAGCGGGCCGGGTCCGAGTCCGAGCTTCTACGAAGGCCGGTCTAGGAGAGGTCCGAAAGGGAGCGTGTGGATGTGAACCCGACGCGCGAGCTGCGCCTGGAGACCATCTTTGACGGAGAAGGTGAATCGATGAACTGGCCCGCTTCTTCGTCGCGTGGGGCAGGGGTTCCGCCGAAGAGTGCGCGGCTCGCGCGCACGATGGTGCGAATGCTTTGAGCAGCAAGTCGTCCGCTGATCCACTGAAATAGCGTCATGCCGGGGACGAGGCCGAGAAGGTCCTGACGGGGCCGAAGGTTAGCTTGGCGGGACGGGCGAGAGGGGTACGAATGCGCACCTTGACGTCCCAGAAGTCGCGGTGGTGGGTGATCTTGTCGGCGTCATTGAAGGAGAGTTTCGTGATGATGGGGAGCTTCAGGTGGAAGGGCGAAGGTGGCCAAAATGAGAGCTCAGGGTGCTGATAACCCGCGCCCAAATGCCGTTCGCTCGGGGAAAGTGCCAGTACCGAGTCCGACAACGCATGCACGTCGCTTGTAGGCGGCTGGTGAGTTTGAAGATGCAAGCCAGGAAGTACGAGGACATGTAGGGTATGTTCTACCATCGTCCGTTTGTGCCCATCTGGGGGAATGGCACGTTGAGTCCGGGAGGAGATCGGCATGGGCGGGAGGAAAGAAACCACGCACCGAAGCTGTCGCATTCCGATATCTCGTTAATCTCGTTCCACATCCGCACTCCCCTGAACCACGCATCCCTCCAACGGTGGTCGGCCGACAGTCTGAAGAGGGTGCAGAGCACGGCGCCTGGCTTGGGAACATCGAGTTGAGAGAGATATCTCGAAAGCAAATGAACGTCGCTGATGGTTTCCCTCGACGTTGCGGTGAGGCAAGGGTTCTCGTAGGTGGCGTTGGGGTCATAGAAGCGTTCGACGGCAGCCCAGGCGGGTGGGGAGTCGCCGTAGAAGAGCTCGCAGACCTCGGCGGCGGTCTGGTGGTGGGAGAGGGAGTAGGTGGACGTGTCCACGCTGGACCGAGCCGAGCGCGCACTGGGGAAGGCGACCGAGCTCGCGGCCATGGTGCACGACGGCAGGAGGCGAAGAGATCGCGTGCGGGGCTGTGGACGAGCGTCCCGGTCCGCGGAAGGCTGAAGCTGAAGGTTAGGGTTGTGCAAACCGTCGCCACCCGAGTGCCAGCAGCGCCGACAAACTCTTCCTCACCATCCCCCACATCCTCCTCGACGCGCAGGTGCCGCCCTCCGCGACTGGCCATGCAAGCTTCCAGAGGTGCGTTGCCGCGCGGCCCCAGGGCGCGACCCCCGCGCTCACCCGTTTCCCAGTCCGCGTTCTCGGCCGAAGCCTCGTCGCGTCTCGGCCGTCCGTGGTCCCTCGCCTCGTTCTCCAGGCCAGCCGGTTCGCGTCCACGACCCCCGCCGCGGAGGGCGCATCCGCGGTACGTCCGCGCCCTCGCGCCTCTCTTCTGCCCTCTGCGCTCACGCGCGCGCGCTCGCCCAGCCCCGTCCCCCGCCCAAGTCCTCCCTTTGGAAGCGTTTCCTCCAGCTCACCGGCGGCGTTACGCTCGTCACCCTCGCTGGCGGCGCGACGTTCTATTACTTTGCCCAGAGGGACAAGGAACCCGGCACACAGCTCCCTCACGATCCCTCCAAGAAGACCCTCGTTATCTGCGGCAGCGGCTGGGGCGCCACCAGTCTCCTCAACTCCCTCGACACTGCCGACTACAACGTCGTGAGTACCACTGGCTATATGCGCCGCATACACCTGCATTGACGCCGTCATAGATCGTCGTGAGCCCAAAGAACTACTTCCTCTTCACCCCGCTCCTGCCCAGCGTCGCCGTGGGCACCCTCTCCCCCCGCTCGATCCTGCAGCGTGAGTACGTTTGCCGTAAACTTTTAGCCGATGATGTCATCCCTTCCCTCCCAGCCACCCGCTATGTCACTCGCCACAAAAAGCGCCAGGTTACGGTGATAGAGGCTTCGGCCACGGATGTCGACGTGAGTCTCTTCTTTCCTGCGCTCCTCCTACCCCAGAATATGCGCGATGTCGAGGAAATGGCCGGAATGGGTCGGGACCCTGTTTAAGGAGTCGATCGACTTGGCCTTCTCGGCTCGGGACCTATCTACCGACAGGACATCCACCTTGTCTCAGTGACCGTGCACCCATGCCGTATCGCGGCGTATGCAGGCCTATTCAGGAGGACGACATTGCGAGACAAGGAATGAGCGACTCATCAGATGCGCCAAGGTTCCGTTTTCCTACGCATTTTCGTCCTCCGAAAAGGGGCTTTGCACGTCGTGTATCCACGATCAAACAATATGCTAACCAGCCTTACCACAGCCCGCCAAGAAGACCATCACATTTGCTGATACATCCGAGATTCAAGGCGAGGTCTCTACCACGACCATTCCTTATGATTACCTCGTCTGGGCCGTCGGAGCTGAGGTCCAGACGTTCAACATCCCCGGTGTCAGAGAACATGCGTGTTTCATGAAGGAGCTCGAGGATGCAGAGAAGATGCAGCGCCAATTCTTGGACTGTGAGTAAACCCTCGCTCTCCACATCTCTAGTATTCAACGCCTTCGTTAGGCATGGAGTCCGCCGCTTTCCCTGGCCAGTCATCTGAGGAGGTCAAGCGCCTACTTCACATGGTACGCTGCTCCCGAACCACCCCCGCTTGTCACCTCACTCACCACATTTCAGGTGGTGGTCGGTGGTGGTCCCACTGGTATCGAGCTGAGGTACGTGCGAACGTCTGCTCTCTGAGCCTTTCTCACACTTGGGTTCCAGCGGTGAACTGCATGATTTCCTCGAGGAGGATCTGCGTTCATGGTATCCTGAGCTCGCTGAGAGCGTGCGCATCACCCTCGTTGAGGCGCTTCCCTCCGTCTTGCCCATGTTCTCCAAGCAGCTGATCGACTACACCGAGTCGACGTTCAAGGAAGCGAAGATCGACATCCTTACCAAGACGATGGTCAAGGAGATCAAGGAGAAGAGCGTCGTTCTCCAGATGCCCGATAAGTCGATCGTCGATGTTCCCTGTGGCCTCGTCGTCTGGGCTGCAGGCAATACCCTTCGTAAGGTCACCCGTGACCTGATGAGCAAGTTCCCCAGCCTGCAGGCCAACCGTCGTGGTATCACTGTTGACGGTGTGCATTCCTCCTCTCGAATATCCCCGACCGAACTCAAGTGCCTTTAGAGTGTATGCGCATGGCCGGCGCGAGCGACGGCATCTTCGCGATCGGCGACTGTACCGCGACGTCGTACGCACCGACCGCGCAAGTCGCCTCGCAGGAGGGCGCGTACCTCGCGCGCGTGTTCGCGCAGCTCGCGCGCCGCGATGAGGCCGTTGCACGCATCCAGGAACTTGAGGCTTCCGCAGAGCCCGAGGCTAAGGCGGAGCGGGACTCGCTCGCGAAGCGCCTGGCGAAGCTGGAGAAGATCCGGCCGTTCAAGTACTCGCACCAGGGCTCGCTCGCGTACATTGGCTCGGACAAGGCGATCGCGGACCTGCCGTTCTTCAACGGAAACGTACGTACCCATCCACATGCCGTCGTGAACGTCTGTTCACACGTATTTGCAGCTGGCCACGGGTGGTGTCGCGACGTTCCTCTTCTGGAGGAGTGCGTATCTGAGCACGCTCTTCTCCCTCCGCAACCGGACGCTGGTTGCTACCGACTGGATGAAGGTCAAGCTCTTCGGACGGTAGGCACACTCTCCCTGCTTGTCGCTGGAGCTGCGCTGATGCTATTCCCCCAGTGACGTGAGCCGCGAATAGTGACATCCTCCTCAGCCTGGATGTTCCGCGCCACAACCCGGTCCGTTTCTTGAGCTTTCCCCTCTAGACTTAGACGATATGCTCCGACTAGTTGAATAGACGTTAGACGTAAATTACATACGCCCCTGGCCCAATCGTGTCGTGTTGTGTCGCTCGCCCGCTTGCGTACCTAGATATATTTCTGCTCTCCGTCGTCGCTCACAGCACGCCTGAACATGCTCGCTGACCGACGTGGCTGCTAGGGACCGGCATCGAGCGCGTTCAAGAGGCAAATCTCACCTGTGCTATTGGCACTACCCGTCCTCAAGTGAGCTCCGCTACACACAGGGAACGCTGCAATACAAGTCAGTGCTGTGCAGCATCGACCCACAGACCGATCAGCATCAGCGTTGTTTAGGTGGGTTGTAGCCTCGTGAAGCTCTACCGTAGGGCAAAGGAGGTCGTGATATGTCCCGTGTCACAAAAAGTTGAAGCTCGGCACCGCCCGCGCACACCTAGACCCACTGCGCTCGCGGGGGTTCAAACGTTCACCGCGTGCAGTCAAAGTCCGCGCGCCCTCGGCTCTGCCCTCCCGCGACGCACACCCTGCGCGCGGAGGACAAGGTAAGTAACCTTGACGTCCAAGAACCAGACGTGACAATGGGATGTCACTGTAACGTCGCACAGGGGTGACAAGGTGTTCGTTGGCGTCACCGCCCGTCTTGTCTTCTGATCCAGCCCCGGGCATAAGGGCTACAGCGAAGGTAAGCGGGAACTTTAGAATACGACGATGATAGAAAGAGCCAGTTTATTAACAGGTTGGCAGAGGAGGAGGAGGGAGTGCATCTCTCAATGTTCATTGCTCACGCCCTCGAGTTCCAACTTCCGAGTCGTCAGGCTGCAGCTACAAATTTTAGCCCAGGCATCCCCTGAGCCCTCGCGGTGACCATTATGTCCTTTGAGATCCTGATTATGAACTGATACGATAATATTTCATAGTAGATTTTGAGTAACGCCTGCAGAGGGTCTCGTCGAGTCGTCATTTGGCTCACCTTGCGTGACTTGCCATGACTGGATCTTGCTTTTCCCGTCGAGCATGGTCGGACGATTACAGTACATCTCTGTGTGACACTTGCCACTGTGCGAAGGGAGTTGATGTTTGCATCTGCGCTTTCCAGATCTCCGACCCATGTAGGGTTCTAGAACAGGCAAGGCCACGCGCAGCAAGCGACAAAGCAACCCCGACCACTACAGAAAGTGTCACGAAAGACGGACAAACGAGAGCGTGCGGCGGACACAGTCGCGTAGCGAGCACAGCCTCGAGGCTTCCCTGCTTGGAGCAAAGCAGCTTCAAGCCCTTTCAAGCCCCGCGATCTTCACCGCTTCGATCCCTTCCCGACCCCCCACCCCGCGAGCCATAGTCCGCCCGCCGAATCCGGCAGACTGGTTGGGTCGGCTACTGCAGGGTCGACTCGCGTGGCAGACCGTATGGTCCCCGGAGGCGATGACGGCGGTCCAGACCCGGAGTCCATTAGAGCAAAGCGAAGGACACGAGAGGCGCGAGACGTGCCCAAAGTAGTATGTGCAGCTGGAATGTTTGCGACGCGACCAAACACTGGCCGCTCAAAATGGCCAGAGGCCACAATCTCATCTCCCCACTCCCCCGCATCCCCACGTCCCCGCCACTTCTCTTCCTCGCTCCCGTTCCCGCAACCCCCGTAATGAATCCCTACCATCCAGACCACCACCTCTCGTAAGCAGCTTCACGGCCTTGATCATCCCCAGATTCATCCGGACTCACGCTGCGCATTGCAGCCTCCCATTTTCCTCCAATCATCCCCACGGACCTCGTCCTCAGGTCCCCACGACCTCAGGCTCCTTCGCCGGCGAAAGGACTACGCCCACGAACATCGACCTCTTGTGAGTGGCCTCGCACCGGGCGGTTCCAGCTTCCCCCAGCTCACGCTGCGTCGTGTAGCTACCCGCACTCTTCAAACTACTCCCATATTCACGCTCCCCGTCCACAACGTCTTCTCCCTAGCAGAAGGACCACGACTGCGGACACACTTCGGGCGAGGTCCATCGCCTCTGCGGCAGTGAACAACCCGTTGAGTCCCCTTGATCTGTCTAGACGTACATCGGCCTGACCACTCGCACACTCCAGCCAGCTCTCCGCCGCCGGACCTGCACGCCCCGCCACCCAGCCCATAGATTACTACGACCACACCTCGCTGGTACATCCCGCTATACAGCAGGGCTTCCCAGACATCTACCCCTTGACCACCATTCCTCCCGTCATCCCCACGTTTCGTGAGGCCTCTCCGCATCAAGAGCACCCACCGACGCCGTTGAGCCACACAGTCACCGGTTCCTCGGAGCCCGTCCAGTCTCATCGGCCCTTTCAATCTAGGCCTCGTGCCGTTCCCCAGCACGACCACCGCGATCATCTCCACCCCATTCTGCAACAGGGCTCGCAAGCGCGCTACCCCGCCGCCGCCCTCCCGCCCATCGCGTCCACTCCGCGAGTGGTTCCCTCCTCGTACCACTGCTTCCCGCCCCCGCCGTCGGGCCACACTGTCACGGGGGATACACAATTCTTCCCTTCTCATGAGTACGTCCCGCCCATACCTCGCGCCGCTCCTCTCCCTCAGCGTCAAGGTGCGCCCGCTTCGACGAACCTGACGGAGTGGGGGCCGCCACCCGCAGCGACAACGACGCGGAAGCGTCGCGCTCCATCCGAGGCCGGTGCGACGCCGTCGAAGAAGGCCAAAACCGGTTTTTTAGAGGATGCTTCCGCTTCAATTTCCACCCGCTCCGAGGCAGCTAGCGGGGATGACGATGACGACGACAGTTCCAATCTCTACCCGTTGGACACACCCATCAGGTGTCGATGGCCTCTTGATTCAGGCCGACGGTGCAACGCGCAGCACACCCTCGAGTCGATCGTCGACCACACGTTGGGACACGTCCCGGACGACGGGGGCAAACACCTGTGCATGTGGGAGGACTGCGATTCGACGACCTCCAAGACACCCTCCGCGTCGGAGGACCAGAAGTGGCAGGTCAAGCGCCGCATGCGCGTGGCGATGGGGAAGAAGAGCCTCGAGCGCCACCTCAGGCAATGCCACTTCCGCCTCGACGACAAGCACTGTCGCCACTGCGGGACGTCTGCACGGTCCGACGTGTACAACCACGTCCACGGCCCCGCCAAGTACTGCAAGCACAACCCCAAGAACGCTTCCCAGGCGTCGTCGCACACGGACCCGTCTCCCCCTCCCGCTGCTTCCTCCGGCTCGACTCCCGAGTTCGTCCAGGGCTCCAGCGGTGGCTCCTCTGCGTCGTCCGCGACTGAGGAGCCCGTCGAAACCCACCCCTTCCTGAGCTACGCCGCACCGGGGCCGTCGGCCGCCCTTCCTGCTCAGTTTATCGGGTTCCCGGCGAGCGCGGGAACCGCATGGCCATACACCGTTGCCCTCCCGCACGCCCCGCGTTATCCCTCCGCTCGGCCATCCTCCCTCTCCGCCACCCACGCGCCGACGTTTGCTCCCACCTCGCTCTCTAGCGTCCCGCCCATGCCGTCCGTCTCCTCTCTCCCTGCGGCCACGCCCTCCGTTCAAGTAAGCCCGGACACCCCTGCGCTCGTTCGCAACCCCGAGTTCTTCCCCGCCTCCGCCGCTGGGTCCAACGGCGCACTTTCCGTCTCTCCGAACCCCAGGTCGGTTTCCGTGCCCCCGACGGCGCCGAGCTGGCCCATCCTGCCGCCGCCGGTCCCCGCGGGCGCTCCGGAGGGCTTGATCCCTTTTCCGCCGCTCGACTCCGCTGCTGTCGGCGAGTTTCTGGATTCTTCTCTGAAGCCGTACTATCCCAGCCCCGACTCGTTCGGCGAGTTCTTCGGCCTGTCCGACTTGGACGTCGAGGAGTACTTTAGGCAGCTCTGACGGCGTGGGGCATCTCAGCATCATATGCCCCGGTTGATACCCCTCCATGCTACTCAGTACTACATGCCCTCAGTCCTCGTATATTACCTGCTTTCTACCCTGTGCGCCGAGTCCACATCGCACTGCTTTGATCCTATTCTCGTTTATTGCGAACCCCCATCCGATCCCTCGTGCTTGACAAGTTTTGGCCACGGCGAGATGGACTCGCCATTGTCCACGAACCACTGGAGCATAGCCTAGGTGATGTCTTCGTGATCTCCTCCTGCAGTCGTCGGAAAGCGCGCGGTCCTTCGCCGTAGATGGTCGGCGTGTTGATGTCGAAGATACCCATGAGGCAGTAAGCGGCATCCTCGACACGTGTGGTGACACGGGAAGACGCCCAGGACATGCGCTTCGCGACAGAGATGGAGGAGAGGGGTGCATGAAACCGGAGGACCTTGATGTCGATGAGGGTGATCTCCTGGAGGAGGGTGGCGAAGAACTCTTTCGTGCCGAGCATGGTCCAGTTGCTGGAGAAGAAGACGAGGTTCTTGGGCGCTATGAGCTCCTGTAGCGTCCAACCGCGCGTGAACCAAACGCTGAGCCTGAATTTGGAGCCGGCCGCGGCTGGGTTCGCTCTGGCCGGGACATCGAAGAGGTAGGCGAAGCAAATATCAGCGCCGGAGTACCACTTGTACATGGAGTTGATGGCCTCGGAGAGCTCGACGCTGTTCGTCTTGTCAATGCAGCACGTATCGATCCAGACCCACTCGAGACCTCGAATCCTCGCATGTCGACAGCATTCAGTGATTTTCGAGGCAATGCTTCGATCTCCCCGGGATCTTGAGACGACAAACTGGAAGTCTTGCTCTTCTGATTGCCAGACGTGGGACAAGATAGCGTATCGAGACGGAGGCTTGTCGAACTTGCGAAGGGAGTGGTGCTCTGTATCGATGAGCCACATCTTGCGAGGTATGTCAGCACTGGTACGATTCAAGCTCGCAGATGAGATACCCACGATTCACAGAAACTTGAGGGCTGCACAGCGCAGATGCGAGCTCGAATGGTGATGAGCCTTGAAAGCGGCGACTCGGCGTGACAGTGGGAGGAAGGCCGGCGATCCTGAGAGTCTAGCAAGTGCGATGAGCGTTAACGCATGATAAGCCTCGTGTCCATGTCCGTGCATGCTGTCCAAGAGTTGTCACTGGTGACGCGCGCCAGGAAAAGTCCTCCAGAAAGGACGTAACTTTAAACACGATGTTTGTTGGATATATCGGCGGCGGCTCGCGCCGGACGAGGTCGGACGAGGGGTCACGAAGGGATAGATACAGCGCGCTTGGTCTCCATGGGCACCGGAAGGCGAGTACAGACGGACGCAAGGGAGAACACCTCCGTCGATGGAGGCGGGAAGGACAAACGCGCGTGAGGCGAGTGCGGAACGGCGGCTCGGCGCGGCTACCCGCATGATGACTAAGCACAGGCACTAACGACGGCGAGCTTGCTACCTACATATTGATATGTGCGCGGGCATTGTCCAACAATGTTTTACTACATCATTTGACGTCTTGCGTGTGCGTCCAAACAGACGTACTGACTAGTAGCTCGGAGGGTGGCAGTTCATACAAATTACGCCGAGACCTGGTCACGGCACCGTGACCCGGGCCGGAATGGTAAGCGTCTGTACCCGCGCCACAATGCTGGCACTTGGTTGACTTTTGGTCTGTAGGTCCCAGGCCGGACCACCACCTGGGCGCACGCTGCCATTTCTCGCGTGCTCTATCACACGTTGACTCGACCATCGACGCCCAATCATCGGTGATTGACGAGATTGCTCGACCTGAAGTCGTGAGTGCGAGGCTCTCTCTTTCCCCCCACCTTCTCCCCACCCTCGCGCCACTCGTGCTCATGAGCTCCTCCCACTCAGAGACCCATCCGACGCTTCGACGATCTCAATCGGACATCTGCCTTACCTCCGTAGTTAACGCCAGTCGCAGAAACAGCGGCGTCGGCGCCACCGAACAAGGGGCATCTGGCAAGCTCTCATCGGCGTATGCTCAAGGCACCAACAGCGTCTTTGACACCCGCCCGCCTCGCGAGAAACGGCGGTCGGAGATGCTCGACCGTAGGCAGGACTGCACCAAGACGGTGGCTATCGAACAGTTCTACGACCTCAAACCCGCGCTGCTTGTTCATAGAAAGACACGTGAACAAGGATTGGACAGCATCGTCCCCAAGTTCTGGGCTCGGCTCAACGCAGTCAAATGGAACGGTGGCACGTGCAGCGAGAACGAGCTCACTAAAGCATGGGTACGTCGCCTGGCCTGTTTTCCGGTCTACCTGGTGGCTCATCCAGGCTCTGTCTCAAGAGGGAGCTCGACGAGGAGCATAAACTCTGCCCCAATCACACGTTCCGCCTTTCTGAGAACAAGCCTGACAAGGGCGAAATGACGAGGGCAAAAATCGACGGCGGCTTCTTTCACGACGAAGATGCGCCGTTCATCGTCTCTGATGTCCCCAATTGGCGCTTTTCGCGCTTCCTCGTCGAGTTCAAGCACGGAGGGAATGCACTCGACCCCTTCCATCAAGGGCCAAGAACAAGAGACGATGCAGACGCGCGCACCCAAGTCCGTGGCCAGCTTTACGCATACGCGGACTGTCTCCTCAACGCCCAGCATCGCACCCATGTTTTCATGCTCTTCGTCAATGGACCCGAGTTCCGCCTCTTGCACTGGGACAAGTCCGGCCTCATGGTCAGCCACGCGTATTCGTACGTCAACACTGAGGGCGACACCAGACGCCTTCTTTCCCTCCTTGCCGACCTGTCGGCACTGGAGCCCCAAGCTGCCGGCCTTGACCCCAGCGCGCACCGCCTCTCCCTGGGATCATGCGGATGGAAGTGCATGGACTGGGTCGCCGAAGATCGGGAAACCGATATTGACGAGCCTTGCGTCACCGAGGTCTACAACACCTCCGACATCTCTGCAGACTTCACCGAGGCGGTCGGCGACTGTCCGCACTTCACCACGGGCGGAGCATACTCGGACCCGGAAGTGGATATGGTTGGCGAGGCGAAGGACGTGTGGTCGGCCCCACGGCGCACCTTCAAGTACATCCGCACGTTGTTCAAACAGTCCCTCACGGAAGGCGCGCCGCGGTACGCGCTCGTCATCGCCGGCAAGTTCTATCTCGTCTGCGACCCCATGGCTCGCACGCACGGACCGTTCGGACGGGGCACACGCGGGTGGCCTGCGCTCGAGTGGCACACACAGCGCCTGGTCTTCGTCAAGGACGCGTGGCAGCCCCACTACGACGGCGTCGAGCCGGAACATGTCACCCTCAAGAAGCTCAACGAGGTCAAGGTCGAGGGCGTCCCCACGCTGATCGCCGCGGAGGTGTACGCTGGGCAAGTCACGTACTTGTCTTCGGTCGCGGGCGTCACTTCTCCTGGACGGAATACCCCCCTCGGCGGTGGCAAATCGGCGGTGGCAGTTGACCGGGATACCCCTCACGAGTTCACCCCTCCTTCTTCCCAATTCGACCCCCAAAACCCCGTCGATCCCACGTCTGGTTCAGGGTCCGGTGCCGCCGCCGGCCCTGCAGATGGCGCACCAGTGTCCCAGGGCCTCGCGGGAGTACGGCACCTCCGACACGTCCGCATGGTGGTTGCTGAGATATGCCTTCCGTTGAGGAAGTTCCCTCGTGGACTCGATCTCATTTTGATCATCCTCGACGCTATTAACGGTGAGTTTTCTGAATAGCTCGACGTGGCGATGAAGCTTACGATGCTGCAGCGCATCAGCAAGCGTTCAACTCGGAGCACCAGCTGCTCCACCGGGACGTCAGCGTCGGAAACATCCTCATCCTGCCTCGGTTCGAGGACAACGGTGACGGGACGTCGCAGATTGTGTGGCGTGGGATCCTGGCGGACTGGGAGATGGCGAAGAGCGTGCTTGTGACCATCGCTACGCAGCCAATGCGGACGGTGAGCGCAAACTCCCCCGGCCTGCATCACGTCGTTGTGGCTGACATTACACAGGGGACGTGGGCGTTCATGTCCATCCTGTGCCAAATGGACAAGACCAGGGCCATCGATGTGGACGACGAACTCGAGTCGTTCTTGCACGTCTTGATCTTCATGGCCGTTGTGTACATGGCCAGCGACTGGGAGCCCCACGTCGTCGACGGGTTTGTACCGAGCTACTTCTATCTCGGCCAACAGACCAAGAGCGGCCAGACGTGCACCCACACACGCCTATTGTGCATCCGACAAGGCACTATCACGACTGGCCCCGACCAGCTCAAGCTCTACCAAGTCGATCACGCCGGAAAGGAAGGCCCCGTGCACCCTTTGAACGACGTCCTCTCCAAACTCCTCGGACTGTTCCGCGCCCGCTTGCTCGTCCACGAGCATAGTTTGCGCGCCCTGGCGCCATCCCCACCGACCCCTGAGGCCGACGCTGGACCAAAGCCGGCCATTCCAACCAGCGTCCTGGCGCGTCTCAAGAACCGACGCCCCCACGACGTTCTCCTCCCGTCAGCACCGCGAGCGCCATCGGCACGGGACCTCGAGACCCTAAAGGGGGAGGCGGAATTGCTCAAGAGCCACGACGTGTTCATTTCGATCCTGGAGACGGCTGTAGACCAGCACGCCTGGCCCGAACGAGACAGGTACAGTGACGTCGGGGTCTCGTTGCAGCAGCCGGCTGCGGAGGAGGAGGACCAGCAGGCGCAGGATGGGGCAAAGGTTTCGCAGGGAGAACCGGAGGTTGGTACTCGGCGCGCCACTCGGTCGACTAGTGGGATGTAGGGTATCAGCTAGATATGTCGCTCGACTATACACGCTCTGGGACCGTGCCATATTATGTAGGCCTCAGTTGGAGCGGCTTGAGCAGACGACACAGCACATGTAAGACGCACAGTGGCAGGAGAACCGGTGCCGAATCGGGCTGGATCGAACCTTGGGCGAAAACTTGCCAGACCGCGGGCCCGCCCGTAAAATCCGAATGCGATTCCAATCCGATTTGGCCGGGAATGGGTGCGGCCAAGCGCGATAAGATCGATTCAAGGTGAACCGGCGCATTACGGCGAGCGTGCAAGAGCGATACAGGGCCATAGAAGCACGCTCTTTGAGCACGTCGAAAACGCACGGGAAATATTAGGTTCTCCGCGCGAAACCGTCACCGGCGATGTATAAATGGAGCGTAAATACAATGAAGAGTCAGGGACCCGATGCAAGCAAAACCAAGAGAATAACGGCGCAAGTATACCAACGTCCAGCGTAGGGAACTGTCCCATCGTAACATGTCCAGCACGAACCACGGCGACAACTCATTGAAAACCCCAGGCCGTCGGAAACACACTGAGCGGAGGAAGCGGCCGCGTCCTGACGGTCAGCGCCAACCACGAACGCCAGCGAGTCGTATCAACCCACGATCTCCAGGCGCGCCCCGGACGGCTCAGGGAAGTCTGCTCCCGCCTCGTCAAGGTCGAGCAGCGGATCGAACTCGAATCCGCGGTCGAGGCCGAGGTCGAGGCTGAAGTAGTTGAAAAAGTCGTGCCCGAGGTCAAAGTCGTAGTCGAGGAAGCCGGCGACCGCCTGCGTGGCGCTGTCCGCGACTCCGAGGTTGACCGGCTCGGGCGCCGCGGGGGGCGCGGGGACGGGCGGCGGGGAAGGGACGCGGAGTCCCGACGGGGTCACCGGCGCGGAGACGACGCGGGGCGACGAAGGGACTATCCGGGGAATGGGCTCCGTGTACTGCGGGAACACCGGGGGAGTGTCGGTGTGCGGATGCTGAGGAGAAGGGCTCGCAGGGGGCGGCGACGGCTGGGCGGCGGTCGGGGCGCGCGTCGAGGTTGAGGTGGGCGTCGAAGCGTACCGGGGAGTCTCGTAGGCGAATGGGGAGGGGGTTCCAGAGCCGCTTGTCGACGGTGATGGTGAAACGGATGAGGAGGAAGGCTTGGGGGATAAAGAAGCCGGCGAGCCCGCGCCAGCGAGAAGGTACGGGAGGCGAGGGCAGCGCAGCGCGGGGCCGTGCCGCTTCCTGTACGAGTCTCCGCGCGCGCGATACTTGCAGAAGTAGCACTCAAGGTAGCTCTCCTGCAGGTGCGTGTCCTTGACGTGGCGCAGGAAGTTGTCCTTGTCGATGAACCTGCCCTTTTCGTTCAGCTCGCACCCGGCCCACCGGCAGAGCAGCACCGTCCTCTCGACCCCCTTGAAGACCTCCAGATGCGCGGTGCGGTCGAGGTCGTGCTTGTGGCCGGAGGCGTCCATGACGTGGAGCTCGGTGAAGTTGTCGAGCGTGTCACGATAACCGCACTTTCGCCCATTGGCCGCCCACTTGCATTCGACTATCTTGTCTAGATCGGCGCGTATGTCAAAGCAAGGCGGGTAGTCCTGGGGCCATACGGCCTTCTTGACACTCGGTGTGGGGCCCTCGTCCGATGGTGAGGCCTCCCGGGACCGCTTGCGGTATGGGGCCTGAGGGTTTTGTGTGGACGGACGGAGTGTGCGCACTGGGCGGTTCAGACGTGGGGTGTTGCCCTGGGGGGCTGTGGGGTCGAGAAGACACACGAAGTGAGGCGAGGGAGGCGCGGAGGAGTTGGGAGGAAACTGACCATAACCTAGTTGGAGACCAGCACCGTTGTCATTGCCGAACGAAGCGGTAGCGCATCTGCTGATGAAATTGATAAGCACAAAGCAGAAGCAATGCAGAAGAGAGCGAAAACTCAACTGGTTGAAAGGCGCAGACGCCGGGACTTGAGGTGGTTGAGATGCGTTCTCCTTCAACCACTGCTCCGAATAGCAATGAAGGAAACGGTATGGCGAAGCGGAGAGGCGAGGATCTCCAGCGATCGGCTCACGGAAGGGGACCACGGGTGGCCTGTGAGCGCGCGCAATCAGTGCGAAGCGGAGACGATCACGGAAAGGGAAACTCAACATGTTCTCCGGGCCAGAACCACTGCCAACGCTAACAGAAGCCTCCGCATCTTGAGTGGGAAAGTTCCAGGTATGAGCGCCGTAGGGACCAGTGGAGAATGTGGGCGAAGTGCTACCGTGAAGACGAACGTCAGCTCTTGAGATCACGGGCCAATTGGAAGTACTCACTTTGTGGCCCAAGTCTGGCCAGCGGAGTGGTTGGGAGACATGATCGATGAGAGCTCGAGGGAGGAAGGTGGTACGAAAGGCGGAGGAGAGGCCGTGGCGAGCTCGTGGGTGGACGAGGTTGAGGCGTATGGAGTGAGGAAGAGATAGAGGCCGCCGGTGCATTTAAACCGCTACCGAAGTTCAGGCCGCGTAGACGTAGTGGTCACGCACAAAGACGCTTTGCCTCTTGCGTAACCAAGCAGAGGATCGCCAGCCGCCCCCTCGGCCTTGACTGGACCCGACCGTCGTCGTCGACCTCAAGGGTGCCCGTCGCGCGACCCCAGTTCATTTCGCCAAAGCGTGACCTTTGTGCGCTTTGTGAAGGAGGGCGTCCCGCGGCCCCGGAGCGTCTCCAGAACAATAGCGACCCGCGGCCGCGGGGCGATCGGGGGACTGGGACCCTGGCGACTTCGCGGGGGCGCTTGAGAGCAGACGGGTTGGCCCAAGCCTCGGATGCCGCCCAGCCGCTGGCTCCCGCAAAGAAAGAGGCGCCTTCTCCTTTGTCCGCTCTTTCCATGAACGCGCCGTATGTGGTCGCTCCCTGGCGCTTCGATCCGCCGCGGCTTGCCTGCGCCACTTGGCCCCGTTCCACTGCGTCAAGGCCCCGGCACTATGTTGTCCGGCACAACTACCCTTTAGCGATCTTAACTTCCCCTTTTTGAAGTGACGACGCGCCGAGTCCCCGCCGCATCTGTACACCTTTTCCGGGACCGAATGAGATTGGACCTTGGGGCGAAAGAAATGGGAGGTCGTGGCGAAGGAAAGGCTTTCGGGTTGCTGTAAACGTCTCAAATCTATGAGAACCCTCTTGCGCGGGGTCCTGCTAGATTCGCACCCCGCCGGCTCGGCAAAGAGGGTGGGGACCAGAACCCTGGTTGGACGGTTGGACGCCGATTCTTGTGGTCGAGCACAGCGTCAGCACCATCGCTGTGCTTCGCAGCGCATCTTTACCTGTCCTTTATGCTATCCACTACAAAGCCGCTCTTTCCATGGGTCCGCAAGACCAAGGGACATCCTGGACTGTAACTCTAGCACAAACTTGGTGCGCGAGCGACTGCGTTTTGTGATTTGTAAGATAAGGGCAACAAGAGGCAATGACACGCTGCCTGACCTTAAAATGGATCTCCTGCATCTCTAGTGCACCAATAGACGCTCCGCACTCGCATTGCTGGCCAGAGGTGCATGGGGAAACGACGCAAAGCTCGAAACAAAGACCAACCCGGCGCCAGCTCATCGTGCGTGACAGTGACGCTTCGCGTGTCACGCCAGACGAGCGGGGGTCCTCGCCTTTTCTGGCAGCCTCACTGCCACCTGTGCTTCGCGAAGCAGCTCGGCCGGTCCTTTGTCACCGGGTGCGCGCGCGTCCGGGCCACACGTGCGTGGGCGCAACAAGCTCGCGTTCGGTCGGTGAGGGTGCCAGAGCCCAGGTGCAAGGGGCGCGGTGACGTGGAACGCTGGAAGCAGCAAACTCTATGGATTGTTGGGGCTACAGGTTGTTCTACGGGAGCGAGATGCTGGGTGAATGCAGTCTAGGATCTATGCGTTGTGAGAATGTCCGAATATGCGACGACGGAGGGACGGAAGGGGGCGTGACGTAAAGAGCATGAGAAAACATGTGTAGGGAAGGATTAGTTCCGTGTTAGTAAGGCGTAAACACGGGAACGCCATGGATGCGACCCATTAAGGAGGTATCAGCTACAACGAACGAAAGATGCGTGACGGCGAGGTGCAGGGTGATAAGTTACTTGCAACGGGGGAGACGCGCGAGCCGAACTGCGAACCACAGACGACGATAGGTTCAAACCTTCTCCACACCCTTCGCGGCGGCGGCAGCCTCCTCCTCGAGCTCCTTGGCGATGACCAAGTCCTGCAACGAACGCGTCGCGGTCAGCGCGCGGTCCCGAAACCGGCCGGGCAGAGGCACTCACGAGGCTGGGGGAGAACTTGGACTTGGAGCGCACCCACGTGCCGTACCTGTAGAACAGGAACGGGCTCGGCGCGAGCAGCAGGCCGGCGAAGCCGATGAGCGTGCACGCCCAGTTGATCCCGAGCCGGTGGAACATCTGCACGGTGAAGAGCGGGAACGCGGCGCCGACCGCGGAGCGGATGATCGTGTTCGCGGAGAACGCGGACGCGCTGTACTGCAGGTACGTGTCGACGAGGTACGACTGTCGTGTGCCGGGTCGGGTGAGAACTCCGGTGCGCGCGAGGGTGTGGAGAGAAGGGGAGGCTTACCAGGAAGGAGTTGAAGATGAGCGCGACGCTCGCGCCGATGGGGATCGTGGCGAGCGCGGGGACGATCCAGTGCACGGACGGGTAGTTCCCCGACCAGCCGAGCCAGAAGGAGCCGACGACGAGCAGGGGCGCGCCGATCATCGCGCCGTACAGACGCTCCTCCGGGGGCGGGAACCCGCGCCACTTTACGAGCAGGGCGGGGTAGTGCCTCGTCGTGGGCACCATGAGGTACGCGCCGATGGTCGTGCCGATGCCGACGCCGATGAAGATGAGGCCCGACTGGGCGACGTCGAAGCCGCGCGTGCCGACGAAGATGAGCGGGAGCGCCTCGAACACTGGTCGATTGGTCAGCGTGGTGTGGGCGCGGAGGCGCGATGCGAACTTACACGCGTAGAGGACACCGTACACGAGCGACATGTAGAGCGTCACGAGGAGGAGGACGGGCTCCTGGATGAGCATCTGGACAGGGCGGTAGACCGTGCGGTGCAAAATGCCTCTGATCGACCAGTCCGACCTCTCGTGCTGCGAGTACAGCTGCGCGTTGGTAGCCGGGTCCGCCTTTCGCAGCCGCCGTGCCTTCCACTGGAGGAGGACGGGCGCGAAGGTCTCGGGGAGGAAGGCGAAGGCGAGCACGGTGCACGAGCCCGCGAAGATCATCATGACCCAGAAGACCCAGCGCCAGCCGAGCGTGCTCTGGATGATACTAGAGAAGCCATGTCAGCGTCTGCGCAAACCCCCCGTGCGAACGCGGACGCGACTCACAAACCACCGACGGTGGGACCGAGGACGGGGCCGAGGAAGACGCCGGACGAGAAGAGCGCGGTCGCCTTGCCGCGGTTGATCGGGTCCCACATGTCGACGATGAGGCCGCCGGAGATGGTGAGCGGCGCGCAGGCGAAGACGCCGCAGAGGAAGCGGGTCACGAGCAGCGTCTCGATGTTGTGCGCGAGCGCCTGGCCGAGGTGGAGGAGGACGTAGCACGAGAGCGAAAGGCGGAAGATGACTCGCCGGCCGTACAGCTCCGACCCGGGCCCCCAGAGCAGGGGCCCGACGACGTAGCCGCAGAGGAAGATGGAGGTGATCAGGTAGCCGACCTCGTCACTGACTCCGAACTCCGCACAGATGGCGGCGGTGGCCGCCGAGGGCGCCGAGGAGGCAAACGTGCTGCAGAACCAGGGTTTCAGTCAGTCGGGACGTCATGCAGCGGAAGGGGGAGAGAGACGTACACGTTCACCGCCATGAGGACGCCGAGGGTGGTGAGCGCCCACTTGCGCGCCACCGTCCAGTTTTGCGGGTTCTCGGGATCGTGCGGTCCATCCCATGCGACCAGGTTCGGATCGACTGCCTCGTCCTTGGGGACAGGGATCTTACCATCCACCTTCGGCAAGGGATCCTGGGGGTCGTCTCCACCATACTCTTCCGCGCGCTCCTCTTCCCTTTGCAGCCTACGTTCGAGCTCCGTGGGTGGCCTCACCGCAGGAGTCTCGTTCCGGAAGGTGCTCGTGGACGAGCGTGGCGAAGCCGTTCCGGACATGTCAGAGGAGGTCGGCTTTGAAGTTATCCGTGGCGAGGTGGCCAGCAGGATAGAGGAAAGCGAGCGACGGAAGGGAGGGAGAGGGAGGCGGAAGAGAGGGCAGGGGGGCGGACAAGTCAGCGGAAGTCGGAAGTGCTCGACATCGGAGCTTTATACGCGGAACCATGGCCGCGCGATAATGAGGAGTAACGATATAAGCGTGGTCGAGGGCAACGCCCGGTGCGTCAGCACAACACAACATCCGACGATCCAGGGGTTCCGCGGAGCGGAAGATAGAGACGATGTCGGCCGGCCTCGCCGCCTCGGTGGACGAGGGCGCCGGTTATCGTGTTTGCCGGGGCCGGATCTTGGCCTTGCCACATCCGCCGTTCATGTTTCTGCCGTTCGGGGATGACAAAGGACCCGCTGAGCAACCTCGCCAGTGCCCGCTGGACCGGTCGGAGTCCAGTGGGACTGGGGGCTCGGAGGCTTCGGTATGTCTTCTTCCTGTCTGAGATCCATCGTCCGTCGGAAAAAAGGCGGACTGATATGAGCTATGGTGCAGTCCATTTGACCACCACTACTTTTGTACAGCGCTTCGGGAGCGCTCAATAAGCACCCAATTTCTTAGTTCTCTAGCCAATCACCCCCTTTTCGTTGTCTGAACAAATCCCCAAGAGGGTTTGTCGAAATTCTGAGTTTGAAGGATTTTCATCTCCCCGCTATTGCCACACGTGCTGATAGATGACTAATACAGTCATGTGATGTAATAAGCGCCTCTCTCTAAGACTTCTTTTGTGCGATTGCTACAGTGACCAGTTCAGTCAGGACCAGTACACGCTCATCAATTTGCTACTGAGCAGAGATAGTACAATTGGATACATAAATAGCGTGACTATCAGTGCTCGCAGGACAATTTGGCAATCTGGGCTTCTAGCAGGTTCGTCCCTACTGCACATTAATGATGACCTCAAGGCTCAGACAAGTGAGGCAGATTCCTATTTGTACTGGATATCACTACACAAATTTCTCATTTCGTCCAGAAATATGTTCTATACATGCGTACGAGCCCATTATTGGCCATCTTCAGCTTCTGGACTACATATTCAAGTGTCTCGAAAATCAAGTCTGGCTATTGCCACCACGTGACTGATTATGTAAGCTGTGCGAAAGTAGTGGCGGCCAAATGGACTGCACCATAGAGAAGCCTGGGCCGGTCATCAAATCATTGTTGCGTACCATCAAGCGCCGACGATCTGTACGCACCGGCCCGCTGGATGGCCGGCCATGAACGTTTGAACACCGCCTTAGAGTTTTAGGCGCATGACGTCGTCACGTATGTTATAAAGTATGAGGAACAAGTATCTTCAGCGGTGTCCGTGCATTGTGTCGTACGCAACATGGCCACGTTCTGTGCTTGCATCTATTTTCCCGAAGTTATCTCATAAAGAGCGTAGCTTCTAGCGTCCGCAATGCGTACGGCGCACCTAACCTTTGCTCGCGCAGTTTAAGTCTTGTCTCCGTAAGTGGCTTACGCTGCTTACTAACACCGGTGCTCCCTTCTTGACAGACGTCGAGAAGTAGCCACCAAACACACTCCCAGAACACTCACAGGATTAATGTGTCTGCCTCATGCCAAAGTAAAACTCGCCCGGTCCGACTCCGACGCAACACGTCTCAGGCGCACCGCTCGGCGTTGGGCCCATCAAGCCACACATGCCGTAGTCCTTTTTTTGGTGGAGCAATTACCGTAGACCGTCGTTTCACCGGGGATCCAGGACAGTCCGATTTGTAGCGAAACAACCGGCTTGCTTTTTCGTACAGGCTTGAGCAGAGGAAGCTAGAAAACTCCGCCCTTGCCTAATCACCGCGATGGAATGCAATTACGCACAAAATGTGGGACTCAGCCCAGCGTGCATCATCTAGGCTTCAGTTGTAGTCGACGAACCCCTGCAGCTTCTTCGCCGTTCTCGGCGGGAACTTGAACGCCGCGAGCTTCTCCCCGAACGTGCGCACGATCTGCACCACGCCCTCCTTGATCGCTGCAGAAACCGCACCCGTCAGCGTCCCGCCCGACCCGGGTTTCGGCACTCCGACGCGTGCCACTCACCGTCCTCGACGACGCCGACGACCTCGCTCGCACGCGCGGCCTCCATCGCCAGCACCTCCCGCTCCGCCACCTCCCGCGCCGGCAGGTCCTTCAGCGCCTCCGCGTCCGGCCGCGCGTGCTTCGCGCCAAGCTCCGCCCGGTACTCCTCCAGCGCGCCGAGGAACGCGAGCAGCGCCTCGACGATCCTCGGGATGTCGCGCTGCACGACCCCGTACCGGTCCTCCGCGAGCGACGCGCACGCAAGCCGGCACAGCACTGCGTCCGCACCCATGCGTCAGCACGACTGTCGCACGCACACGAAATGGAACCCCACTCACCCTCCGCGACGAGCGCGTCGAGGTGCCGGTCCGGCAGGCTCGCCTCCGCGACCTTGTGCACGCGCTCGCGCGCCCACCACCGCCGCGCGCGCCCGGCCTCGGCCCCGTCGCCGCCCACCGCGCGCTCGACGCGCGCCCACCACGCGCTCCCCGCCGCCACGACCGCGCGCTCGGCCTCCTTCGCGCCCGCCGCGACCGCGGGCAGCGGCGACGACGGTGCGGCGACGACGGAGCGGAAGAGCTCGGGCACGTGCGCCACGCCGGCGCCGGCGGTCTCGTCGACCGCCGCGGCCAGCGCGCCGTCCGATGCGAAGGTGTCGAGGGCGGCGCGCAGCGGCGAGGGCTGGGGGGCCCGGAAGACCGAGGCGCGGAGGAGCGGCGTCGCGGGCGCAGGGAGGGGGGTTGACGCCTTGGGCGGGGCCGCGGCCGCGGGGGCTGCGAGGCGCGGCGGGTGAGTACCTCCATGGTCGGGAGCGTGGAAGCGGCATCGAGACGTACCTGGCGGCGCGGGTTGCCCGCGGCGGAGGAAGAGCTGGTAGTCGCGGCCGAGCGTGAGGAGCGCCTCTCGGGAGAGCGTCGCCCAGAGGCTCGGAGTGTACTTCTGGTCACCGAACAACGCGGTGCGGCGTGCGCTCGCGGCTTCCGAAGGGTCAGTGGCAAGGTCGCGCAGCTCGGCGAAGGCAAAGTGCTTGAGGTAAGGGTCTGTCGAGGTGATGCCCGACACCAGGGTTAGACCCTGATCAGCCGTCTGCGCAGCAACGTGGGTGGGCTACGAGGGACGTCAGCAAAGTCGAGAGGTGGTGAGGCAGCACAACAGCGAGTACCTCCGCAACGATGGCTTCAAATGACGTCTCCGCGAACTCCCATACCCCGACTGTGCTCAGCGCCAAGTAGAAGGTTCTTGTGACGAGAGACCAGTGTCGGGTGAGCAGGAACGGGGCCCATTGTCCCCTGAGGAAGTGCGCAGCAAATGGGCGGAGGAGGTTGGACAGCACAGGGAGCTGGAAAAGCACGGGCAAGACGGTGGCGCGAGCGAGGCCAAATGCCACAATGTACGCGAGGGAGACGAGGGCAGTGTAGATGAGTGTCGTGAACGTCACCGTGAGGATGCGCGCCAGGCCAAAGGTCTTGAGCTGCTCCTGCGAGGACGCGAAATTCCACCGGACGGTGAACCGGTCGAGGAGAACAGACCTTAGCAAACAGGCAAACGCGACGAATGCTTGTGAGAGGAGGACATATATCAAGTGTCCGTTGAGGTAGTAAGGGTGCTTTCTAGACATCCATAAGATGAGGGAACTTGGATTACACGAGCCTAGAACTCACTTTGATTTGACGAAGATGGAGAGCCGCGCGTGAGTGTCGACAGAAGGCTCGTACGCGCCTGTAATCATGATGTGTATTGTGGCGAGGAAGATTGCGGACGCAGTGTAGACCGCGAAGGCATGTATGGTACTACTTTTCTTGAAGGCTCCGGTCAGAATCTTGGACGGCGATGTTGCGGGGGTGGGTGAAGCTATGAAGACGGAATTGAGCACATGAAGCACGATGACCAGCAAAAGCGGCGAAACTCAAGACAATCGTTAAACAGCAGAGTCGAGAGCTCGCGACGCCCCAGGGGCCCCGCGCCACCAGTCGCGATGTGAACTCGCGAAAATGGGTCCAGTGGAAACCCGCATCGTGGCTCTCGCCCGTTCACATCGAGCGCAGACTCTGGCGCACCACACATCTCACTTCAATGTACATATATGGTGCCTGAAAGACTCCATACACCTGCCAGGGGTATGGAAGTCGAGATCTCGCGTCCCGATTACCAGAGAGCATACAGAGAGGGTGGTAGAGGTTTCGGAGGGACGATAGGATGGAATTGACGGGATGCCGGTCGAAGTGCACAGAACTCACCAGCAAGATGTGCCTTTCTCACCACCACCACTGGCAGAGCACCCGCGACAAAGGCAGCCACGGAGTACAACAGCGTGGACACTCGGATCGGTGCGGTTATGGAGCCTCCTTTTCCTTCCTGCCATGTTGTCCAAGTCGTGACGAGGAACCAAGAGAAGAGTGCGGAGTGGAGGAAGACTTTGAACTGTCGGTGGCGCAGGACACGTTTTACAAGGGGTTCGTAAAGTTCGGAGGCAGAGGGGATCTTGGGCGCGGTTCGTGAGAGGAGAACAGAGGTTTTGGCCCGGGCAGGGGTATGAGGGGCCAACATCGTGGTGGGCGATGAGCAAAACGCGCGAGACAGCGTGCAAAGATCTGAACGCGTCGACTACGGGCGTGTACGAGATCACGTGTGCGGTCGGCTTTCTTTGTCGAGCGCCGGAGAAATTCAAACTTGTTCAGAAAGGCTTCAAGCGCAAGCGCAGCGCTCTCAGCCTCGTCCGCTGTTTCGAGCCCTCCCTAGGACCCTCGCCTCCACTCATTTGACCCAAGTACACCATTTTGACTGCCAGGAGCGAGCCAACAGGCACAGACGGCCCACTTATCTGGCCACGTGGGGAGCGGAGGCTTGTCTTACCGGACACGAGGCTCACTCTCATCTGGTAGCCGACTGCTCCTGGCTTTCGAATGGAAGTGATCACGGCGGGCATGAGGCAACGCGCAACAATCCAGAACACCGCCCGGCACGCCATGCGCATCCCATGTGTCTTGAGCGGTCAGCCAGAGCAAGCACGACGGGCAACGGCCCAGCTTCGGAGCCCGAAAAGGCGTAGAAAAAGCCTGTCAAAGGTGTCTTTTCTGCAGCCTTTTGTGCGCGTGTGAAAACGGCACTAAAATGGGCAATTTCTCCGTGTGATTTACGGAGTGCCGAAAACGATCGATAAAGAGAGTGAGGTTCGAACGAGGCGCGAGGAACGAGCGCCTCGGCCGAACGGGTGCTTTCTAGGCGTGGGTTGCCGGTGGTTGCCGGATGAGGGAGACGCGCGCTAGCGCGCTAAAGGCTATCGCCTCTCGTCTCCTCCCGCATCGCACCCACGCAGCTCAAAGCGCACCCACCCACCACTCCCAGCGCTTTGGTTGTGAGAGTGGCGCAGAACGCGTCGCACTCCGGCCTCGCGCTCAAGCGGACCGTCCGGGATCGCGACTCACACTCGCGTTCTGCCCAGCATCGGGCCCGACCTTCCCGGACGGGCGCTCCGCTTTTCCCTCCCGCAGACCAAGACCGAACACGTGGGGCGCTACAGTGACCAGAGCGCCCCTCGGCCATCGTTTCCCCTCACTGCCGGCTTGCCACAAGGTTCCCACCACGCAACTAGGAAGCCCTTTGGTACCCATTCCAATAACGCGCGTTACTTATCATTCGTACTCACTTGTTTGTTACTCACATACTATACACGTTCTATTGCCTTTACAATGAATTCTATTGTCTTTGTTCTGAGCACAGTATTCTGTCGTGCCAAAACATTCGCCCAAAACGTCACCTTTCAGGATACTCTACGACACACACAAACCTGACATAAAAGTTCGCCTTTCCCACCCTTTTTCTCCCCTGGAAAAATACCTGCCGGAAATGACACCTTTGACAGGCTTTTTCTACGCCTTTTCGGGCTCCGAAGCTGAGCCGTTGCCCGTCGTGAAGCCGCGCACCTCTCTTCAGCCCACATCCGAATGACTCCGTCAGCCTCCCTCCACCATCTCACTTTTTTCCGCTCTAGCTTTCTCTCTCCCTCTCTCTGTGACACACGACTCTTGCTTGGCAACTCTTCAGCACCTGGAGCTCGCCGAACATGTCTCCCAAGTCCTCCAAACACGCCCGGCGGTCTAGCGTCACTCGGATGATACTCGACATCGTCTTGCCAAAGCCCACGCCCAACATCCCGACCCTAGGCAAGCGGCGTCGCGAGTCGAGCGAGTCCGACGCCAGGTCTCGTGTGTCCACCCAGTCCGATCGTCCGGCCCCGTCTACAGCCAGCGGTGCGAGCTCGTCGTCCCGTCCTTCTTGTGTCGCTCTCCAGAACGAAGACCCCTTCCTGGACGCCGTCGTCATCACCGCCCTCAACACGATCCCCTTCTGCTGCCACGCCGACCTCGTCACCATGAAGCGCACCGAGCTCCTCCAAGTCGCCTTCACCATGAACGCCGCCCTGCCGCACGCCCTCCAGATCGACACCGACCCGACGTGCTCGGACGCGTCCATCCGGCACTCCATCGAGCTCCTCGTCGGCCTCCGCAAGGCTGCTCCCCAGGCCGCCTCCCAGCGCAGCCCCTCGCACGCGTACAAACGCTCGGCCGCGTCCGCCCCGACGTCGCTCCTCTCCCCGCGCACGCCCGTGACCAGCGGCGCGAGCGCGCGCAGCCTGCCCCCCGGCAGCGGCTCTTCATATGGTGGGCGGCTCCCCTCTACTCCGATGTCCCCCCTCGCCAACCGCGGCCGCGGGCGCAGCACGCCCGCTCTCGCCGTCCTCGCAGAGGCTCCCGACGAGCTCAAATTCGAGCTCGAGCTCGGGCTCGAAAGCGCCCAGCTGGGCCCCGCCCTCGACCCCAAGCACGACCCCGCCCTCGCTCTCGCCCTCGACCTCGCGGCCTCCCTCGACGCGCACCCGTCCCCCCTCAAGCGGCGCCGCACCGACACTCCCCGCCCGGTCCCGCACGTCCTGACCCCGCCCGCGCGCGAGCGCCCGATCACGCGCGCCCAGTCCCGCCGCCTCACCCCCCTCCTCAAACACCAGCACCAGCCCCAGAACGCGGCCCCCGACGCGGTCGTCCGCGACCTCGCTGCCGCGGTCGCCGCGAGCCACTTCGCGGGCCCAGGCGCCGCCAGCCGCGCGCGCGCGCCCGTGCGCTCCGCGGCCCCGAGCCCGTCCCCGCGGCGGGCGCGGGCGGCGCGCAAGGCCAGGCCCGTGGCCACGCCGATGACGTCCACGCCGAAGCGGCAGGGGCGTGCGCGCGGGCCGGGGCGCGACGACGCGCGCCGCTTCGGCTCGCTCTTCGTGGAGGTGCAGAACGCGAACGGTGCGGTGAGGCGGTGGGACGGGACGGGAGTGGGAGCGGGGAAGGGGAAGGAGGTGTGCCACGCGCCCCTGGACGAGACCGACTTGACGTTCGGGCTCGACGGGTTCACTCTGCCGCTTGCGGACGAGTCCACTGGGGCGGTGTGTAACTTTTAGAGCGTCCGCCCGCGCGGGGGACTGTATATGTTCGCCTTTTTGCATTATTATCTCGAGGTACGAGCACGAGCACCATTGTTGTTGTAGAATCTCTCCAGCCTCCGAGCACACGCGCCCACGCACGATGTATCACTAGCCACGATTTTCCTCTCCTTGCATACATAGTCTCCTCCAGTATCTATCGCATTATTTTCGACGCTGCTCTCGAATCTGGACGCCCGCTGCGAGGCTCATTGTTCCCCGATCCGATCTATATTCCATCGTGTCGATCTCCACAACATCTAGGATTTTAGGGCTACACGATGGCCCCACGCCGCATGCTACGTCCCAAGACGTTGAAGCTCGGCACCAGATCCGCGCACACCTGGACCCACTGCGCTCGCGGGGCGTTCCCCACGTGCAGTCAAAGTCCGCGCGCCCTCGGCTCTGCCGTTCCGCGCGCGACGCACGCGCCGCGGAGAGAGACGATGGACAGTCAGGACAAATGAGGACAAAGCAGCTTTCTTGACAGCCAGGCCTGTGCGCAACTGGCGGAGAGGCACGCGTGACATGGTACAGCTAATGTGACACGACATCATGAATTGTGACAAGAGTTTCGAGCGGCGCTGCTGGCGTCAGTACAGGTCTTGTCTCGAGCCCCTTCGACGGCTGCAGAGAAAGTAGGTGGACACTTCAAGAGATGTTGATAGGGGACAAGCCGCCTTTTTACAGGTGGGAATAGGACGGACAGCACCTCCTCCTGGAGCCGCCCCGTGTCATGGAGATGACCCAGGATCGTCGCCGCTGTCGTTCAACACTGTCCTCTCGTGGTTGGTGTCATGTTCTCCACGATCTTCATCGCAAAGCTATACTGGATCTATTATGCTCATCCGCATTTCCACAAGATGAAGCGTCTAGAGTGACGAACCCTAAGAGACCCGTCACCGCCATGCGTGACTTTCCGTGACTGGGTCTTGCTTTTTGCGTCGAACATGCAGTCGGACACTGCTCACAGTACGTCTCTGTGACACTTGCCTCTGCGTGAAGGGAGCTGATGTCCGCATCTATGGTTCCCAGATCTCCAAACCATCTAGGGTTCTCGAACGGGCAAGGCCACACGCAGCAAACGACAAAGCGACCCCGACCACTACCGAAAGCGTCACGAAAGGCGGACAAACGAGCACGCGCGGCGGACACAGTCGCGTAGCGAGCACAGCCCCGAGGCTTCTCTGCTTAGAGCAAAGCAGCTTCAGGCCCTTTCAAGCCCCGCGATCTCTGTCGCCCCGATCCCTTCCCGACTCCCCACCCCGCGAGCCTTTGTCTGCCCGCCAAATCCGGTGAACTGGTCGGGTCGGCTTCTGCAGGGTCGGCTTGCGCGACAGGCCGCCAGATCCCGGAGGCGATGGCGGCGGTCCAGATCCCCGGGTCCATTAGAGCAAAGCGAAGGACCCGAGAGGCGTGAGACGCGCCCAAAGTAGTATGTGCAGCTGGAATGTTTGTGCGACCAAACACTCGCCGTTCAAAATGGCCAGAGGCTGAGGCCACAATCTCGTCTCCCCAGCCCCCTAGTCCCCCACCTCCCCAGTGCCCTTGCCACTTCCCTTCCTCGCTCCCACTCACGTTAACCGCCCGCAATGAACCCCTACCATCCCAACTACCACCTCTCGTAAGTAACTTCATTGTGAGCATCCCCAGCTGCATCCGGACTCACGATGCGCATGGCAGCCTCCCCTATGCTTCCAACTATCCCCAAGAACCTGGTTCTCAGGTCCCCACGAGCTCAGGCTCCTTCACCGGCGAAATGACCACGCCCACGAACATCGACCTCTTGTGAGTGGCCTCGCGCTGGACAACTCCAGCTTCCCCCAACTCACGCTGCGTCGTGCAGCTACCCGAACCCTTCAAACCACTCTCAGATTGAAGCTCCCCGTCCACAACGTCCTCTCTCTGGTAGAAGGGCCATGGCCGCGGACACGCTTCGGGCGAGGACCGTCGCTTCTGGGGCGGTCAACAACCCGTTGAGTCCCCTTTGTCTGTTCAAACGTACATCGGCCTTACCACTCCCACATTCTAGCCAGCCTGCTTTCGCCGGGGCAGGTTACCGCGCCCCCATACGCCCCGCCACCCAGCCCGGCCTCCCCTCGGATTACTACGATCACACCTGGCTGGTGCATCCCGCTATACAACAGGGCTTCCCAGACATCTACCCCTTAACCACCTTTCCTCCAGTCCTCCCCACGTTTGGTGCGGCCCCCCTGCATCAAGGGCACCCACCAGCGTCGTTGAGCCACACAGTCACGGGTGCCTCGCAGCCCGTCCAGTCTTATCCGTACGTCCAACACATGCATCGCGCCTCTCCCCAGTACGACCACCTCAACCACCCGCACCCCGCTCTACAACATGGCGTCCACGCCCTATACCCCGCCACTGCCTTCCCGCCCGTTGCGTCCACTCCGCGGGTGGTCCCGTCCTCGTCCCAATTCTTCCCGCCGCTGTCGTTGGGCCACACTGTCACGGGGAACACGCGGTTCTTCCCTTCTCATGAGTATGGCCTTCCCATACCTCACGCCGCTCCTCCTCCTCCGCTTCAAGGCGCGACCACGTCGACGGACCCGACGGAGCAAGGGCCGCCACCCCGGCGGGCGAGGAAGACGCGGAAGCGCCGCGCTACCTCTGAGGCCGACGAGACGCCGTCCAAGAAGACCAAGAGGGGTGCCTCGAAGGGCGCTTCCGCTTCAACATCCTCGAAGAAGAAGAAAGCGTACGTCGGCTTCAAGGACGCCACGGGAGACTTCGACGACGACGACAAGTACGAAGACGATAAGTTAATGAACACGCCCATCTGGTGTCGGTGGCTTCTTCGCTCCAACCAACGGTGCGGCGCGCTGCACACCACGGCCACGATCCTCGACCATACCCTGGAACACGCTCCCAAGGCCGGCGAGATCCTCTGCAAATGGGAAGGGTGCGACAGCAGGTGCTACGGAGACCCCGCGCACCGACACTGGATGGCCAGGCGCCCCACGCGCGAGCCGCTGTCCGATCTGACGAGTCTCAGGCGTCACCTCAAGCAAGCCCACTTCAACCTCGCCCTCAGGCAGTGCCACTTTTGCGGCAAGACACAACGGTACGACGCGTACGCGCGCGACCACGGCGCGGCCAAGTACTGCGACAAGAACCCCAACCGGGTCCCCAGGCCGGGGAAGGCCGCTCCTCGGGTGTCGTCGCAGGTGGAATCGTCTCTCTCTCCGGCGTCTTCGTCTTCCACCAGCTCGACTCCCGAGTTCGTCGAGGGCTCCAGCGGCGGGTCGTCCGCTCCGTCCCCGACCGAAGAGGTCATTGACCACTACCCCTCCATGGGCTACGCCGCATCTGAGCTGCCGGTAGCGTCCTCTTCGGACTCCTTCGGAGCCTCGGGGGACACGGGCAGTACATACCTGTTCGACTATTCCCTCCCGTACGCCCCCCAGCCGTCCGGTCCCGCCTCCCTCTCCACCACGCCGACGGTCGCCCCCAGCCCGCCCCCCAGCGTCCCAAACACGCATCCCGTCGCCTCTCTCCCCGCTCTCTCAGCAGAGCTCTTCGCTGCCGGGCCGGATGACGTGCAGTCCGCCTCCCCGGGCTCCGACGGCGCGACGTGCACCCCGGACTCCGAGTCGGTCCCCACGCCCCCTGCGGCGTCGAGCTGGCCGCACGACCCCCTCGCCGCCCCCTCGCTTTCACTGTCCAGCGTGTCGTACGACCCGTCGCGCGGCGACTCCACCTCGGACGCGCTCGACGCGCTCGACGACCTCCTGGCGTCCGAGGCTGCTATAAGGCAGTGCGCTGGCCCCGGCTCTGGCCCCGAGTTCTTGGACCCGTCGACGTTCAGCGTCGAGGAGTACTTTAACTATTAGCTACTAGGCGCTCCGGTGGCGGCTAGCTTCTGACCCTTCCTCCCGCTCGATACCCCTTGATACCTCTCTATGCTGCTCTCACGACGGGCAACGGCCCAGCTTCGGAGCCCGAAAACGCGTAGAAAATGCCTGTCAAAGGTGTCTTTTCTGCCGCCTTTTGTGCGCATGTGAAAAAGGCACTAAAATGGGCAATTTTTCCGGGTGCTTTACGGGGTACCGAAAAGGATCGATAAAGAGACCTTTGGTGCCCATTTCAATAACACGCGTTACTTATCACTCGTACTAACTTGTTTGTTACTCGCATACCATACACGTTCTATTGCCCCTTAATGTGAATTCTATTGTCTTTGTTCTGAGCACAGTATTCTGTCGGGCCGAAAAATTCGTTCAAAACGTCACCTTTCAGGATACTCTACGACACACACAAACTTGACATAAAAGTTCGCCTTTCCCGCCCTTTTTCTCCCCTGGAAAAATGCCTGCCGAAAATGACACCTTTGACAGACATTTTCTACGCGTTTTCGGGCTTCCAAGCTGGGCCGTTGCCCGTCGTGTCTACTTGCCTGCGAACCGGTTTGTATCCTACCTGCTTCCATGTCTCTGCACCTATGCTTCACGAGCGCCGTTATAATATCATCGTTATCTTATCAAACCCGCATTCGAGCCCTCGTGCGTGATTGCGAGCGAAGCGGGCAATCATGCGCCTTAGAGAGAAGTACGAACCTTCCACTCAGCGTGTATGTCCCATCCTCAGGCCTCGGCGCTCAGTGTACGTGCATGTAGTACTCTTTAACAAGCGTCGAAGGGACGCCTCAGACCGCAGGGCGGGCATCGCAGAGTGATTTCAGTGTCTCGAGACATCGTCAGAACAAGGGGGCCGACGGAACGACCCGCCGGCGGCTAGGATCGCACGATAACGTATAAGAGTACACGCGCTACACACCTCCGCCCGACTAGCTACGCCCACGGATTGTCCTCCGGGACGTCGACCATGACCCGCGCGTGCGGCGGCGGCGTCACCGCCCGCGCGACCGTCTCCTCCACCACCTCCGCCTCCACCTCGAATACCTCCTCCGCCTCCGCCTCCTCCGCTCCAGCCTCGACCTCGACCTCGCCCGCCGCGTCCTCCGCGATGTACCCGCGGCGGTACACGCGGTGGAGCCCCGCGCCGCCGCGCACCGCCGGCTCGCCACGCCGCCGCTCGCGCGTCATGCCCGCCTCCCCCGCGTGCGCGTCCTCGACGACGAGGTCGACGGCGTCGGGCGGGAGCGGCGTCCGCGGCGACGCTCCGAGCGCGGGCGTGCGCGGGCTGCTCCGAGCGGACGGCGGCGACGTTGTGGGGGTCTGAGGGGACGCGGAGCTCGTCCGCGAGATCGCAAGGCGTGCGGCGTGCGGCGGCGGGCTGCGCATGTTGGTGTGGCGGAGAGGGTTGTCCCCGGCGCGCGATGGGGGCACGCGCTCGGCCTCTTTGTCGATGACGACGTGGGGGCGGGAGAAGTACGAGGATGCGGCACCGTGCGGGGTGTGCCCGACGGCGCCGTAGCCCCCAGGAGGCCGGCGCGCGCCGCCGACGGGGGAGAACCACGCGCTGTGCTCGTCGCGGAGGATGCGCTCCTCGGCGATCCACATCGACGCGCGCGCGGCCTCGGAGGAGACGTCGACGCACGGGTAGTTGTAGTCCCCGAAGAGGTACTGCTTGCTGTGCGCAAACAGCTCCTCGTCCGCGCCGTCGATCTCCCCGAACGGGAGCTCGTAGCCCTCCTCCATGATCCCCGTCGCGAACAGCGAGAAGCCCTCGTCGCCGCCCCGCAGATCTTCCGCAGAGTGGACCGCGTTCTCTTCTTGGCTTCGAAGCAGCGGCGCGTACACCTCCTCCGTCTGGCTGCTCCCCGCGACGCGCCCGATCGCGTTGTTCACCCGGCGCTCGAACGCGCCCGGGGGCTGCGTCGCGGTCGTAGACTGCGGAAGCCAGTACTTGCGCTTGCCGCCCTGGCTGTACCGGAGCCCGGCGCGGATCCGGCGGTCGCGCCCGCTGCCCTGGTGAATCTGGCCCTCGCTAGGCTCGAACTCGCGGTAGTCCATGCCTTCGCCGCCGAGGGTGAGCTTGACGTCCTCGACGACGTCCTTGAGCCCGAACGCGTCCCGGAACGCGTACAGGACGGGCATCCGGGCGACGTACATCACATGTGGATCTTCGTAGTCGCGCGTCGCGAACGCGTACATGTGCGCGATCGCGAAGAACGGCATCTCGAGGCAAATGAGGGTGTCGGTGAGCGCCAGGGATATGTGTTCCGAGTCCGTGTATGGGCCTAGACGGGGGATAGCGCCGGCCGCGACGAGAAGCGAGATGAAGATCGACTGCCAGAAGCAGAAGAACAAGACGCCTTTGACACAGAGGAACTTGGGCACGGGGCTGTAGAACGTTGAGAGCGCGAACGACATATGGGAAAGCAGAACATACCGGAAAGGCTTGAGGTCGTCGTTGACGCACATCCAGAACATCGCGAGGCAGTACAGCGCGAGGCAGATGCTGACGTTGTAGACAATGCTGATGTAGAGGTACCCGGAGACCGCGCGGAAGTCGCCTTCGTTGTATTTCCCTGCGGCCTTCAGGATTACCGTGGCCAGTGCCAGTAAAGGCTTTATTTGAACATATTCTGCAAGTTGGACCCGCATATAAGGACGCACAGGCCACTTGGAGGCGCACAATGCGAGAAGCCAAAGGATCACTCACGTATAACACCACGCTTAAGGAACAAGAACGTGTACGGGTCGCTGACGTCGACCTCCGGCCAGAAAATGTTGGAGGGGAACACGGGGTACTTGGGTGGGCGTCCGTGGAGCAGGATGAGGAGAGAGCGCTCTCCGCCGAGATATGCAATGAGGAGATCGAAGAAGCAGTAGATCACGAACGCCTATATGCGCACAAGAGGTGAGCAAAGACGCGAGAGAATGAAAACGGCGACGAACTTCGTAAATGTCGCGTACAACGTCGATAAAGAAGGCAGCATCGAGGGAGAATAATGATATGAAGGACGAGACCGCGTAGAGCGGCACCATGAGCATGATACGGATGACCTGCCTGCATACAGACACAGAGATGAGCCACACGGGCGTGAAAGGGCGCATATAGCCAGACGTACCGTTGCAGGTGGGGCTTGCGGTAGTTCTTGAGGTGCTGGGTGATAGACATGGCCGAGACGCAGGTGGCGACGGCGGTACAGAGGCCGGCGGTGATGAGGATGGGGGCGGGCAGGGACGAGCCTGAGCCACTGCCCAGCTCGATGAGCACCATGCTGCCGCAGAAGTAGAGGAGGCGGCAGAGATGGGAGGAGGGATGAGGTTGAAGAGGCTCGAAGGCTGCGCGCGCGGCCCCGAGCCTGGGTTCGCCGCGAAGCGCCGGAATGACGCGCACACGGGCGCCGGCGCTCATTTGGCGGGGCCAACACGATTCTCCGAACCTCAAAAAGTCAAAATCAATGGCTAGAGGACGGATACCAGGAAAACAATCAAACGTATCCTCTTCGAAATGCCTTGTTTTTCGCTTTGGGGGCGTGATTTTGGCGTCAAAGTGGCCCGAGGCGAGCATCTGTCACGATTCTGTAGACTGTATTGGCTCCATAATCCATCATATAATTCTGACCATGGTGTGTTGCCCATGCAAGTGCAAACAACGCCACTGATCTTCTGAAAAACTCACCATTGTCCATGGGAGGAATTAAAAAGAGAATGCATGCAAAAGCGCCATTGAGCCCAAAATCACGTGCATCGGAGACTGGCATGCCGCGCATGAGCCAACCTCAAACATGCGGGGTATGGTGGCGGACGCGTTCTTTTCTTCCTCCGTCTTCATCCTCCTCTCGACTCGCCAGCGGAGGGACTCACAAGCGCACCGCCTGCCCCAGAAATCTGCTTCAAGTCCAGATGGAAGACGCACGAAGGGCAACAGTGGAGGACGAGGACCTAGATGACCTTGATGGTACGCCGTTCGAACCTCCCTATATGCCCACCTCTTCTCAGCGCGCACGCACACGACCAGACGTCCTCGAGCAATTCACCGCTCCCCCAAGGCCCCCACCCCCTTCGGCGACGTCGCCCCCGGCCGCGCAGCCGTCCTCATCCTCGTCCGCGCCAACAGCAAGCGCGTCAGTGGCTCCGCCCGCGGGCGCGCTCGATGGGCTCGACGACGACTTTGCGCGCGAGCTCACGAAGGGCATGGAGGAGCTCTTCAAGGACGTCGCGTCCGGCGCCGGGCTCGGCGGCGTCCCTGCTGCCGGCGACGGGGACGCAGAGCGCGAGCGGGCGTTCAAGGCTGCATGGGAGGCTATGTTGGTCGAGAGCATGAACGGCTCGCTTGACCCTGAGGACCTGCGGGGAGGCGCGGGGACAGCATCGACAAGCACGGCGGGCGCGGGGTCGGGGAGCACGGAGTCGTTCCAGGACAACATCCGAAAGGCGATGGAGAAGATGAAGGAGAGCGACCGGAAGGTGCGTGTGACGTTCGCTTGCACGCGAGTGACACACTGATATTACCGCACAGGCGGACGAGGCTGCGTCCCAGGGCGGCGACGGCGGCTTGGAGGATTTGTTCGCGCGCTTAGGCGGAGACCTCGGCGGAGAGGAGTCGGAAGAAGACCTGAAGGGCATGCTGGAGCAGATGATGTCGCAGCTGATGAGCAAGGAGATTTTGTACGAGCCTCTAAAAGAACTACACGACAAGGTACGCAGCTCCCCCTCGCAGCATGTTGCGCGCATCTTACGCTCGCGCAGTTCCCTGGTTACATCAAGGAGCACGAGTCGACGATGAGCGCAGAAGACAAGACACGGTACGAGTCGCAGTATAAAGTGGTCGGGCAGATTGTCGGGACGTTCGAAGATGCGAGCTATTCGGACGAAGATGCAGAGAAGGGGCTCAAGATTGTCGAGTTGATGCAGGAGGTGCGTCTACGTCCACATTCCTCCGCACCGCCGTCCCGGCCTCTGCGGACATCTTGCGCCAGAGCGACATCTGGTCGCGTCATGGTTGAGATAAGAGGACTTTGCTGCGGATCATCTCTGCGTGTTCCTGTTGTACTCCGATACTCTGTCATCTCACCCGCGATCCACAGATGCAGGAGTTTGGCTCTCCACCGTCGGAGATCATGGGCCCGTTGCCACCCGGCTTCGATCTCGGCGCGGATGGCCTACCAAGGGTGCCAGACGGGTGTACGATTGGATGAGGGCAATGGACGGTTACGGGATGTTTATCATCGCTCCAGCGCCGTGGGCCGTGGCAGCGTGGATTCTGGAGGATATCGGGGACGTGCGATTAGTGTGCTGCTCATTGCAGGCACCGTAAGCTCGCCTTCAGACGCTGCGAAGAAGCAGAGCTAGCGTTTGTTGCGGTGCTTGCTCCGACATGTGCGGATGTGCGTTAGCAATACAGAACAGTTGCACGTGAGCGATCCGCGCGGACGAGAACGGCGGGCGCCTGTGGCCGTCGTACGCGCGCGACGACCTACGCGGCCGTGCCCCCGTCGGTCGACATGCTCAGCTCCTGCTCTCTGGCGCGCCCGCTGCCCCTCTTCAAGCACGCTCTTCTCACTCGCACGCCGAGAGCTTCGTCCGTATTCCGACCGAGCAGGTTACTAACCACTGCTGCCCCCCGTCATGTGACCGTTGCCTGCAGCGTGCGCCCGCGCGAGGGTGGGTATAAAGTCGCGGCCGGAGAGCGCGGGCCCTCTGCATCGATCCGCTCTCCCCCCTTCTCTCCCATCTCCCCCTCACGCCTCTACTCGACCAACGCAATGGCCTCCATCAACGTCGGCGACACCATCCCCTCCGGCACCTTCACCTACATCGCCTACACCCCCGAGCTCGATGACCACTCCGCGTGCGGTCTCCGTGCGTACCCTGCTCGTATTTGTTCATCGATAGCCCCGATCTAACCTGCTCTCTTCAACCCCCTTTTGACCTCTCATTCTCTCGCTGTCTCCCACCACCTCGCGCTCTCCCCCACGTGTGCGCATGGTGTCGGATACGTGCCCACGTCGGTATGCGCGTACGCAGCGACGAAGATGAACACCGACGAGTGGAAGGGCAAGAAGGTCGTCCTCGTCGCCGTCCCTGGCGCGTTCACGGTGCGTCCCCACACTCCCTCTGCGCCCGATCGCGCTGATCGCGCACCCCAGCCCACCTGCCACGCGAACCACCTCCCGCCGTACCTCCAGAAGATCGATGAGTTCAAGGCGAAGGGCGCCGACGTCGTCGCCGTCGTCGCCGCCAACGACGCGTTCGTCATGAGCGGCTGGGCGCGCTTCCTCGGCCTCAAGGAAAAGGTACGCCCGTCCTCCCCGTCCTCCCTCGCCGTCTCCTCTCGCTGCACGTCCCACCCCATCCTACGTGGCGGGAGACGCGGGGTCTCTTTCGTGCTCCCCTGCACCCTCCTTTGCCACCGTCCACGAGCCGCGCACTCACCCCGCACCCGCAGATGGTCGCGCTCTCCGACCCGAACGCGAAGTGGTCGACCGAAATGGGCCTCTCCCAGGACCTCTCCGCGCTCGACTTCGGCACGCGCACCAAGCGCTACGCGATCATCATCGACGACCTCAAGGTCACCTACATCGGCGTACGTCCCCCCGTCTCATCTGCCTACACGCCCAATGCTGACCCGCCCCTCCGTCGCAGGTCGAGCCCGCGCGCGAGGTGTCCGTCTCCGGCGCGGACGCCGTCCTCGCTGCCCTCTGACTCGGCCAGGACGCCAATGCGTCGCGGTTGTAGTGCCGCGGGAGCGATGGAGGCTCTGCTGATCGAAGGCATATCTTCGCTTGATGTACACACAACACGGCAGTAGAGATATACGTGTATGACTATGAACATAGACGGACGGATCGCTGTGGCCCACCCTTCGTGTTTGAGGAACAGAGTGCGACGCGCGGCCCCCTCGTGTCCACCGCGGGCATCCGACTGCATGAAGGCTAGGTCCCTCTGGCTCTATCCCGGCTCCACGGGGCCAGCTTCTCGATAGCTACCCCAGTGTACGTAACGCCTAGTACCATAGGGCTAGTACCTCCGGGGCGCTGAACAGGAGACAAACAAACTGCGCAGCCATCAACGCCTTCAAGACTAAAAAGTCCAACTGTGCGTCCCACGCGCGCGCCCTGCGTTGTCTGCTCAAATCAATCCAACTTCCAAGTTTGGCCTACATAATGAGTCACGGGCAGAGAGTGTGCTCGAGCGACACATCTAGCTGGTATCCTACATCCCACTAGTCGACCGAGTGGCGCGCCGAGTACCAACCTCCGGTTCTCCCTGCAAAACCTGTGCCCCATCCTGCGCCTGCCGGTCCTCCTCCGCAGCCGGCTGCTGCAACGACACCCCGACGTCGCTGTACCTGTCTCGTTCGGGCCAGGCGTGCTGGTCTGCAGCCGTCTCCAGGATCGAGATGAACACGTCGTGGCTCTTGAGCAACTCCGCCTCCCCCTTTAGGGTCTCGAGGTCCCGTGCCGATGGCGCTCGCGGTGCTGACGGGAGGAGAACGTCGTGGGGGCGTCGGTTCTTGAGACGCGCCAGGACGCTGGTTGGAATGGCCGGCTTTGGTCCAGCGTCGGCCTCAGGGGTCGGTGGGGATGGCGCCAGGGCGCGCAAATTATGCTCGTGGACGAGCAAGCGGGCGCGGAACAGTCCGAGGAGTTTGGAGAGGACGTCGTTCAAAGGGTGCACGGGGCCTTCCTTTCCGGCGTGATCGACTTGGTAGAGCTTGAGCTGGTCGGGGCCAGTCGTGACAGTGCCTTGTCGGATGCACTTGTCGCGCACGGCGCTGCACGTCTGGCCGCTCTTGGTCTGTTGGCCGAGATAGAAGTAGCTCGGTACAAACCCGTCGACGACGTGGGGCTCCCAGTCGCTGGCCATGTACACAACGGCCATGAAGATCAAGACGTGCAAGAACGACTCGAGTTCGTCGTCCACATCGATGGCCCTGGTCTTGTCCATTTGGCACAGGATGGACATGAACGCCCACGTCCCCTGTGTAATGTCAGCCACAACGACGTGATGCAGGCCGGGGGAGTTTGCGCTCACCGTCCGCATTGGCTGCGTAGCGATGGTCACAAGCACGCTCTTCGCCATCTCCCAGTCCGCCAGGATCCCACGCCACACAATCTGCGACGTCCCGTCACCGTTGTCCTCGAACCGAGGCAGGATGAGGATGTTTCCGACGCTGACGTCCCGGTGGAGCAGCTGGTGCTCCGAGTTGAACGCTTGCTGATGCGCTGCAGCATCGTAAGCTTCATCGCCACGTCGAGCTATTCAGAAAACTCACCGTTAATAGCGTCGAGGATGATCAAAATGAGATCGAGTCCACGAGGGAACTTCCTCAACGGAAGGCATATCTCAGCAACCACCATGCGGACGTGTCGGAGGTGCCGTACTCCCGCGAGGCCCTGGGACACTGGTGCTCCATCTGCAGGGCCGGCGGCGGCACCGGACCCTGAACCAGACGTGGGATCGACGGGGTTTTGGGGGTCGAATTGGGAAGAAGGAGGGGCGAACTCGTGAGGGGTGTTCCGGTCAACTGCCACCGCGGATTTGCCACCGCTGAGGGGGGTGTTCCGTCCAGGAGATGTGACGCCCGCGACCGAAGACAAGTACGTGACTTGCCCAGCGTACGCCTCCGCGGCGATCAGCGTGGCGACGCCCTCGACCTTGACCTCGTTGAGCTTCTTGAGGGTGACATGTTCAGGCTCGACGCCGTCGTAGTGGGGCTGCCACGCGTCCTTGACGAAGACCAGGCGCTGTGTGTGCCACTCGAGCGCGGGCCACCCGCGCGTGCCCCGTCCGAACGGTCCGTGCGTGCGAGCCATGGGGTCGCAGACGAGATAGAACTTGCCGGCGATGACGAGCGCGTACCGCGGCGCGTTTTCCGTGAGGGACTGTTTGAACAACGTGCGGATGTACTTGAAGGTGCGCCGCGGGGCCGACCACACGTCCTTCGCCTCGCCAACCATGTCCGCTTCTGGGTCCGAGTATGCTCCGCCCTTGGTGAAGTGCGGACAGTCGCCGACCGCCTCGGTGAAGTCTGCAGGGATCTCGGAGGTGTTGTAGACCTCGGTGACGCAAAGCTCGTCAATATCGGTTTCCCGATCTTCGGCGACCCAGTCCATGCACTTCCATCCGCATGATCCCAGGGAGAGGCGGTGCGCGCTGGGGTCAAGGCCGGCAGCTTGGGGCTCCAGTGCCGACAGGTCGGCAAGGAGGGAGAGAAGGCGTCTGGTGTCGTCCTCAGTCTTGACGTACGAGTACGCGTGGCTGACCATGAGGCCGGACTTGTCCCAGTGCAAGAGGCGGAACTCAGGTCCATTGACGAAGAGCATGAAAACATGGGTGCGATGCTGGGCGTTGAGGAGACAGTCCGCGTATGCGTAAAGCTGGCCACGGACTTGGGTGCGCGCGTCTGCATCGTCTCTTGTTCTTGGCCCTTGATGGAAGGGGTCGAGTGCATTCCCTCCGTGCTTGAACTCGACGAGGAAGCGCGAAAAGCGCCAATTGGGGACATCAGAGACGATGAACGGCGCATCTTCGTCGTGAAAGAAGCCGCCGTCGATTTTTGCCCTCGTCATTTCGCCCTTGTCAGGCTTGTTCTCAGAAAGGCGGAACGTGTGATTGGGGCAGAGTTTATGCTCCTCGTCGAGCTCCCTCTTGAGACAGAGCCTGGATGAGCCACCAGGTAGACCGGAAAACAGGCCAGGCGACGTACCCATGCTTTAGTGAGCTCGTTCTCGCTGCACGTGCCACCGTTCCATTTGACTGCGTTGAGCCGAGCCCAGAACTTGGGGACGATGCTGTCCAATCCTTGTTCACGTGTCTTTCTATGAACAAGCAGCGCGGGTTTGAGGTCGTAGAACTGTTCGATAGCCACCGTCTTGGTGCAGTCCTGCCTACGGTCGAGCATCTCCGACCGCCGTTTCTCGCGAGGCGGGCGGGTGTCAAAGACGCTGTTGGTGCCTTGAGCATACGCCGATGAGAGCTTGCCAGATGCCCCTTGTTCGGTGGCGCCGACGCCGCTGTTTCTGCGACTGGCGTTAACTACGGAGGTAAGGCAGATGTCCGATTGAGATCGTCGAAGCGTCGGATGGGTCTCTGAGTGGGAGGAGCTCATGAGCACGAGTGGCGCGAGGGTGGGGAGAAGGTGGGGGGAAAGAGAGAGCCTCGCACTCACGACTTCAGGTCGAGCAATCTCGTCAATCACCGATGATTGGGCGTCGATGGTCGAGTCAACGTGTGATAGAGCACGCGAGAAATGGCAGCGTGCGCCCAGGTGGTGGTCCGGCCTGGGACCTACAGACCAAAAGTCAACCAAGTGCCAGCATTGTGGCGCGGGTACAGGCGCCTACCATTCCGGCCCGGGTCGTGCCGTGACCAGGTCTCGGCGTAATTTGTATGAACTGCCACCCTCCGAGCTACTAGTCAGTACGTCTGTTTGGACGCACACGCAAGACGTCAAATGATGTAATAAAACATTGTTGGACAATGCCCGCGCACATATCAATATGTAGGTAGCAAGCTCGCCGTCGTTAGTGCCTGTGCTTAGTCATCATGCGGGTAGCCGCGCCGAGCCGCCGTTCCGCACTCGCCTCACGCGCGTTTGTCCTTCCCGCCTCCATCGACGGAGGTGTTCTCCCATGCGTCCGTCTGTACTCGCCTCCCGGTGCCCATGGAGACCAAGCGCGCTGTATCTATCCCTTCGTGACCCCTCGTCCGACCTCGTCCGGCGCGAGCCGCCACCGACATCCAACAAACATCATGTTTAAAGTTCCGTTCTTTCTGGAGGACTTTTCCTGGCGCGCGTCACCAGTGACAATTCTTGGACAGCATGCACGGACATGGACACGAGGCTTATCATGCGTTAACGCTCATCGCCCTTGCTAGACTCTCCGGCCTCAGGATCGCCGGCCTTCCTCCCACTATCACGCCGAGTCGCCGCTTCCAAGGCTCATCGCCATTCGAGCTCGCATCTGCGCTGTGCAACCCTCAAGTTTCTGTGAATCGTGGGTATCTCATCTGCGAGCTTGAATAGTACCAGTGCTGACATACCTCGCAAGATGTGGCTCATCGATACAGAGCACCACTCCCTTCGCAAGTTCGACAAGCCTCCGTCTCGATACGCTATCTTGTCCCACGTCTGGCAATCAGAAGAGCAAGACTTCCAGTTTGTCGTCTCAAGATCCCGGGGAGATCGAAGTATTGCCTCGAAAATCACTGAATGCTGTCGACATGCGAGGATTCGAGGTCTCGAGTGGGTCTGGATCGATACGTGCTGCATTGACAAGACGAACAGCGTCGAGCTCTCCGAGGCCATCAACTCCATGTACAAGTGGTACGCCGGCGCTGATATTTGCTTCGCCTACCTCTTCGATGTCCCGGCCAGAGCGAACCCAGCCGCGGCCGGCTCCAAATTCAGGCTCAGCGTTTGGTTCACGCGCGGTTGGACGCTACAGGAGCTCATAGCGCCCAAGAACCTCGTCTTCTTCTCCAGCAACTGGACCATGCTCGGCACGAAAGAGTTCTTCGCCACCCTCCTCCAGGAGATCACCCTCATCGACATCAAGGTCCTCCGGTTTCATGCACCCCTCTCCTCCATCTCTGTCGCGAAGCGCATGTCCTGGGCGTCTTCCCGCGTCACCACACGTGTCGAGGAGGACGCTGCGTACTGCCTCATGGGTATCTTCGACATCAACATGCCGACCATCTACGGCGAAGGACCACGCGCTTTCCGCCGACTGCAGGAGGAGATCATGAGAACATCACCTGACCAGACGCTCTTCACCTGGGGCTCCTCAGCGTCCCTCTCCGCTCTCGCGCCTCCACTTGAAGTCGAGTCGGCGTTGTCATCTCCCGCTTCGCTGTCTACAGGTATCAAGACCATCTCACCTTCCACCCCGAACGACACCACGCGAAGTGAAGGCGAACATAGCCTTTACATCCTAGCGCCTTCTGCAGCTTCGTTCGCATCCACCAGCGTTCACATTACGCCGCGGTCTCTTTCCCATCACGAGTTCACCTCTGTGCTCGACACGTTCCAGGAACATAAAATTTCATCATCCGTAGTGAGTCAAGTGTATCATCTACGTTGCACAAGACCTGCACTCACCGATGTCATATATGTAGGGAGCTGCGCTCGTGGTCCCTGAGCTCACATTAACCAGCCACGGCGTTCGCGCACACGTCCCACTGTTTCCACTTCACTGCCCATCCAACTTGTCCGAGCGTGAAGACGGAGAACATTTCGTTGCCTTGCTTGCCTGCCAGATGTATGAAGGAGCGCGGCTGGTGATCGCCGGGCTTGTGCTGTTCCGAGCTCGGGGTTCCATACAGTATAGGATCGGTGCGACATTCGAAAACATAGGTTTCGTGCGCTACGTGCGCATCGACCCCGAAAATCCTACCTCTCACGCTTGGCTTGGCGCATCTCCGGAGACGCGACAACCCCCAACATATCAGTGGGCAGTCGTATCCATCATTCAGCCGACGTTTCAGGACCAGGATATCTCCTTGGGTTCCCGGTTCGCCCCTTCGGAGTCAAGCACACCCCTCATCGTCGTTCTCGACTGGACCCTTACATCGCTGAGGGAAAAAGGGTTTCACCTCGCCTATCCTGCGGATCCTAGCGAGCCTCTGCGGCTTGAAAAACCATTCGCATCCGAGCAAACTTTCATTTTCTTCCATCCCGGCCATCAGCTAGAGCTGCGTGTCCTCGCAGGTCACTGTGTCCCCGGCGGACTATGGCTCTCCGTCGAACTTGCAAACGTTCAAAGAGATGCTTACGCAGTTCTCACCGCAGAACACACCCACAAATCTCCCTTGCTCTCCGTTTGCGACCACGTCCACGTTGGAGCCTGGGACCTGGAGCGAACCCCTCCCATCTCATCCACTTCCACATCCCCATCCCCACTCAACGACGAGGACTCCCCTTTCTCCTGGACGTATTGTCGGACATTCAGTCTATTGGGGATGGCGCTCAGTTTACGTCTTGTTGACTGCGGCTCTGATCACCAAACGGGAACTCCTTGGATTCTCGGGCTCGAACCCTCCTTCCCCTGGTCCTGGGAGACTGAAGCTATCCCTCCATTCCCTGTACCTACTCAGCGTCCCCTTCTTGAAGACACGGGGACGGTTAGCATCGATTTTCAACGGTCACTCAGGCCCACTGACTTCAAGCCCAAACCGGCCAGGGATCCGCTGCAGCCCACCTTTCCCAACGGTTCCCGAGAACTGGGATTCATTCCCTGGAGAACCGACGGCCTCATGGCCTCCCTCATCCTACGCGTTCACGTAGGCTCGTGCGGGGCTCGCGGGGGACTCTGGTTCGCGGCCGAGATCTCAGACTCGTTGGGAGGGGCCAGAGACTCCTGCGGAGAGCCGCTCCATGCAGCCGCGACTCATGCACGCACCGGGCATGAGGCGACGTGTCCCCTCAACCACGTTGTAGAGTGGGACTATAGGTGCTCCTTGGACAGCGATCGTCGTCCCGGATGGGCGCACTGCCGCGTCTTCACGAGCACGATCCACAACGTTTCCGTCCGCCTGCGCGTCGTCGCGATCAAGGCTCGGGATGGTCCTGTGTCGCCCGAACGCCATCCTCGCCCAGTCGCTCCCCTCGCACTCGCACCTCGCCCGGTCGCACCCCGCCCAGTCCCTCCTCTCCCAATCCCTCCCCTCCCAGTCCCTCCCCTCCCCATCTTTCCCCGCCGGCCAGAGGAAATCGAAATTCCAGAGGTGTGGGACAGTCGAAGACGGCGCAGTGTTGTTAACGTAGTCGACGCATACCCGGTGAAGGTCGAGGTGGAATTATGGCCAGGTTTGGACCCCCAGCCGCCTCCAAGCGCAAGCGGCGGGATCCCTGTTCTTCCGAAACCTCTGGAGGCGAACGGTCGCAGGCGGCCTAGAATACCACTCGACACCCCTTCGTCGAGTTCAATAGTCTTGGTGCCGACACCCATCCTCCCGGCGGTGTCTCCCATGATACCCAGGCCCATACCGTCTCCTGAGCGCTTTATGCCAGATTTGCCTCCTCATTTGGCTCCTACACGGTCGTTCAATTTCGACTTCGACGACCCATTGTCATTGCCATTGTCTCCCAATAGCACTCACAAGCCACGTTCGCGGTTCAGGAAAGCGCTGGAAAGGATACGGGAACTATCGTCCAAGCTATGACATCTGCGCCTCCAGTTCATCGGTGTCCAGTGAGCTATTACTTATCCTACTTTGAATCCACGTTGATAACTCACTCACTAATCGGCACAGCTTGATCTCCGCGTCTACAACCACTGTATGCGGTCCCGTCGGAGTACGGAGACGTTGAATGCGTCTCGTAGTAACTGCGATGGGTCGGTTTCGGGGTCGGCGGCTTGCTCCTTCGTTGTTTTGCTTCGGACTATTGCTGTCTTGTACATCATGCCTTCCTACCACTTTATCTTCGGTGTTCTCTGGTTACCTATTAATATGACATGCACCTAGATTTTGCCCCTCGAAATATCTTGTGTCGCATCAATAGCTCTGCGCTATGCTCTACACACTTGAGTGCTCTACTGCATATGCGTACCCAACCGTTCCCGCAGCTTCCCCAACTGCGCCTCCCACTCCGCTCGGCGCCGCGCCATCCGTTTCCGCATCCACACCGCACGCAGGAGCCGCACGATCTTCTCGCGGCTCTCCTCGAAGTTCGCCTACACGAATCGCGGGTCAGCTCTCCATCGTCCCCGTGCTGGCAAGCACGCAGAGCAACACGAAGGGACGCACTTCAGCGACGTCGAGCAGCGCCTGGCTCTCCGCCTCGCCCACCTCGCGCGCCCACGTCGAGACCGCGGCGGGGTCGAAGCCGGGCACGCGCGCCGCGTTCGGCGCGAGCGGGACGTAGACGACCGCGATCCCGTCGCGCGCGAGCAGTGCGGCCTCGTCGAGCTCGTCGAGCCGCGCCGAGCGCGCGCCGTCGTCGTCAGGCGCCTTTGAGGACCCGATCCAGACCTCGCACGGCGGGCGGTCGTCTGTCCGGGGTGTCGGCCAGAGAGCGCCAAGGATATCGATTAAGGAGGAGGAGGAGGAGGAGGAGGAGGAGTCAGATGATTGGACGCGCGCGGTGGGGGCAGGGGGAAAAGGGAGGGAATGGACGTACCGGAGGGCATGTCGTGCATCTCCTCAGAGGCGGTCGTGCCGTGCTTCTCCGTCTGCTTCGCGAGCGCGGATTCTTGCGTTTCGGCGAGCTTGCGGTTTGCCTCTGCGGCAGAGGAGGCTTCGTACTGGGGAACACCGGGGCTGGGCTTGGAGCCGTCGGCCGCAACCACGCGGGACGGCCACGTCGCACCGCGGGGCCACGTCGTCAGGCCGCGCTTGATAGCGAGTTCTTCCGCGCGAGTGAACCAGAGGTCCTGGTATGGTGTACGTGAGCAAAGAGACGACGGGGCTGAGAAGGGGGACTTGCGTGGGAATCGGCGCTTGCGTCGAGGGCGATGATGCAGTCGACATTACGGCGCAAGAAGGGGTAGTAGGGTATGTTGAGTTCAGCTGCCACGTCACTGAGCAGACGGCTGATTTATGTTTCATAGTGCTTACCTCCAGCGTCCTGACAACGGAAGGTGAGCGAATATACAAAGTACAGTACCAAACGGTACTTACCATGAAGCTTAGAGTATCTTGCTCAGTGATGTACGGCGGGCTATCGAATCTAAGCTGACCAACGAGACCCTTCAGGAAGTTCGGAAGCTTAGAAGAGTACAATAAGTGGTTGCAGAAAACAGAGGCAGTAGCGTTTTCACCTGGTTCGGCAAGACCGGATGGATGAGACCCAGGTCTTGTTCGTTCTCGGTGACGACGTCTTTCAGCCATGTGTACAGCTGTACTGGTAACACGTGGAGCATCGGCTCAACTTCGCGGAAGTAGTGCTGAAGCAATATCGTCAACTCGCTTGTAATGCCAGGATCGATGAAGGCTCACCTTCAGCGAGGCGCAGAACGCCGAGCCGAATATCCTGCGCTCTGCGAGTCAGCTATGACGGTACCCAACGAGCAGCATTCCCGTACCCAGTGAGGATTGAGAAGCTTAGCTCTGGCTGTAGCGGAAGGTTCCGTGAGCTTTATGAATAGTAGTTGAAACGTTTGGGCGTACCGATCGCTCTAGACTCTTGCCATTCATGAATGATCGTCCAAGTGCCCAAGATGGTATCCAAGCTAAGGGCGACTCATTAGTATACCACTGCACCGACGAAGTAAAGCCTCACCTCCGATCTCATCACATCCAACCTCGTATGGAGTGAACTCGTACCACAGCCAGCGGACGGTCTGCGCGAGCCGGTCGTGTTCTTCGCCGAGAGCCTTCGATTTCCGGGGACTGAGAGTCACAGCCTGCTTGCCTTCCACTTCATACAGCGCAGCAGCTTTCTCCGGTGGAGTCACTGTATATCACGCTATAAAAATGAGCAAGCGACTTCATGGTGACGAAAGACTTCACCATGTTGGATAGCACTGAAGATGGGAAGGGGCAAGGTTCCGTCGTCTATATGGTGACGGAAGAAGTGCATGGAGAGATGACGAGGATCGAGGCGGTCGAGTTCCGACGGTACGTATAGCCTGGAAGAGATAAGTGTCCCATAGAGGTCGACCAGCGACACCATGCTCTTCACTCCTGCGGTCTTTCGTAAAATCCCTTCCTATGGAAATTATCAGCTATGATGCGCTCCAACGATGCATGGGGAAGCGATATACCAGAAGGTACTAGGGGCCCAACTTCAGTGTAAGCATGTGTCTACAACGTCAGCGGTATAGGTTGCTTACGCTATTCGTGGGTGCATTGATCAAATTGTCGAGCGTGTTCATGTCGAGATAGCTGGTCTTCAGCCGATCCTTCGCGTGAGCTGCAGCATCCACTGGCGAGTGAGAACCAGCGACACCCGAATATAGGATGCCCAGTGCCCAGCAACTGCCTGGATGGTAAGCACTGGTGAGTATATAACACGTCTGAGTTGTCCAAGAACCACAGCTTACCAGACACTCCAGCTGTGTAAGTGACACAGTCGAAGATCCCGGTGGACTGAGCAGCTTTCAGAGAGCCAAGAGTGTTGAGACACGCTCGGAATCCTGGCGGATGATAAGCATGGTAAACCACAGATAGGAAATATTCCAGTCATACCTCCCCCGGAACCAGCGATGGCGACGATAGGTAGATCACGTTCGTCCACCTCGCTCTCAGGAACGCCCATGAGGCTGGCGAATGCTACCCGCATCTTGCGCTTACGCTCCCCAAGGAACGCGCGCTCAGCGATGCACAAGTCTTCTCCGAGCCGAACTTCGGCATCCCAATCTACTTCCGGGTGGACCGCGATATCCGGTGGCTGGTTGATGATCTGGTCGAAGAGCGACCCCGGGCCGTGGCCGAACTCGAGGAGGAGGGCGGAGAAGCGCTCCTGGAGGGCCCAGACCGTGAGGGTGTTGGACCAGGGGGGCGACACGGAGATCACCTTTCTATCTGTCTGATGGACAAAAATTCATGGTTAGTGTGAGAATACTCAGAGACTCATACGCTCCCACCGTGTCCTGTGTAGAAGAGGCCGTCTACAGGGCGGATTGGATGAGCTGTGGACGCAGTGTTGAGGCAATATACGCACATTGCATGAGTCGCGGGAAAGACAGCGCTGGGGTGCGTTGATACCCCTTTCATTGAGCTCCGCTCTGCGCGTCCGCAGCGCATGGTACCACACAGGTGCACCGAATATGGCGCAGGCTGTCCCAAATATTACCCAAGGATGAATTCCTGTGAAAGACGCGTTATTTGAAGCTTGCAGCACAAGAAACAGAGACAACTTACTCGAACTCTGTTGAAGTGGTCCAAGCCCGGTAGAATCTGATGTTGTCTGCCGTGAAAACCGACCTAATGGCCAAAGGGATAAGTTTCTACGAAAATTAAACTCGACAGAAGCCAGCTGGCGGCGAGAGCAGTGACGCTGGAGAAATATGAGCATCTAAGAGCAGCTGTTGATCTCGGCCACGCTGTGCTGCAAAAGGGCGAGCGGGCGACGGGCAAGCATATGGTGGCAGGGGGAAAACTGCAGGCGCCAACTCCCTGGTTCGAACGTCGCGCGAGACGTCATCGTCCGGCGAACCCATGGCCCGGTGACTATTTGGTTGGCGCCCAACATATGCGGGGCGAGCGAGAGTGACAGCGAAACCATATACGAAGGAGTGACTGCAGAAACGCAGCATTGTACAGCATGCCACGAACCAACCTCCGCTACCTCTGACCCCTTCCTTCACGGACTCCACGCAGTCCAAGCCTGAAACCTGAAACATCACCAAGAGTGGCACAACACCGACTTAACTCGAGCGTGCCGCTCGTCATCACGCACATGGAGGTGGGGAAAACGCAAACAAGCTTTGAGGCACCAAAGCAGCGCACATTATACCAAGTAATAGGATATATCTACCGCAGACCCAGAACCTATTGCCTGTTCTCGGGCGACCGCGCCATCTGCTTCTTGCTTCGCATCCGCATCCTACGCTTCGAGTACCACTCCCATGCCAGGCGCATCACGTTCCCGTCAGCTTCGTACGGCGTCGGAATCTCCGAGTATCCAGGGCGAGCAGTCGGGTGGCGGAGGTAGATGACCGAGCAAGTCGCGAAGGAGGGCTCGAGGTAGGCTGGGACGAAGATATGTGGTGCCGCGTACTCCGGTAGGCGGAAGGGTGTAAGCCCGGGGCCGGAGATGGGAGTGCAAGGGTCAGCGTTCCTCAGTTCCCGCTCGCTTTTGGATTCCCACTTCGACGGCTTCTCCTCTGCTGCGACTTTCTCCGTTTCCGTGGCTTCACCCTCGGCCGCGGCGCTGGCCTCGGACTCAACCTCCTCTGACGCGTCTTCATCCTCCTCCTTGACCTCTCGTCGAGCTCCTGGTTGCAAGAAGCGGATGGCCTTAGGGTCGACGGAGACCAGGTCACCTGGCGCGAGACGCGTGTTCGCGTCCGTGTGCTGCGTCACCGTCAGTCTGCCAGCTCGCACACGACACCAATAGTCACGCACCTTCTTCCCATTGAGCAGCACGTCCCCATGGATGACCATCCGCCGCGCCTCGTACACGCTCGACGCAAAGCACGCACGGAAGATGACGATGTCTATCCGCCGCTCGATTTCCGCCCACATCAAGCTCCCGACGGGCGCAATGCCCTTCCTGCGCTCCTTCTCGAGCAGCCGCTCCCGCCCCGAGTTCTTCATCGCCCACCTCTCCAGCGCGACGTCCTTCGCAGCCGCCTGCACGCCCACGAGAGCCTCAGACCGCACGTCGGGCAGCGTGTCGGGGAGGTACCACCGCTTGAAGATCTTCTCGTTGATGTAGTCGCCGTGGTATGCGCGTGTGAGCTTCTTTGCTTGGAACCGCCGCCACGGCAGGGTGTTCACGTACTCGTTCTTGTCGAGCACGTAGCGCAGGGGGGTGAACTGGCGCAGCCAGTGCGCGTAAGTGTTGCGCAGGCTCCAGCTCTGTCACAGCACGCTTCAGGACGCAGGGCGCGCGAGAGACGAGAGTGAAAACACACCATGCGAGGAAGAGAGGCTTTGAAGTTTTCGACATTAAAGGTCCTGGCGTGCGTCGGACGGAAGATTTTGTCCCGCATGGCGAGGAGCCGCGGCGGGGGTAGGGGACACGGAGGTGGTGGTCGAGGACAAACCGGACACCAGTGACGAGACGCGGCATTTGAAGCGCTGTCGCACCGCGCCAATACCGCGCTTTGACTTACTTACTCCAAGCTTACCCAGGCTTATAGCTTTTGAAAGCCTATTTAAAAGAGACTTCAACACGACTAGACGCGCACTTGCCGAGCGCGTCGCGACTCGCGGCCACGCTGCCATCCCTAACTTCCTCCTCCTTCTCTTCCTCCTCCTTCTATCAACCCCATTCCATCACAGCCATGGATCCTTACACTCCCCGGGTACGCACTGGAAGTAGGAAGAAGAACCTAACGCTCTCCGCAAAGGAGTACCACAGGGTCCGTCGCCTCTCCGCCGTTCCCGTGCAGGGCCGTACTGAGACTTTCCACAGATCACCGACACCATCGCGTCTGTGCGCCGACAGCGACAGTACACCGACGATGGTTTCGACGAGGAGGCGGAGATAGACGTGCGCGTGCACGTGTCGCGCGAGAACGGCGCGCGCCGGGGCACTCGTGAGTCTGCTCGCTTAGGTCGCGCATTCAGGTCCTGATGCGCGGGCTGCAGGACACTCGGAGGTCTCATTCGAGGCTGAGCGATCGTTTGTGCGCGCGCCTCTCAACTCGCGCGTTGTTTCGAGCAGCGGTCCGCGCGACAAGGCTAGCGCAAGGGGCAAAGGCAAGGGGAAAGGAAAGGAGAGCTCGCTATCTGGCGTACCTATCGACATTCAAGAGGCGTTGGTTCTGGAGGACCTCTTGTTCGTTCTCATGGTACGTGGTCGTTCATGGAAGGGCACCTCTTCGTGCGTACGGCCAATGGCCCGAGGACCTCGCGCGCAATGGTGGTCATTGCTTCGGCGGTGTACCATGCGCATTTACACAGACGCAAACCATTTCATGGTATATATATGCTCGTAGTGCATGCACTAAGGTGGTCTCCGACGTGATGTGATATGAGCATCTTATATGTACGTCTGATATGGTAGCTGGAGGGCTCGCGCCTGTACACGCAGTACGAGCCTAAGGAATGAGCTCGTTATCTGCATATGCAGGACGATCTTGCCAAGTGTCATACATATGCACTTATTCACCTCGAGAGTCACATCTGTACTGGCGTGATAATAGGCTCACATCCTCTTCCAGGGCATCGAAGGCACATACATCACCTACCACCCTGATTACTCTGCGGATGAAGACGACCCGCTGAATGGCGTCCGGTTTGTCGTGTCCCCCACTCTCGGTACGCAACCAGTTTTTACAGCATCGACATCCTTCTCACGTCGTGGCAGATCCCTCTCTTCGTGATCTCGTCGAGCGTATCCTACCACTAGCAACATACTACACCGCGATCAGCTCGTTCATTGAGCTGCGAAGCCATTTGGATTTCGGCCTCGTCAACCACGCGCTCTGTGCGTCGATGCGTGACATGCTCAAGGTGCGTACTCAGGTCCTGTTTATTGACTATTTGGTTGTTTTTTGTCCGATCCAAGCATTTGTCTTTTGTCCCTTTTCCCGTCGTGCTGGGGGGATAGGTCATCGGATTTGCATCGATGCAATACTGACTGTGCGCATAGGACTACCAAACCCTGCTATCGCAGCTTGAGCACGCCTTCAACACCTCACCCCAGTTCACCCTCCAGAAACTCTGGTTCTACGTCCACCCCACCCTCCACACCCTGTCGCTCCTATACATGCTGACAACGGATCTCGCCACCGCCGACGACCCTTCAGTCGAGCTCTCGGACTCAAACTCGGACGAGTCGGACGCGGAGGAAGCGGCGCGAAACGAAGCTCTCGGCCTCGGCAGCGCGAGTCTGAAGGCCGTCCTATCCGAGATCAAGACGACGGCGCTGGGGGTCGACGGAGGTGCGAGCGGGATCGCGGTGAAGGGCGGGGAGGTTCTCGCGATTCTGCACGAGCGGATGCAGAACATGTCGGGGGACCCCGCCGCGCACGCTCTGTACGGGGCGCTCCTGCGGGATGCGGGCCGGCCGTACGTCGAGATGGCGATGGCGTGGATCCGGTCCGGGAAGCTTGACGACTCGTACGAGGAGTTCCTCGTCAAGGAGAGCAAATTCATCAATCGCGGAACGCTCGAGATGGACTACACGGATGAATACTGGGAAAGGAGATATACGGTGAGTAAACCGTGCCGTGATGCCAATTTCCCGGCTGTTGACATGGCTCCCTAGCTTAGGGACGGATCAACGCTCGGGTCATCGAAACAACACCAAGCGGGCGTTCCGCCCGCACGCTCCGCCGGCGGTCGTTTGCCTGGGGGCGCCTGTGTTCCGGCTGTGCTTGAGAGATGGAAGCACAAGATCCTTCTCGCCGGCAAGTACTTGAACGTCATCCGAGAGTGCGGGATAGAGATCAGGCGAGACGCGAGCCAAGACAACGATGACGATTTCTCGATGGATGACGAGAGGTAGGCAGTACGAACACCGTGTTGATCCAGGCTAATGCGTCGCTGCAGGTTCCACAAGTCCATCGAAGACGCGTACACGCATGCGAACCGCACGCTGCTCCAGCTGTTGCTTCGAGACCAGCAGTTGATTCCCCGCCTTCGCTCCGTCAAGCGATATTTCTTCCTTTCCCAGTCGTCATTCCTGACCCACCTGCTCGATCTCTCGCATACGGAGCTCCGCAAATCGGCAAAGTCGGCATCCTTGGTCAAGCTCCAGAGCCTGTTGGATCTCGCGCTCAATACGGATGCGCAAGGCGAAGACGCGATGTTCCGCGAAGACGTCAAGGTTACGATGGCGTCCAGCGGCCTTTACGAATGGCTGCTGACGGTCGTTAACGTCAGCGGCCTCGAGGACGGCGAGGTGCCGGACGCGCACGCGCAGGCAGCCGAGTCGCAGAAGAAGGAGAAGGACGATAAGAAACAGATGCTCGGTGAGTCACGCCTGTCTTGTCAGCGAACGTCTGCACGGAGATTGACAGGCGATCCCCGACCACTTTGCAGCCATTGACGCGCTGACGCTTGACTATCACGTCAAGTTCCCTCTCTCGCTCGTCATTTCGCGCAAGACGATCCTGCGCTACCAGCTCATCTTCCGCTTCCTGCTCCATCTCAAGCACGTCGAACAGTCGCTTTCCAGTATGTGGATCGAGCACAAGACCGCCCCATGGCGGAAACAGACGCGGCCGCGTCCTCTCACCTCCGGAGCGGGGCGACAAACATCGCAGCCGCCTTCTGCCCACCCGGAACCGAAGGACTGGCACAGCGAATTCGAAAGTTGGCGCAAGCGCGTGTTCCTGCTGCGCGCGCGAATGCTCGCATTTGTCCAGCAAATTCTCGCGTTCACAACGTTTGAGGTGCTCGAGCCGAACTGGCGCAAGCTCGAAGGCAAGCTCGAGGCGGGCAAGGTAGAGACCGTCGACCAACTCCTCCGGGACCATGTCGACTTTCTGGACACGTGCCTGAAGGAGTGCATGCTCACGAGTTCCAAGTTGCTCCGGGTAAGTCGGAGCGCAGGTTGCCGGGCAGTCGAGCTTCGCGGATGCTGACCTCCGACCGCGCTCCGCGTGTGTCTTCGTGATCACAGGCATACTCGCGGCTGATCGTCACATGTTCAACGTTCGCGCTGTACACGGCATCGTTCACGAAGTCGGCGAACAATGCAATTGCCGCAGCGGACACACCCGACGGGGACCATTCCATGGCGAAACGGTGGGACATTCTGGGGAAGTTTGAGACAAACTTCAACCATTGGTGAGCGTCAGCCATTCCTCGATTGGATAGATTTAGCTGCGCAATCCTGATGCTTACGCAACTGTCTTGGTGCAGGTTCAAGGTTCGATTCCGAGCCGCTCGGTATAGTTATGCAATCTGCAACTCACACCGTTGTCCAGGTGCACCTAGACTGTGTGCAGTTTTACGCCTCGAGCGAAAACGTGTCGTTACTGCCTTTGGTGGTACGGCTGAACAGTATCAAGGCCGTCCACTAGTTCGCTCGGAATCTGTTTGCTGTATTTGCTCTTCGCTCATTGCTGCCGTCGTATCGATTGTGCTGTGTATCATACGCTAGTTCCGTCCGCACCGTCGGCATGTCTGATACCAGGTAGACAGGCACCTTTCAGCTTTCCATTTGTGATGAACAACATGTACACGCCACCCACATCCCTTCATTCGTCCGAGATGTCGGAGAGCAGCGGTGAACCTTCGGTCCTACGGCGCCACTCGGACATCTTCTGACAATTGGCTCGGACCTAGTGCGCGTCAGGTACGTCATCTAAGTTCTCTCCGCGGCTTATTGTGATGCTTGATTGACAGGGTAGACTGCACCGTCGTGACCCTGGCTCGTACATGACCCACAGGGCGACGACAGCGCGGTCTGGAGACGGCTCGATGGTTATAATCTATTTACACTCAGGCTTGCCGCGAAGCATGCGCGGGGCGCCGTGCGCCCGCGATGGGCGCCCCACCAATCGCGCGCCCACAGCGGCCAAGGCGTTCCTGCGCATCGCGCATGGAAGCTGAGTCGGATCAACGCCCTGTCCCGGTCCCGCTGGCCCGCACCGCCCCTTGGCTGTTCGAACGCCGCGGCAAGCCCGCGGACGATGTGCGAGTCTGCCTCCAGTCGGCCCTCCAGGCGAGTTCAGCAATCTGGGTATTGCATATGTTTGCTGCTATTCCGCCTTACTCACGCGTCCTTGCGTTAGCCTTCACTGTCCGCCACCCCGCCGGCGCCGGAAGGTATGACCTGCCTCCAATCCAACCGTTCTCGTCCCCATCGCTCGGGCGGCGAATGTGTGCGCGCAGCACGCACACAACTCCGCTGATGAGGGCAAGGGCCGGCACCATACGCAGAACGGTGGTTCGGTGCCCCACGCCAGAGAGTGAAGGGCGCGGGTGCGTGGCTGTCGTCTGGATGCGTTCGCATGCCCTGACTTGTAGACCCCCAGCTTTGGGCGCGCTCCCCGCGCGGCATATAAAGACGTCATCTCCCCGCCGTGTCTTCCAGCCTCTCGCTCAAGCTCCTACCAACCGTTACTTTCCGCCAGCATCCGATGGAGCGGGACGAACAGATCACGTTCTACACCTCTGCGGTGAGTGGTCGATACGACAAAAGTCCTCTATAGCACGCTGACCACTCCAACGTAAACTTGTACGTGTACAGTACTCTCCCTACTGCCATCGCGTCGCAATCGCCCTCGCAGAAGCCGGGCTCGAAGTGACGAAGTGCGAGATCAACCTCCAACCGGGCTCGAAGCAGCCGTGGTTCACGAAGGTGAACCCGCTCGGGACTGTACGTCCGCGCGTGGCTGCCGTAATCGTTATCTAACCGCGAAGCTCTCGCTCCCTGCTGCCCCGCCCGCGCCGACCCGCGCCGACTCGTCCCTGGTCAACGCCCCACGCCCCGCGCCGTCTACGCCCGCCCGCCCGCTCGACCAGGTCCCCGCGTTCACAATCGGGGGTGCCCCCGCTGCGCCTGAAGACCCTTCGCCGGACGCTCGGCGCCTATGGGAGTCTTCAGTGCTGCTCGAGCTCATCGCCGAGCTCCGCCCACGCGCGGGGCTGCTCCCTGGGGACGCCGGCGCGCGCGGTGCGGTGCGGCTCTTCGTCGCGCGCGCGCACGACACCCTGCACGGCGCGTTCCGGCAGTTCTTCTTCGCGCCGACCGGGCGCGCGCACGCGTTCGCGGCGGGGCTCGAGGCGTTCCAGGCGCTGCTCGCGCCGCGCGGGTACGCGCTCGGCGCGTGGTCGCTCGCGGACGTCGCGGTCGCGCCGTTCGTCGTGCGCACGGCGGTGCTCGCCGAGCACGAGGAGATCGGCAAGTACCCGCGCGGGGAGGGCGCGAAGCTGCTCGCGGCGCTCGCGGAGCCGCGATTCGCGCGCTTCCGGGCGTACTGCGCGCTGCTGCTCGCGCGGCCGAGCGTGCGGGATACGTTTGACAGGGTGAGTGCCGCTCGCGCGTGTTGGGGTTGCTGGTTGCTGACGGGCGAGGCGCAGGAACTGAACGTGAAGATGTGGAGGATCCATCCGAACGTGGGGCGCAATACGCCGCACCCGTCGCACGCGAGCCACTAGATCACGAAGAGAGACGTCGGGCTCGGTGTCCGGCGGGGCTGACTTATTCGCCGGACTGTTCTGTGCGGTATGACTGGCTTCATGTATATTTTGTTCAAGCTCGCGGTGAATTCTATTGCTTGTTCTAATTTCACTGATGCCTTCGTGTTATTGTTCGTGCCAGTCGTGCGTCGGACGGCGATTCGGGCGAGATGCACGGCAAATGGACTGCGTCTTCTTCACCAAGCCACCTTGCAACTGGTCTCGGCGGCGCAACAATGTTGCCTAGGGCTATAATTCAGCAAGACAAAAGAAAGAGCGGAACGCCGTAGATCTTAGCCTCGGATCATGGCTGTGTCGTAAGTCGTTGGGGGCATTGTGTCGTGCGGAGTCGAATATTTGAATGTTCAGCGGAGATTCCAACAGGCGCAAATGTTTAGAAGCTGAAGACCACGGCAATGCAAGAGAATTATGGGGCCTCGGAAACAGACTGACGCTTCTGACGGGGCGTGAATGCCATGCTCCACGAGGATTCGCAGAACAACGCTGCGAAACAGCCGGACGCACGGAGAAAGAAGTTGACGTAAGTTTATTGGATGAGTTATTTGACATTGATCGGATGAATGCTCATGAATCGACTGCTTTGCGCACGAAGACCGATGCCTAGCCATGGCACATATCCGGGGGTTACGGCGGCATACCCGGGAGCTGTGGGCGCAGTCGGCTTGAAGTCAGGCTACATTTTTATCAAGGATGTCTGCCACGCTGATCTACGAACACCGTTTGGCAAGCAACCCGAGTCGGGTGAGCAGGTACCACTCCGCCGATCGCTTTGCTATGGGTCTCCTACCCGCTTCGAGCCGCGAAAGTCGAAGTGCTCTGAACGACGACCATCGAGGGATGGGGACGGCATATCCCGGCCGGGCCGTGAAGCCCCTCCCGCGACGCGGACCCTTCCCACTCCGCGGACCCCGCACTACGGACGCCCTGGCCTTGGCTTCATCTGACACCGGACACGGCAACACCGACGCCGACGACGCTCGCCCCGCCTTCTCTCGGATCCGCTCTCTCCGCCCCCGCCCTCGCCATGCGGCGCAGCCTCCCCGCGGCGTGTCCCCCGCTCCTCGCGCCCGACTCGCGCCCCGACACGACCCTCACGCGCGGTCCCGGACGCCTCGACGGGCACCCGGCCTCCAACCAGCACGCCGGTGCACCGCTCGGAACGTCACGCCCGCTCCCCGTCGGCCAACGTGGACGAGCTGCTCGGTGGCCCGGCATCCGGGTTGATCGAGTTGATCCCCGCGCGCGTCGCGCAAGAACTAGTACGCGCAGCGGGAGCTCGGGTCGAGGATGTGGATTTGTGCGGCCCCGCGCGCTCTGGCATGCGGGGCTCGTTCTTGGGATTCGTCGCGGGGCAGGAGGAATCGGAGTTAGAGGTCTTGCGTTTGAATGATGTGCCCCCCGACGGTCAGAGCGACGACGGCGATAAGGGATTGAGTACTACAATTTAATGTGAGGTTTCAAGGCAGCGTCCGCCATCGCATGTTCTTGAGTGCTCATGATGATGTTTTCTTCTCTAGTGGTCTTGCGGCGACGCCTCACGTGATCGATTGGAGCCACCGGGTTCATCATCTCTCAGCTCATCGACGCTCCCTACGGGTGTGGACCCGTTACATTACGTATGTAGTCAAACGAAAGCGGGATAGATTAATAGCTGCGTTACCACGCGTACATATGTGACACGTAGGGATTGAAAGAAAATAAGAATAAGAATAAGCTCATCGACGCTCCTGATGTTCGAAGTGCAAAGACGTTGGTGGATGTTAAACGTACGAATTATAGGCATGAATGTGCGGTATGATGGTAGAGCCTCTCTGAATGTATTCTATGCGTCGAAAAGGCATGTACATATGGAACTTGATCGCCGTCAGCTTCACCTTGCCATGCGGAGCATTTGAACACGGTCCTCCTCCAGATAACTCACCCTACGACGAAAATAATACACGACTGCCTACGTTCTTACGGACCCCGATGTTTATGCATTGCGATCTATATGCTATTTGGCAGGGTTTTGAGGTACCGTATCGGACTCTTGGGCCGTTTGCCTCGTGGGTAGGGTTAGGGTTCCGGATCTAGACTCCATTGCAGTTGCAGCGGAATCGGCTCGACTTGTTCCAGCTGCTTGTCCTCTACGACCACCCTCCTCCGCCTCCTCACGATCTCCTCCACCCACACGCACGAAAACCATGGTGAGCCCCGCGCGCCTCCCCGGGGACCCATCCGCGATCTAACCGACGCGTGCAGAGCGATAACGCAGGTGCGCTCGCCCGCCGATCGACCGTCGAGCCGGCCGCAGGAAGGAGCGCAGGCTGACGCCCCCGCGCCGCCCGCAGAGTACAAGGAGGCGTTCGCGCTCTTCGACAAGAAGGGCACCGGCGCGGTCCCCAGGACGGTGCTCGGCGACCTGCTCCGCGCGCTCGGCCAGAACCCGACCCAGGCGGAGGTCGCGGACATCGTCGCCACGGCGCCTTCGGAAGGTGCGTGCCGTGCTTGTGCGGGGCGTGTGAGCACGAGCTCATTGGAGCCGCGGGTTTTGTTCTGATGGTGGTCGTGGTGGTTGGGTTTGCGCGCGCGTGCATGGGTCGGGCGTGTGGCGGGGTGTGCGGGCGCGGGTGGGTGTGGTCGATGAACGAACCGGGACGGGCGGGCAGTCGACTACAAGACGTTCCTCACCATCCTCAACCGGCCAGACGGGTTCAAGCCCGCAGGGACACCCGGTGCGTATGCTCATTCGGTTTCCGTCCCCCGATGGCTCATTTGTGCATGTATGGGTCCCTTGCCTGTGTCGTTTCCCTCGCCCTCGCCGCCTCGCCCGCTGGTCGATGAATGCAGAGGAGTTCATTCGTGGATTCCAGGTGTTCGACAAGGAGGGGAACGGCTTCATCGGTGCGGGTGAGCTGCGGTACGTGCTCACCCAGCTCGGAGAGAAGATGACGGACGAGGAGGTGGACGAGCTCCTCAAAGGCGCACAAATCGGACCGTGAGTCTTGTCCCCTCCATTTTTCCGTGAGCCCCAAATGTTGATTTGGTGGGTGGGTGCAGGGACGGAAACGTGAACTACGAGTCCTTCGTCCGCACGATCCTGAGCCAGTAGAATGGTTAGCAGGAAGCTGTGGATAGTGTGGCTTGTATTTATACCAACATGAATGTCTGTTCTCATAATCACAATGTTCACGAATTCACGACGTGTAGCTTTCACTTTATCTTGACTTGCTCGCGCTCATCGATCGTTTCACCACTCGCAAGCGTCGATTTGTCCTTTTAATCGCACACGTTCACGCAAGTTTAATGGTCGAGAAACAACATCACTGGCTACCCGGAAATTAGACCACGATCAAGTACATACTCTCCAGTGCGCAAGACGCGGGAAGCCCATCAAGAGCTGAGCCCGCGGCTCATCGCACCAGGAATGAATGCACCAGACATCACAACGCGGCCAGCCCTGCGGTCTGACTGGTCGCGCCATGCAGTGCTGAGTACAAGAAATGCCCACCACGGGGCCCAAACATCCTCTACTGCGCCGAGGCGTACGTCGTGCCGAGCGGGGTGAGGCTCGCGTCTGCGTTGACGAGGTTGCCGACGGCGGTCATGAACCACGCGTAGTGGGAGACGGTCGAGAGCCCGTTCAAGAACGGGATCATCTCGTTGAGGAACGCCTGCTGCTGCTCGACCGAGCCCGACGCGCCGAACTCGGTGATCAGCGTCGGCCGGTTGTAGCGCGTGCCGAGGTCGGTGATGTACTGCTTGTAGTACGCCGTGTTCGTCGCGGAGTCGTAGATGTGCGCGGCGACGGCGTCGACCCGGCACCCGAGCTTGTCGCACTCGGACAGGAAGCTGTCCATCCAGCCGGTGCCCATCGGCGGCGCGCCGTTCGTGATCGCGGGCGAGACGAGCGTCGCGCGGCCCGCGAACGGCTGCATGTACGTCATCCACTGTTGCGCGGCGTCCGCGGGGGAGGTGTTCGCCTGCGAGGCGAGGTCGGGCTCGTTGATGCTGCGTGCGCGCGTCCCGGTGTGAGCTCGTGCGCGTGGGGGTAACAAAAGGGGAGAGCGGAGACGCACAAGAGGAGGTGGGTGCTGCCGGAGGCGATGGCGGCCTCCGCGTTCGCGGCCCACTGGGTGGTGTGGTCCGGCTGGTTGCTGAACATCATCGGGAAGAACTGGGTGCCGGCGGGGATCGTGCCCGCCGGGGTCGAGTCCCAGTTGTACACCCAGCTGACCTGGCTGTGGGGGCGCTGTCAGCCGCGGTGTCCCTCGCGCGCGCTCGGGAGGACATACCCGGAGTTGAAGTTCCTGGTCAGGCTCGGGTCGTTGTACGACAGGCCCTTCTTGATGCTTTATGCGCGAGCCTCGTTAGAGCGGGCTCCCACTGGATAAACGCGAAATGTACTCACGCAGACGCACGGCGGACCTTCTGGATGCTTGGCCCCGCGAGCGCAGAGGTGGCGGCGAGAATGACAGTGAGGAAGGCGGTCGTGTACTTCATGGTGTATTCAAAAGAGAGTGGAAGCGGGGGCGATGGTGGACTTGGGTTTCGTGAAGAATGGGCGAAATGAGGTCCGGCTGGGGGATGTCGAAGTCGTTCAAACGCACCAGGCGTAGAAAATAAGAGACGTGAAGGGGAAAAAGAGACGCGGAGGACGTGAACGGTTCGAGCGCAGCCTGGATGGGACCTGAAGTGCGTCGGTGCGCGGACGCGGGCTTTATACCGGGCGAGGGCGCGCGCGCGGAGGGGCGCCACGATCACATCACGGCGTTTGAGTCCGTTGCTGGGCCTGGCGCGCTTGTCGTCTGCGGTTGTGGATGCCGGTTGTGAGCGTTGTGGTTTTGATCCATGGCGCGGCACGGGGCGCGACGCGCGTGGTGCACGCCCCGAATGCTTGCTCGCACGAGGGCTGCACAGGGCCGCTGGGCACTGTGCGGCGTGTGGCCGATGCTGTGTCGATGAAGCACAGGTAGCGGCACAGCAACAGCTCGTCGGGCGTGGCACGTGCGGAGAGGTGCGTCGACGCTTCATACGCGAGCGAACTACTCTGAAGCTTTCCAGCCCGACCTAGGACGTCGAGAGGACAGAGAACACAACGCCCCGACTGTAGCGAGCCTCGCCCAGGCGGGTCCAGTGACTGCGTCGGACTGCCATCATGATCCCACGATGATCTGCTGCTGATGCAACGGACTGGTCGGCTGGGTAAACGTGCAAGGCGTAAGAACGAGTGATCATCAACGGGGACGGATCGCAGCCATACTTACCCACGGCCGCCGGGTCGGCTTGAGATCAAGAGAGACGCTGAGAGAGGACGAGGCCGCTGGCGAGTCTATCATCGACAAGTTGCTTCTGGAACGGTGATGGTGGTTGTGCCAAGAGCGTTTGTCTCTGGGACCGGTGGTTGAGAGGGCCTAGGAAGCTGCGAAGGCGAACGGATGCCTGCTTTACTCCCTTCCCTCTTCATTCAGAGGTACGGGGAGGTCGAGAAGAAGTAACATGTTTGGATAAGTATCTAGGACCCCCGATCTGGCATCACGGGGCTTTCCCGGACAGCCACCGGTTGATCAGTGTCAGTGCCTCCACAGGTTTATCTCCCGGTGCCTAAGTAAAACGGAAGGACGATCGTGAAGGGATCAACGACATATCCGAACGCGGACGACTCACGATATGGCCGGCGCCGTGGAGAGTAGCATATGTCAGTCCACCTCCGCTCCGCGTTTCGCCCGCGACATGGCCGTTCGCAGTCCACGTCCGAAGAGGCAAGGGGCGGAACTCTCCACTCCTGGACCATTCGAGCTCCATCGTCGTGCGCTCGATGCCGATCTAGCAGGCAGTGAGCATGGTGAACGGGATGACCTCATGAAGGGAGAGGCGACGAACCCTGTTACACATTAAGTCGGTGTCCCCGACAAGGAGGAGCACCGGGATGCCTCGCTCGAGTAGTGCGGCGAGGTAATCCTCGGCGCGGAAGCTGATGATATCGAATGAGGATCCGAAGGCCTCGCCCACAGCGTTCGACTTGTAGCTGTAGGCGCCGCGGAATCTCGGATCTGCTCCGAGGGCAATCTGTACCTCGTCTTGACTGAGGAGTCCGTCGATATTTCTAGGCAAACCCAGCGGCGTGAGCAACGGGCGTGAGCGACGGGCGTGAGCGACCCGACAGTGGGGTAGCTCACAGAAGCCGCGGGTAGCAGAGGTCAATGTTGCCTCCGTCAGAGCTAGAATGCAGATCATGAGCGTCCTTTCCAAAGCACTGGGAGTGAGCCTAGCGCTCACCAGGGACGTGTACGGTCGTAATTCGAAACTTTGAGCTCTATGTACGTCAACGGCCTTATGAGCGCCAATACGTGTTATGAGGGCTGAAGGCGTACTAGAAACCTCAGCTAGTGGAGGACTCCAGCAGAGATCGATGGCTGTATGAGAGCAGTCGATCAGATCTAGCGTATCGACGCAAGACTTTTGGTAGCTCTTCTTGCAACGTTGTACCTTGAATTGGTAACACGTCAGAATCTCGAAGATTGCGCACTGCAAGCGTGGGCACTTACCATTTGCTTCAATCGAACGCATGCCCTGCGTGAACGTCATTGTTATTGTATTTCGGACACACCATATTGAGAGCGCATACTCAATGCTAGCGAGCTGAGGGAAGTCCGGGTCTTGACAGAGCACGTCGTACGTTGAGGTCGTCCAGTGCTCGACGTTCGTACAGCCATTCGCTGGCGTGGTTTCGGTGAGAATGACCCAGAATGTCCCGATTACGAGCTCACCTATCACGACGGATGTCAAGTTGACAGGGGTTAGGCCAGCCTCAACGAGCTTCGTGTTTTGATCATAGATTTTTGAGGCAAAGACGGGAATGTATTTACCCTAATGAGGTCGATAGGTCGAGGTCAAGAACTTTAGCATGTCCATTCGAGAGTAAGCCCCAAGAATTACCCCGTAAGATTCGCCGGCCATATGCACAGGCCTGCCTCGGAACTTGATGAAATGCTGGAAGAATATGCCCAGGAAAGCGACAATGTCGTCTCCTGCATCCATTGTCGATCCCTGGTTCCAGACGACTGCTTTGAGTTAACGATCGCGAGTGGTGGATGCTCTGTGCTCACTACAACGTCTCCGGTATCCGCGTATGAGAAGCCGACTCCGACGGGCTGCTCGAAGTACACCGTGTTCGCTTGATTGTTCCATGCGTTCGGATTGTGGACCGTCGTGTTCTTGTTGGTGACCAAACATGGGCCGATCGCGGTGAAGAGGCTCATGGCGCCGGAACCTCCGGGGCCGCCGTTTGTCCAGAACAAGAGCGGGTCGTTGTCTGGATCATGGCGACTCTCGAAGAAGTAGAAGAACATATGGCGAAGGCCGATGTCGATGTATCCCGTATAGGTCCTGTTGGATGACGCTCAGCAAATAGGCACAAGAGCTACAAAGTCGAGCGCTCACTTTACTCCAGTATCACAGAAGCGCGATTCTTTGATACGGATGGAGTGGTACGGCATTGCAGGATGGCGTAGCGTGGTGAATTGAGACGACGAAAGCGCCCCCAAGTCTTCCAGAGGTGTGAACAAGCCCTCATCGTAGGAGCTCAGAGGAGTGTCGTAACCTTCGGCCGCGACAGGCTGGATCAGCGCCGCCGTAGTGAACAGAGCGATGACCGAAGGGCGGATGCGCATCTTGAGTCGCTGTTCAGGATCGGACGGTGAACAGTGAGAACGCAGCGCATATAAGCAGGGATCAGGATCAAGTTGATGGGCCGCGCGCCGATTGTAGCAGAGTAATTGATCGCAGTACCATGGCGATGCGAAACAGTCTGAAGTGACGAAGTGGCTCCAATTAACGGGAGCTACTAGTCGTGGGAGTATCCTGCGGACATGTCGCAGCGTAACAGCCACGTGCAGTGACGTTTCGCGATGTATGACACGAGCACAACCGCTGGCCCGTTTGGCCATGGGCATTGGGTTGGCGAACTTTCTTCCTCCTCTGCATTCTCCAGCCACGACTCCTCTCACCCGGATGACCCTCCAGTCACTTCAAGCCAGGAAGCTTGAAGAGAAATCCGTATCCCTTGCCGTACTTTCCGTCCTCCTATATCGTCCTTCAATGTGCAATCGTCGTGCGATCGTCGATACCAGGCACTCAGACCGATACCACTGCACCAGTGCACACATTGGCTAAACGCGTACACACAACTACAAAGTGCCGATGCTGCTTACAGCCATTGATGCAAGCGCGAATACTGAAACATCGGGTTTCATTTTCGGGATACTAGCATTTTCCTCACTCGGATCAATGTACTTAGTTTTGTCGTGCGGATACGAAACCGCATATCCAACCAAGGTATCGTCGCCGTGGATTCTTTCTCTCATACCGGCCGCGGCTGACTTCTGGTACAATCTTGGATCTTATGTAGCTCGCGACGACTGTATGCTCTCCAGACTCCATCCGAATGTCAGCCTCGACATCCGTATATCGCTCCTTCGGGGCCCCACTTCTATTCTCGCCCGTTTCCAGCTGGCTCCTGTCCTCTTCTCTCACGAACTTCAAGTTGCTTTCGCTTCCCTCGACGATCCCGCATGCTTTTCAAGCTATTCAGTTTCGCCTCCAAGCCCCGCGTCAAAGTATCCCTCGTTGTGCGCGTTGATGACATCCAGACAACGTCCCATAGCGCGACGAGCGTCGTTCATGTGGACGAAGACGTGCATGTACGTATGACCTTTGATTCCGGCGGGATGTTGGTATGTCACGCCCCTCCCGATCACTGTTAGATCTCGCTTACAAGGACTCGTAGCTCGCCCACGAAGTAGAGCACCTTCACCGCAAAGACCCCCTCACACCATCAATATCGATCTCAGTCTGCTCTCTCTCTCAGCGCCCAGCGGCTTCCTCACTCAAAGGCAAGCGATTCCCGCCGCTGAAGTCAACATTCAAAAGCCCCCTTTTCGCCCACTCTCCCCTCGCTTCGCCATCGTTCGATGCTACGTCGTCCGTCCCCCCCTTCAACCGTATCTCCTCTGTTCAGACCAAGCTGTGCACAAGCATCCCTCCATCTCCTTTGACCCGCAAGATCACCACGAACGATCTCCGCATCATCCGCGTCCTTGGGAACGGCGGCCAAGGGTTCGTCATGTTGGTTCAAGACCGAGCGACGGAGAACCTGCTGGCTCTCAAGTCGGTCGCCAAGCACTCCGTGCCGCTGGAGGACGACGCCCGGATATTCGAGGAGCAAGATGTCCTTCGGCGACTCGCGGGGAACTCGCGTTTCCTCGACTTGCAGGCGAGCTTCGAGAACTCGGACTACTTCTGCTTCCTCACGGTACGTTGACTCCCCGGCGACTCTTGTGACGCGCGCTCACGTGGATTCTCAGGACTACTATCCAGGAGGGGACATGAAGGACTTCCTCGCGCTCCGCGGGAAGCTTCCCGAACACGAAGCCCGCGATTATTACGCTCAGCTGGTACCCCAGCCTCTACCTCAGTTCGACGGCGTGTGGCTGACTCCGCCCTAGCTTCTCGCGCTGCAAGAGCTGCACTCTCGTCGGATCATCCACCGCGACATCAAGCCCGAGAACGTCCTCATCGCCGCCGACGGCCGCCTCGTCCTCGCTGACTTCGGTATGGCTCGCGCTTTCGGCCGCACCGCAGACCAGCAGCCGTGGCTCTTGCGCTCGAAGACGCGGTCCCGGGACATTCGCTCCCTGAGGACGATGTTCGCCAACGGGGCGCCCGCGGCTGAAATCGACAAGACGGAGTCGGGATGCGGGACGGCGCGCTACATGGCCCCGGAGCAGTTCGATCCGGGGTGCTACTCGTACGGCGTGGACACATGGGCGCTGGGGGTTATGCTGTACGAGATGCTACACGGCGAGGTACGGTGTTCCTCCAATGTATCGCCGCGTGAGATGCTCATCCCTTCATAGCTGCCATTCAAAATGACCGCCTGCTCTGAAGCGTGGAAAATCGTCGATTACGTGCTGGATGGGAAGCTGGAGGTTGACGACAGTCTTAGCGACGAGGCGTACGATCTCGTCTGCACGGTGCGCGCCTTACCGCCCATTGGGCTATCGATGTGCTGATGAAAATGCAGGTGCTTGCGAAGGACCCTCTGAAGCGTCCGACCTGCGATGAGATCATCGCGCACGCCTGGTTCGACGGACAGTAAGCGCGTATCGTCTTGCTCCTTGATCAAAGCTCATTAATTTCGGACAGCGATTGGGCTGCACCGCCTACTCCCGCTTCGAGTCGACTGCTTTCCGCAGAGGACATGATGCCGGTGCGTTCACCACCTTCCCTGAATGTTCACCGTACTCATATATTTCCCCAGACACTCGAGGCCAAGTGTATGACGTTCAGCGAGCCATATTCTACAGGCGAGGAGCCGCATCCCTTCTTCACTTGGGTCTCGCCCGCACTCGGCGCGTCAGTCCTCCCACCGCCCATCAGGGAGATCACGGTTCCAGCCCGATCCACGGGTTCTGACGTCGGGATCGTGCCAGCCGCATCACTCGCGGAACGACTCGCCGACCTCGACACTGACCCGTCGCCCAGCGTCCCAGTGTCATGGAAGTTCTCGGATGGTCTGCGATCCGTTCGGTCTCGTTCGCCGTCTTCAGACGACCTCCACGCTCGAGGAGCGTCTCCTACAATCCAACACTACGACACGTTCATCCCAGCGACCATTGGCTGCGGCCTCTCCTCGATGCACGGCCTTCCACGCCTCGAATTGGACCTCCCTTCGTCTCCGGACTCCGTGGACTCGCCGCTTGTCACCCCCGCGCTCACGGACTACCCCTCGGCGCCCTTCCCCGGCCTGCACTCGCCGTGCCGGAGTGTAGTCGATGACTTTGAGGGTCACGATACGGCGAGATCTGTCAAGAGGAGCGGAGCGCGGCCAGACTGGCTCAAGCGGACGAAGGGTTGGTGGTCGGGGAGTAGTGGTCGTGGGAGCGTTGTGTGAGTCGACGTCGCTTGTGGAAGGGAGGAGGCTCCTGTGCGCGTGTGCGGGGAGTCTCGGCCGGGTCTGTTGTGTGGGTCTGGAGGTTTGAAGCGTCGGGCTTCTTCGTGTATGTAGCTCTGTTCTCCTTAAGTCGTTCGTCTCGCTTTCTAGATTCCGAATCTCCTGTTCTGCTGTGCGAATACTGTGTCGGCGTGGAGGTCGACAGCTGGTGCTACAAAGACACGATTTGGTAAGCTGGGGCATGAGAGGAATACGCAAAGGCTCACTCACGACCGAACAAGTCCAGGCTGGTGGCCTAGACCCCCGGGGCGGCGTTGCATCAGAGACGCTACCAGACGAACGACAGACCCTGCATGCGGTCGAAGAACGACCTGATCCGCGATCTAGAGCGCCCGCCAGACTGTTGAAACCGCGAGAGCGAGGGCTCGCGTAGCCTGGACGCGGAGAGCACGGAAACGAGGAGATCGGCGGCCCGTGGCACGACTCCAAGGGTCGATGATGTGGATGTCTCCGTGGCGGGCTCGACGACGTACACATATGGTTCAGGATAAGGAGGTAGTAGTGGGGTGAAACACGGCTGAGGGGGCCCATGGCTTTGAGGTAACATGATAGTAGGCGGAGGACTCGGGAACATCGGCGCCGGGGGTAGTATGAACGGTGGAGTTCTACTAGGGGACCTGATGGATGTATTTGACGATGACGCCGGGGAGTAGGGGATCCTTGAAGGCGGTTCATCAACGAGGTGGGTGAAGTATAAGTCTTTCGGTGGTGAGAGATCCAAGCCGGTCCATGCTTCTACCTCAATGATAACAGGAAGCCCCTCGGGATTCGACACGCTCACAGTTGGGTGTTGCTTGCGACCGCTTCGCGCTACAGATGGCTTGGGACGAGTGGTTCGCGAAAAGAGGAAGCGCGACCAGTAGGGAGTTTCAAGGGGGACCAGAGCATAAGGAAGCGGAATGACGCGTAGATGGGCGGTAACACCGTGGGTCTTGCTGGTGAAGAAACGACGGTACGCCCATCTGGGAGTGCGGTCGGCAGCCATAAAGCATCTGTAGTCCCAATCGACAACGTGTGTGTGCGGGCACGGTTTGGGCGAATGTCTCGTAGGCTTGATATGCGGAGGCTCTCCACAAACGTCCCATTGCTTCTGCTTCTGCTTCTGCGCAGCGAAAGGTGATATCTGCACTGAGGACCATAGTCCTCCGTGAGCGCCGCATGAGCCTATATGGACACGAAGCTCGAATCCGTTCAAGGCGACGAACTGCTCCTGCTGAGAACCGTTCGGAAATGTGGGCTGCGGCGGGTTCGTCGTCCGCTGTAGCTTGAATGGAGAAGGCATGAGGTCGTGATGCGCAAAGATCCTGACGGTTTCCGTGTCGTTTAAAACAGGTTTCAGTTGGGGCTCGGGGGGAGATGGGATTGCTTGGACATCCCAGGGAAAGGAAGGCTCGAGTCCAAGGATCCAAGGAGTACCTTTGGAAAGAGTGAGTGCTGGCTCGGATAGATTCAGACACAGCTCTCGTCCCAGCAGACGGAACGTCCGATAATGCGTCCACGACACAGATGGTTCGCATGGAAACGTGCCATCAGCATATCGGATATACGGGGGACAGGAGTAGCGACTCCAGTCGCTGGCGTGAACTAGCTGACAATGAGCGTGATCGCGTGTGGGGAGGTGAGAAGTGTGAGGTTCTTCCGCGGAGGCCACCGCGTACGCGTCAGTTTGAACGCTCGCGAGTTCGATAGAGACCCATAGTCCTCCGTGTCCGCAGTGACCAGCAAGGATGCGCAACTCCAGCTCCTGCTCGGGGTGCAAGAATACGAACATCTGTGCGGGCGAAAACTGCCTCGTAGTCGTCAGGGGCCATCTTGTGCTCGCTGGTTGTATGAGTAGAAACCCTTGGTCCTTCAGCGACGCGAGGGTCCAGTCGAGGATGACGATCGGCGCGGCGTGCTGAAGCAAAGGAGCGTCCAGTATGGGAGGGATGCCGGCTTCATCTTGAACCATCGGCTGAACGATGTATACGTCGGTCCAACGATACGTTGCGGGCTCTTCGCTGTCCGGGGTGGCACCCATCGAGAGCCTGGAGATCGGATCGGTAGGGTCGATGCGCACGTAGCGCACGAAGCCGATGTCGTCTAAAAAGCCCCCGATCCGGTATTGATAGGAATTCCGAGGGCGAAACAAGACAAGGCCGATGGCTATGGGAACTGGGTTTGCTTCGTACGCCTGACAGGCCAATAGGGCGACGAAGTGGTCTCCTTCCTCATTGGCACCGGCAGGATGGATGGACGAGTGATGAAGTGGAAATAAGGGAACGTGGGCGCGCACACCGTGGCTAGTCAACGTGAACTCGGGAACCAAAAACGCTCCTCCCTGTGCATTCTGCAGTCAGCAAGACGCTCTCGGCAGAAGGTTGTCAACATACCGTTGAGTGTACATCGCGAGCACGAAAGGTGTCGAGAATCGAAGTGAACTCATGATGAGAGAGAGAATGAGGGGTAGCATGATCGATGGTGGTGGATGCGAACAAAGCTGCAGACGGTGCGAGGAGGTACGAAGTCTGCGCTTCACGTATCGCCGATTCCGAGGGTTGAGGGAAAGGAGTCTGAAACTCCATTCTGGCAGAACCCGGGACATATATGTCTTCTTCGTCACCATCTGTGCTCTTCGATGAACGAGGCTGAAGTTGATTATGAGGAAGTACTTGTGATAGAGTCAGGGTGGGAAGCGACGAGTGTGAGACCTCGCGGAGCGCCGGAGTGAGCGTGGAGAGAGACAGCGAGGGTCCCCAAGTAAAAAGTGTCTGGTCGGGTGACGTCCTCATGATCTCCTCCTGCAGTCGACGAAACGCCCGCGAACCTTCGCCGTAGATGGTCGGCATGTTGATGTCGAAGATTCCCATGAGGCAGTACGCGGCGTCTTCGACACGGGTGGTGACTCGAGAAGACGCCCAGGACATGCGCTTCGCCACGGAGACGGAGGATAGGGGTGCTTGGAGCCTGAGGACGTCGATGTCGATGCGAGTGATGTCTTCGAGTACTTTGGCGAGTAGGTCCTTTGTGCCGAGCATCGTCCAGTCGTGGGAGAAGAAAACGACGTTCTTGGGCGCTATGAGCTCCTGCAGCGTCCAGCCGCGGGTGAACCAGACGCTGAGCCTGAGCTTGGAGTCGATTGCGGTCGGGTCTTCGTCGGCTGGGGCATCGGAGAGGTAGGCGAAGCAGACGTCGGCGCCGGCATACCACTTGAACATAGAGTTGATGGCCTCGGAGAGCTCGACGCTGTTGGTTTTGTCGATGCAGCAGGTGTCGATCCAGACCCACTCGAGACCGCGGAGTTTGGCATGTCGACAGCATTCGATGATCTTGGAGGCGAGGCGAGAGCGATTGTGCCGTTCGATGACGAACTGAAAGTCTTGCTCGTTGGACGTCCAGACATGAGACAGGATGGCGTATCGTGAGGGGGGTTTATCGAACTTGCGAAGGGAATGGTGTTCCGTGTCAATGAGCCACATTATGAATCTGTGAGAATGTGAGAAGCGAAGACGAAGACGTTTGTTTCGCAGTCAGTATTCACCTCCGAGGGGATGTCTAAGTCTGGCCTCTTGACGAAGTTGGGGGGAAGGAAGGCGCGACACCTGGCTTTCATGGTGGCCTCCATGCAGCTGTCAGTGACCGCTGTCGAGTTCCCGGCGAGCACGGACGTTGGTCAACGCAGTCGGTTGAATCCGAACAGCTCACGTGGCGGATCGGTCCCAGGCGCCTATACCCCATTTCTGTGTTTCTCCTCGACCATGATGAAACCGCCCGCCGCGGCCAACGTCACGCCTCCATGCTTTGCTCCAGCTTCGGTACTAGCTTTCTATGGGGTAAGCTATATATACGAATGGCTTGTCGTTTGATCCATGGCGGGGATGAGAACGAGATTCTGGACAGATCGTAGCCTGGAACTTGCTTTACGCCAAAGAAAGTAAGTACTGGGCGAACTTTGAACCATCATGCACTCCAGGAGGGCGCCGAACAAGACGATTACCCTCATCCAAATGTCAGCCGCACCATTCGCGAAAATTGTCCCCTTTCAGCCCGTTCTTCGCCTCCCAAGTAATTCTTCCAGCTTTCGCGCACCTCTCTTCGTTATACCATCCCTATTCACTCCACCATGCTCTCCAAGCTCTTCGTCCTCAATGACTCCTCATCTCCAAGATCCTAACCCGCTGGCGCATCTCCATGTACTTGTTGAGACTATCATAGTCGAGATCTCGGGAAGTCCAGGAACGAATGTACTTCTTTGATGATGACAATTGGTACGTCTCCTTCGCAGCCAGATGCTTCTGACAGATGCTGACGCTGCGTACAGATCGTCTATTGTGTCGATCGCATTAAGCACCAAGATCATCTCCAGTCTCTCCCTATTTCTCGCCGTCTCCATCCATCCACCTGGCCGCCGCCTTCCAGCGTGACTTCGGCGCCGCCCTTATCTTCCGTCGACCGTCGGGAGCATCATCTCAATCTCTGTGGAATATACCTCCATTTTCTGTCTCATACTCCTGCGCTCCCGTGGCAAGCGGTACTTAGACTGATCGGTCCCATCGCCCACGGTCAACACTATGGCTTTCGTTCAGTCTTCGAGGCCCGGGTACGCAATGTCGCCGTATACAAGCTACCTCACCACTTCCCCGTGCCGGCGTCGTAAAGCACGTTCCAGTCTCCACGGCGATCCTGACCCCATGGCGTTCCGCAGTGCGCCCCGGCTGTCGCCTTCGTCGTCAGTCGCAGCCGCCCCAGACCCTCAGCGCCCGCCACAGCCAGCCCTGGGCCATTCTGCCATCGCGAATGTGCGCAGTCGAGCTGCGCTGTTGTCGAGCCCGTCACTAGCTGCCCCGACAGTCCTCAACGTGTTTATCATCCTCGATCGCCCGCATCGTCGATATCACTATCCCCCATGCGGATCCGGCAAAAGTACTTTTCCACAGCTCCGGCAGTCGCCGCTGAACGCCCTAGAGCAGCCTAGAGCACGCAATGTAAACAGATGGTACTCTCATCCCTTCATACCACGGTCCATGTACATACAACGTTGCCCGTCGCGAGGCCCCTTCCGTTTTCGACCGCAGCACGCATGGCCGACGGTGAGCATTTCCTTCCATACCCAGCCTTCATGAGGCGTGCCTTGGTGCACAGCTGCCGCGATGCAACTGTGTACGCGCTTCTGAGTTCACCGCGCATTCTGCCTGCCCTGCGCCAGTACTTGTACAGTGTCCCACGGGTCCTTGGGACACCACGGGTCCTTGGGACAGACCTCGGATCCTCCTGATATACACTCCTTATAATCTTGAAAAAACGGCACTTCAGTGCGCAATGATGTTCCATGTAGCTAGAGTGACAATTCCAGCTGATCCCAGAGCTGATTGAGACCATGAAAATATGTTTTCACATTTCCGAGAGTGTGAGCAAACTTAGAGGACATGTCGTTGGGAGAGTGGAACTCTCTTGAAGCTCGGAGATGGATTTAATGACTTCTGGTAATGTTGGCTCTCTCCCTACGGGGTTTCAAGTGATCACACGGCTGGGCTGGTGATGCCGGACATGTCCCAGGTTTCCGGCGTTTCTGGCGTCTTTTTGGGCGACATACGCGTACCACGTGACACTCTCACACGACGCGTCGTCCTGTCTGGCCCCTCCGTGTCCTGCATGGAAACCTCACCCGATAAGGACGAGGGGGAGGCCGTGGTACGGATACGGAATGAAGGTAACAGTGGGGATGAGGAGGACGATGAGGATGGCATTGAGCACCACGGCCGCGACGGCTCATCGGAAGCGCCGATGCGCGTCGTGGGAGATCCATGATCTATTGCCCGATATGGGCCGTCCCAAGGATGGGTGGGTTCGAACTTTCGGGCCATATGTCATTTCTTGTCGCACTCGTCTCTTGTAATTCAGATCCCCCTGAAAATATTCATGTATGTAGCTACTATGTGAGACTGTGTAGATATGAAAAATAAGCGACCGCTGATACAAAATCGCAGAGATATCAGCGAGACTGTTTTTGGTGTCCCAAGGACCCGTGGGACACTGTACAGACGATTCTCTTGGACGCTCCCGCGCGGTTCGGACATGCCAATTTGTGCTCCCCGTCCGTATAGCGCCGGCCGTTGCTGTATGGGCGGATCCGGATTCCGCTGATCGGACCCCGTGCGGCGTGCGCAGCACACGGAGTCTTCGCAGGGAAGATCGACAGAGAAGAAAGGGCGGTACGACAACGGTGCTGTCCGCGAGGCAGGCTAGAGTAGATAACGGTGCTGCGCTCGCGATGGGTTATTTGACAGTTGACTGCGGCGAGGGCGCGTGTCGTGTTCACGGCCAAGAAGAGGAATGCGTCCGCGATTTCCTGTGGAGGCGATCGGTGGGTAGACAGGGGATTTGAAACTCTGGGGCTCTAACAAGCCTTTGCCGCCGGCTGCTTCAAGAGGGAGAGAGAGAGAGAGAGGACGATTCGAACTTGGGACCAATACTTGAACATAGGGGATTCGGAGGAGAACTGTCCCGTCCGCCGTGAAACAAAGCGGAGTCGCAGGCCGCGATTAGGGTCGAAATTCCGGAGAAATTGGGGACACCCCGTTGTGCGAACGGCGCCACATTGGCCTCGATTTTTGTCCTCGATCGAGGTCCGGGCGGGGCGCGCGAGATGGTTAACGGCGCGATGACGAGCGCAGCTCAGGCGCAGTTGGCGAGCGCGCGCCCCGACAAGCTCTGATCTGTGGGCCGCAAATCCTGGCCAACTCTCCTGGCCACTGGGACGGCCCGCGCGGGTGGGCGCGCGAGAACGAGGACGATCCCCGAACCCGCGATCCCGTGTCCCGAGTCCAGGGCGTCGGGCGCCGGTCCGTGCAACACAGCCACGCACCCTCAACGTGCGCGTGCTCCGCAGTCGCTCCTCCGCGTCGTTGTGCAAACGAGTGTGTGCGCGAGCGAAGTATGAACGACGTGCGCAGCGGATAAGTACGACATTCGGAAGAGGCGATGGCCTAGGCATTTGCCAAACGCGACACGCCGCGCACGCGGCTCCCTCCCCCGTTCGTTGCGTCGCGGAGCCCGAGTGCACAGCGCGCGGAAAGAGGCGTGGTTTGCGTGCGCTACGTCAAAGGAAGCGGCGAGCAGCGATGTGACGGAGGTGCAAGCTGACCGCATGTACTGAGATCGTTCAATGCTCGATGAGGCCGAGAGTGCAAGCAAAGCTTTGAGCCAAAAGATGAAATGCGGTATGGTTTCGAGGCGGCCGTGGCCAATGGATGTACCATGTGGCCTCATATGGTGGTCGCACGCGCAACTTGTGGTAGGGTCGGGGAGTTGGACCACTGCCGCGCTGAGCAGTGCTACCGGATCCACGGCGTCGTGCATCTGCCCAAGGGCACCACGCGACCGCGCGCGGGCTCCAACTTTCCTGGAATAGGGCTGATGAAGACACGTGTAGAGGACGAAGCCAGATAAGAGGACAAAGCTTGTCAGAAGTGGGGTGCACAATGAAGACGGAGGGGCGGCGGAAGAAATTATTGTCAGTGAGAACGAGACGATCAATCGAGGGAGCCGCAACGACGTTTCGAATCTCGATGGCTCGGCAACAGAAGATGTTCGCCTCGTGCTTTGCTCCAGCTCGCTCCGCATCCCATATGGAGTCCCTCCGGAGGTCGCGCGAGGCGAGCTCCGTCTCCAGCTCGGCGCTCGCCACAGGAGAGGATGCCGCGCTGATTTCTAGCGCGCGCGAGGCAGCAGGCCTCTCGCAAACACCGCGCGAGTGCGCGCTGGTGGTGGGCGAGCGTCGGAGGAGATGGACCGAGAGCGAGAGCGGAGAGCGGAGGAGGCGCAACGGTCGCTACGGGGGAAAGGGAGATAGGCGACGGCTAGCGGACGGCGCGGGAGATTTGCCGGAGGCGCCGGGCAGGGCTAGGGGCGGCGGGTGAGGTTCGCTTTTCTTTATTACCACCACGTCCGGGTCCCTCGTCCTCAGACTTTGCGACTGCGGGACACTGCCTGGTTCATCTGGTATTGCCGACTCTGCTCCCTCAAGTCCTCCCCCACGTCGCTCATTATCTTCACGTTCTTTCGACATGTCTGTCTTCGCTGCTGCCCCCGCCAACGCCTCCAACGCCTCCTCCCCGACCCACGGCCCGTCTTCTGCCGCCGCCGCGGGCGCGGTTCCACCCATCCCCGACGGCGCGCTCGTCTTCGACATCGATGTCATCCTTCTGTGCGTTGTCGGATTGGTTTTCCTTCTCCTTCTCCCCCGCACAGCCATTCGCTTCACCCACAAGCGCGAATGGGTCGACGGCCACTTTCTCCGCTCCATCCGGGCTGAGGAGCAGCCTGCTTTCACCACCCGTCGCCCGGCCGAGAATCAAGACGTGATCTCTCGCGTCTCTCCCGCCTACTTCGACGAGAAGGCCGGTTCCAGTCAGTCCCAGTCGCCCGACGAGGCGACCTCCTACGACCACGACTACAACCAGTACTACGGCGGCGCCACCTCCGACGCGTCCCACACCTACGTCGGCCAGCCCGACGTCTCCCGCAAGGCCTCTACCGCCTCTGCTCGCGAGAAGCGTCGCCAGAACGTCCCCACACACCTCTCCGGCTGGTCGACGACGCTCCCCACTCTCGCTGGCTGGCTTCGCACCAGCCTTAACCCTGGTTTGACCGTTGGCAAAGCCATCATCCTCCTCGGCTACGCTGCCCTCGTCCTCTTCGCCTCCCTCTATTTCTCCAACCCCATGTCGGACCCCGTCCGCACCGGCTGGGTCGCCGCGAGCCAGATCCCCGTTGTTGTCATCCTTGGCACCAAGAACAACCTCGTTGGGCTCTTGATTGGGTTTGGCTATGAGCGGGTGAGTCCCTTGTTTCCCTGTCTGCACAATGCCGCGCAGCCCCCGCTTGGTTTTCCCCGTTTCATCCGCTCGGTTCGCCGTCGGCGCTTCATACTCCGACCCAACCGCGGTTGACGGATCCCACGGCGCGATATTTTCCCTGATATGTTCGCTCCCAAACAGTTGTCCAGTTGCTAACGTCACCGTTTGACAGTTGAACTACATCCACCGCTTCGCAGGCACCCTTCTCGTCCTTGCCGCCAACGTCCATGCCATCGGATACTGTAAGTCGGTTTGGTTGCTGGGATAGCAAGGCTCAGAGATTGACCGTCAATCACAGTCTACAAATGGAGCATCAGTGGAACCTTGGCTCAGAGCCTGATGATGCCCCAATTCCGATGGGGCATGATCGCGCTCATTTCCTTCAACGTGCTTTTCCAGCTTTCGACGCAGTGGGTCCGCCAGCGGTTCTACAACTCCCTCTTCATTCCGTCCCACATCATCTTCGCCGTCCTTGCGTGCGTCGCCGTCTGCAACCACTACCCGGTCTGCATCCCCTACGTCCTCATCGCCGCGATCGCCTACGGCGTCGACCGCCTCTGGCGCCTCGTCAAGTCTCGCGTCGTGATGGCCCGTCTCCGCCCGCTCTCCGAGCTCGGGATGACTCGCGTCGAGATTCCTGGGATCAACGCCGGCTGGCGCTCTGGCCAGCACGTCCGCCTCCGCGTCCTCAGCCTCGGTATGGGCTGGCGCTCCTGGGCGGAGTCGCACCCCTTCACGATCGCGAGCGTCAGCCGCTCCCCGTCCGGCGAAGGCATGGTCCTCATGGTCAAGAAGGCGGGCGACTGGACCAACCGCCTCTACGAGCTCGGCCAGCGCGCGGACTACGGCGAGGCCAACGGCGTCGGCTGCCAGGTGCAGTGCGTCGTCGAGGGCCCGTACGGCGGTCCCGGACACGCGATCTTCGCCAGCTTCTCCGGCGCTCTCTTCGTCGCCGGGGGCAGCGGTATCACCTTCGCGCTCGCCGCGGTGCGCGACCTGATGAAGAAGGACCTCGAGTACCGCTCCCGCGTGCGCGCGATAGAGCTCGTGTGGACCGTGCAAGACCCCGCCGCACTCACGCCGCTCCTGCCCCTGTTCTCGTCCCTCATCGCCCAGGCCCAGAGCTCGTACGCCACCCTGCGCATCTCCGTCCACTACACGCGCGCCCCGTCCAACCCGGACGCGTTCAAGGCGTTCCGCGCCCTTCCCCCCGGGCTCACCCTCCTCCCCTCCCGGCCCAAGTTCAACAAGGTGCTCACCGGCGTCGTCGACCGCTCCGCCGCGCTCTTCAGCAGCGGCAAGGAGCGCCGCCGCGGCGGGGGCGGGCTCTCGGGCATCATCGTCGGCGTCTGCGGGCCGACGTCGCTCGCGGAGAGCGTCCGGAAGGCCGTGAACGAGTTTGATCCGGACCGGCGCAAGCTCATCGGCGGGCTCGAGCTGCACGAAGAGTGAGTCTTGGCGCGCTCCGCCCTGTTCTGTTGTCCGGATGTTGACGCTGACGGACTGCTGCGCCGCCTGCAGGGCTTTCGGCTGGTAAATTGCCCGCCTCCACGCGAAGCCCCCGCCGGGTTCGGGCCCCCAGAACACGCGCGGGCGGCACCCCGCCTGGCTCCAACTTCCCACCCCGTGTCGCGCCGCCGCCGCGCGGCGGAACGCGACGCGCAAGTATCGCGCCTGCACAAACACCACCTCACCTACCCTCCTGTCTTTTCCTCCCGTTTCTCCTCTGTACAGTCTCTGCTCTCCGCACCGTTCTCGACACGCGCATCTCTCTGGTCAGGATGCTGCTATTGCTATTTGTTCACTCGCTTACCGGGCTCCCCGTCGAACGCGGCGCTCCGCGCGCCGAGCGCGCGCGTTGTACATATGATTGCCGCGAGCCCCCTCCGTCCGCTTTGCGAGTTCGCCGCCGACCGCGCGTGCGCGGTCTGTTCATGTTGTCATTATAGCTTGCTTCGCCGGTTATGCTCCATGCGTCTAGACTCCATATACACACCCGTGCCGCGTCTGTCGCCGGCTCCGTGTATAGTGTATCATTAGGGCCCTTAACCGCCATCACCCCCTACCCACCCCGCCCCTGCGCCGTTGTCGCTCTGTATCATATTAGATAGACCGCACGCCGGAATGGAGCATGTTCATTTACGAGCCCGTGGGACGCCGTGGCGCGAGACTGGTTCCCACATCGGGACGGCCGTAGGCCGGCCGCCGCAGGGTGGCCGAGAGATGTGAATCGTGATGGATGGATGAAAGGGGGCGTGTGGTCGTCACGGTCCCCGCCTCGCTCAGGTCTGGAGGAGGCCTAGGGCCGGGCACGGGGAGCTCGACGATCCCCGGCCGGCGCGCGCGGCGGGGGAGCGGGCGGGGAGGCGGTCGCGGAGGGGGACGAGCTTGTGGAGTTGGCGCTGCTGGAAAAGCCGGAGGTGTCGGCGGAGGTGTCGTCGCCGTCCGAGTCCTGGTCAGAGGCAGACAACAGAGGCGTTGGCCATGGCATCTCCATCTCTGCCCCCCCCCTTCCACGCTGATCGCGCCCCGTCGTCCACAGAATCTCGGCCTCGGCGTGTTCGAGCAGCGCGGGACGCGGGCCGCGTCCCCGGGCTTGCCCGTCGCGGACGTCGACCTCGACGCTGCGGATGCAAAGACGATCAAAGACGTCCAGGGCCGGAGTCGAGGTGCGGGGCAAGGCAGATGAGAGGGAACATGGGAAGGTGGACGGTGGAGGGGGAGGGAGAACCATCTCGATGTACCCGCGCCGGGTACACGACGACCGCCTAAAAGTGAATCCTAGCGTGTAGATAGCCGCGAATAATCATAGTAATCACACGAGTTTGTCCCGCCCGAAGAAGACACAATTGTTTGCCCACCATCGGTGCACGCGTCCGTGAGGTTTCCAGGTGTCCTGGCCAGTCCTGGAAACCCTTGAATTAGGGCGCCAAGGATCTGCTGTGCAGAATCACTGATGGCCACGAGGGGTCACGAAGGGATAGACACAGCGCGCTTGGTCCCCGTGGGCACCGGGAGGCGACAGACGGACGCAAGGGAGAACACCTCCGTCGATGGAGGCGGGAAGCTTGGGCAAACGCACGTGAGGCGAGTGCGGAACGGCGGCTCGCCGGCGCGGCTACCTCCATGATGACTAAGCGCAGGCACTAACGACTGGCGAGCTTGCTACCTACATATTGATATGTGCGCGGGCATTGTCCAACAATGTTTTAATACATCACTTGACGTCGTGCGTGTGTGTCCAAACAGACGTACTGACTAGTAGCTCGGAGTTCACACAACATCTGGGATTAAGTACGCTGGCCACGGCACGACCCGGGCCGGAATGGTAAGCGCCTGTACCCGCGCCACAATGCTGGCACTTGGTTGACTTTTGGTCTGTAGGTCCCAGGCTCCGGACCACCACCCGGACGCACGCTGCCATTTCTCGCGTGCTCTATCATACGTTGACTCGACCATCGACGCCCAATCATCGGTGATTGACGAGATTGCTCGGCCTGAAGTCGTGAGTGCGAGGCTCTCTCTTTCCCCCCACCTTCGCCCCGCCCTCGCGTCACTCGTGCTCATGAGCTCCTCCCACTCAGAGACCCATCCGACGCTTCGACGATCTCAATCGGACATCTGCCTTACCTCCGTAGTTAACGCCAGTCGCAGAAACAGCGGCGTCGGCGCCACCGAACAAGGGGCATCTGGCAAGCTCTCATCGGCGTATGCTCAAGGCACCAACAGCGTCTTTGACACCCGCCCGCCTCGCGAGAAACGGCGGTCGGAGATGCTCGACCGTAGGCAGGACTGCACCAAGACGGTGGCTATCGAACAGTTCTACGACCTCAAACCCGCGCTGCTTGTTCATAGAAAGACACGTGAACAAGGATTGGACAGCATCGTCCCCAAGTTCTGGGCTCGGCTCAACGCAGTCAAATGGAACGGTGGCACGTGCAGCGAGAACGAGCTCACTAAAGCATGGGTACGTCGCCTGGCCTGTTTTCCGGTCTACCTGGTGGCTCATCCAGGCTCTGTCTCAAGAGGGAGCTCGACGAGGAGCATAAACTCTGCCCTAATCACACGTTCCGCCTCTCTGAGAACAAGCCTGACAAGGGCGAAATGACGAGGGCAAAAATCGACGGCGGCTTCTTTCACGACGAAGATGCGCCGTTCATCGTCTCTGATGTCCCCAATTGGCGCTTTTCGCGCTTCCTCGTCGAGTTCAAGCACGGAGGGAATGCACTCGACCCCTTCCATCAAGGGCCAAGAACAAGAGACGATGCAGACGCGCGCACCCAAGTTCGTGGCCAGCTTTACGCATACGCGGACTGTCTTCTCAACGCCCAGCATCGCACCCATGTTTTCATGCTCTTCGTCAATGGACCCGAGTTCCGCCTCTTGCACTGGGACAAGTCCGGCCTCATGGTCAGCCACGCGTATTCGTACGTCAAGACTGAGGACGACACCAGACGCCTTCTCTCCCTCCTTGCCGACCTGTCGGCACTGGAGCCCCAAGCTGCCGGCCTTGACCCCAGCGCGCACCGCCTCTCCCTGGGATCATGCGGATGGAAGTGCATGGACTGGGTCGCCGAAGATCGGGAAACCGATATTGACGAGCTTTGCGTCACCGAGGTCTACAACACCTCCGAGATCCCTGCAGACTTCACCGAGGCGGTCGGCGACTGTCCGCACTTCACCAAGGGCGGAGCATACTCGGACCCAGAAGCGGACATGGTTGGCGAGGCGAAGGACGTGTGGTCGGCCCCACGGCGCACCTTCAAGTACATCCGCACGTTGTTCAAACAGTCCCTCACGGAAAACGCGCCGCGGTATGCGCTCGTCATCGCCGGCAAGTTCTATCTCGTGTGCGACCCCATGGCTCGCACGCACGGACCGTTCGGACGGGGCACACGCGGGTGGCCTGCGCTCGAGTGGCACACACAGCGCCTGGTCTTCGTCAAGGACGCGTGGCAGCCCCACTACGACGGCGTCGAGCCTGAACATGTCACCCTCAAGAAGCTCAACGAGGTCAAGGTCGAGGGCGTTCCCACGCTGATCGCCGCGGAGGCGTACGCTGGGCAAGTCACGTACTTGTCTTCGGTCGCGGGCGTCACTTCTCCTGGACGGAATACCCCCCTCAGCGGTGGCAAATCCGCGATCGCAGTTGACCGGGATACCCCTCACGAGTTCACCCCTCCTTCTTCCCAATTCGACCCCCAAAACCCCGTCGATCCCACGTCTGGTTCAGGGTCCGGTGCCGCCACCGGCCCTGCAGATGGCGCACCAGTGTCCCAGGGCCTCGCGGGAGTACGGCACCTCCGACACGTCCGCATGGTGGTTGCTGAGATATGCCTTCCGTTGAGGAAGTTCCCTCGTGGACTCGATCTCATTTTGATCATCCTCGACGCCATCACCGGTGAGTTCTCATAGCTCGACGTGGCGATGAAGCTCATGATGTCGCAGCGCATCAGCAAGCGTTGAACTCGGAGCACCAGCTGCTCCACCGGGACGTCAGCGTTGGAAACATCCTCATCCTGCCACGCTTCGAGGTTACCGGTGACGGGACGTCGCAGATTGTGTGGCGTGGGATCCTGGCGGACTGGGAGATGGCGAAGAGCGTGCTTGTGACCATCGCTACGCAGCCGATGCGGACGGTGAGCACAAACCCCCTCGGCCTGCATCATGCCATTGTGGCTGACGTTACACAGGGGACGTGGGCGTTCATGTCCATCCTGTGCCAGATGGACAAGACCAAGGCCATCGACGTGGACGACGAACTCGAGTCGTTCTTGCACGTCTTGATCTTCATGGCCGTTGTGTACATGGCCAGCGACTGGGAGCCCGACCTCGTCAACCAGTTTGTACCGAGCTACTTCTATCTCGGCCAACCAACCAAGAGTGGCAGCCAGACGTGCAGCGCCGTGCGCCTATTGTGCATCCGACAAGGTACTGTTACGAGTGGTCACGACCCGCTCAAGCTCTACCAAGTCGATCACGCCGGAAAGGAAGGCCCCGTGCACCCTCTGAACGACGTCCTCTCCAAGCTCCTCGGACTGTTCCGCGCCCGCTTGCTCGTCCACGAGCATAGTTTGCGCGCCCTGGAACCATCCCCGCCGAACACCGAGGCCGACGCCGAGTCGAAGACAGCCACTCTACCCAGCGTCCTGGCACGCCTCGGCCGTAGGCCCAAGACCCGACTCCCACATGACATTCTCCCATCAGCATCGCGAGCGCCATCGGCACGGGACATCGAGACCCTGAAGGGGGAGGCGGAATTGCTCAAGAGCCACGACATGTTCATCTCGATCCTGGAGACGGCCGTAAGCCAGCACACCTGGCCCGAGCGAGACAGGTACAGCGACGTTGGCGTTTCATTGCAGTAGCCAGCTGCAGAGGAGGACCAGCAGGCGCAGGATGGGGCGAAGGTTTCATAGGGAGAACCAGTGGTCGGTACACGGCGTACTACTCGGTCGACTAGTGGGATGTAGGATACCAGCTAGATATGCCGCTCGAGCACTCTGTGTCCGTGACTCATTATGTAGGCCTCAGTTGGATCGATTTGAGCAGACACAGGACGCGCACGTAGGACGCACAGTTGGACTTTTCAGTTCCGAAGGCGTTCATGACTGCGACGCGGCGGCAGGAGAAGTGGTGCGGAAACGGACTCCTGGACCGAACTTTGGGCGAAAACTTGCCATCCCGCCCTGAGCATCCGAATGCGATTACAATCTGATTTGGCCGAGAATGAGTGCGGCCAAGGGCGAAGGCTTGAACCGGTGCATTATGGCGAGCGTGTGGCAAGAGCGTTTCAGGACCATAGAAGCCGGTTCTTTGAGCACGTCGAAAACGTACGGTTCTCCGAGACCGTCACCGTCGATGCATGAATGGAGAGTAAATACAATGAAGAGTCAGACACCAGACGCAAGCCCAACAAAAAGAATCACTGCGCAAGTACACCAACGTCCAGCGCAGGGAACTGTCCCATCGTAACATATCCAGCACGAACCACGACGCCAACTTACTGAAAGACCCAGTCGTCCGGCCCTGGAGTTGAGATCCTCACGAGGGCGGTGCTATCCAGCGCGTCTACCCTTAAGCCATCACAAGCCTCGCAGAGGACCACTGGGAAGGAGAGACACATGCGCTTCAGCATCAGCAAAAGTTCAGTTTGCTTGCGCGCACTTGGCGGGCTTGAAAGCCCGGGCCGGCAGGGGCGAGCTTCGGCCGAACCGCGCGCCCGCGCAATGCAGCCAAGTGCGCGCAATCCGAGTGGCGTCGTGGGTAGGCTTGTGGTCCCTTGCGGGCGATTGGGGGGCTCTCAAGTGTAGCCAGTGGATTGGTTTTATTGTGGAGTCTCCGAAACTTGTCGGAGAATAGACGTCTATTGTACGCGTGAAGCTTGCGTGAAGCATGGTCGTTCAGTCTGACGCGTCTAAGTGCTTGACTTCAAATGATCTCCACCACGATCTTCACCCCCCCGCCCTCTCTATGCTTTTACCACCACCCTTCCGCCTTGCTGCCCTTCGTTCGTGAGCTGTGGCATGCAATACTCACGGCAACCCCGTTGAAGGTGAGAATATCAATACCTACGTCTTGCGCCGCACTTCTGTGCCCGCTTCTGGGTGCGTTGTCTGGAATCAGCAGAGCGTGCGGCCAACAGCGTCCCCTCCGGGGCAGCTCAAACGGCGCTCCTCCGATTCTGGACGACGTGACTTGAAGTGTTGACTCCGGTATGTATGTGTAGAGGGTCCATGTGTACGTGTGTCGCTATCATTGTTGCTGTCGACATCTTCATTGTCGTGATGTTCGTCGTTGTCATCCTTTTTCGTCCATACCCGTAGGCTACGGCCTTGTCAGTTTCACTTTGAGCGTCGTCACCCTCACGCTGAGCTTCATTGGCAGATGGGCCTGCGAGAGCCTCGTCTTCTGCCACTCTGCTCACTCTGACCCCCTCTTGACCCAAGTACAAATATCCGCCCAGTCCGCCCGGGAGATATGGCTGTTTCCTCCCTCTCTCACCTCAGCTTGTGCCGCGCCGCCCTCCCATGCATTCCAGTGACCGAGGTCTCACTGGACACTTCGGGACACGCTCTGCGCGGAGCGTGCAACTGCCCAGGTATGATTTCTTTGGTTTGTTATCTGTATTGCCTTGCTCAATCGCCATCTTCGTTCAGCACTTCTATGAACGCCAGTTATCCAGACACACCGCAGCACTCAGACGACCATCTACAGCCCACCCCAACTCGGCGTCCGAGACCCCCTCCTATCAATCACCCCCAGCCTCAGACCTATCAGCGCGACCAACGCATCGAGTCCGCGCGCTCGCAACCTCGTGACATGGACGGTTATTACGACCCAGGGCCGAGTTGGTATGGGCAGGCCGCCCGGGGCGCACGGCAGTTGGACAGTGATATGAGGCGAGTTTCTGCTTCCAACACTCCCCGAAATCGTTCCGCAAGTCCCCCTCCCCATCACACTCCTGCTCTTGAACGACAGACTGCGGATCGGCGTGACCAAAGCCATCCTCCCTCGTTAGGGAGGGCGTCGCAGCCTTCACAAGAGCTGTTTCCTGAAGAACTTGAAGAGATCGACAATGATCCTCAGGCAAATGAAGACACTCCAGGTGAAGACACCCCCATTCACTTCTCCGCACTTTCAAGGACCGATTTCGACGCCATGGTCGCGGAGATCAAAACCGGGAAGGGTCGCAAGTGGTCTATCACGTACGTCGGTGAACCGTTGGCCAGTATGTGACAACTAACTCGTCTACAGCTCCAAGGGGACACCAGCAGCCAACGTCAAGATCCTCTCTCGCTGGCTCCCGTGTCTCTTTGGACCGTATGCTCCGTATGTACTGATCATTACCACAGGCATAGAGATATGGCAGCATGAGCCGATGTCAGAGGCTGATCGTGCGTCACACATGCGCAGTCTGACGAACATGTGAGTTAATCCCTGACATAATATACACCGACTCATACTAGTAAGCACAGGAAATTAGAGACTGCGAAGTGGCTCTACAATGCGTTCGAGTATCTCCTCAAGGAGTTGCCGTTCATCCGGCTTGTTTCGGAGCACCTCAAGTTCAACGCTGGCGCACTATTCCTGATTGCTGGATGTGTACGTTTTTTTCTTAATCGTCGTGGCATACAATCACTTACAATTTTTAGATGGATCATCACGCCCGCGCTGGCCGATCGAGTCACCTCAATGCCATCCGAGCCGACCTCGACCGATGCCTCCCCAAAATCACCCTTCCAAGCGGCGAGATCCTCGCCCCTCTCGCTGCGAACGAGCTGCTCGCTCAACGGAACTTTGGATTCAACACGCTTTGCATGGGACGTCTCAACGTTCCAATCGAGGACCGCGCAGAGTTTGATGAGAACCCAAAAGCGTGAGTCTCATCAGCCCTGACTCGACAGACTCCGGATACCCTCTCACGAAGGTCTCATTACAGGTACTGCGACGAAATGACTGCTCCCGGCGCTCGTCGTCACCCGTTTGGTAACAATGTGTACTCGCATCAGTAATTTCCCAAAGTCCTGTGGGGTCCTGTGGGACCTGACCAGGGTTCCCAGGAATCCAGGGATTTCGCTCCGGGCGTCCGGGCGTCCAGGCCGTCTCCGGGTGTTCAGGGCGCCAGGCCGGCCAGTTCACTCAGGGCTCAGGGAACCCTCGACGCACAGTGAACGCATCCGTATAGTACAAAACCAATGTATTTGCTAGAATGATCGGTAAAGCCGGAAAGAACATGGTATTGTCAATCGTTCGTTTGTGCCATTGTCTCGCCGTCCTCGACTCCTCGGGCCCGCACAACGCGGAGAACTCGCCGCCATACTGCGCTTCATGCAGAACGGGATCGGCGCCCTTCCCTCCGCGCACCACTGCTAGCTTGCCTAGCGCGGCGCGAAAATCCTCCACCTGCACGTGAACGCGCTGGCCGTCACGCGATCTCCGCCCGGAGCTCCCTCAGCCTTGCGTTGACGAACTCGCTCGTCGACCCCCACCGCCACTCAACCTCCTCCTCGCACGCGAACTCCGCTGCGATAGCGCAGTGTCGAGCCTGGTCGAACCGGTCGGCACGTGGAGTGCGCGAGGACGCGAAGCGTTGGGACCGCATGCACGAAACGGAGGGGGAGCAGACGGGGCGCCTCGACGCGGTGGACCTACGGTGCAGTTGTCATTGGCCGTGCCCATGCTCTCCACGTGGTTGACCAGGCGGCCGGGCGCGAATTGCAGAGCCAGGTGGACGAGCGAGGTGGAGAGGAGCATAGCGAGCAACGGGTCCTGCGTCGGGGCGGGATATCAGCACATGACACCAGCGAGAAGGATGTCAGACGGACCGTGTACGTGCACACATTGAACTCTGGGCCCTCTACCGGACTGCACGTCCCTTGCGATCCGCGTCGCGAGACCGAACTGGGGGTCAGCATCGGCGGCGGCGGCATGTGCATGCATTTGCAGCTGCAGCTGGCTGCAGGAGGACGGTGAGCACTTTCCTCACCTGTGCGCAATCGCACCAAGTGATGCAAACACCGGGGGCCCGTGCGCGAGTGTTCGCAGCCGCGCGGGCGGGAGTGGCTCAGGAGAGACGCATGTCCCGGGGCCTGGGTTATGCACGTGCGCACCGCGTACGGCACCTGGGGAGCCATGTTGATTGGCATATATGCGCATGAAATGAACATATAATGGACTCCCCTTCAATATTATTGTCTTGATGGTGTTGATACACTCTTACAACAGCGGCAGGGATGGGTTGAGGGGTATCGACAACGTACATGTGCCTTTATCCGTTCAGACGCCTCCAGAACCAGCTCGGCTTGCTGCGGCAGTTATCAATATGGTGTGGAAGTTGAATGCGAAGCTTGAGCCCACCTTGACTTGGTGCGCACCGTCTGGGAATGGCGAGTAGTCTTGTGAAGGCTAAACAGACTTGGTGTTGGGGGAAATGCCGTGTCTTGTAGTGAGCGTAGCGAGAGAGAAATGCGGAAGACGAGGAGGGGAATGGGGAGATGGAAGAAGAGAGGAGACACGCGTTGCCGTTTGACGCCCGCGTCGTCCGCCTCTCGAAGTCCCACCGCCGCGTCTCGCAGGCTCTTTGTCGTCCCCCATATCCTCTCCAAACCTCCGACACATGCAGTACCTTCGATGGTCTCCTTCCTTACCGCCTGCCACGGTAAATCCGTGTAACAGGTACAGTATTTCCCGCCTTCTGCTTCTGGTGGATAATGCTGGTGATATCCGGTGAGTTTCGATGTGTCCATTTCACTTAGGTACTACCTTGTGTGCTCACCCAGTATTCCCGCACATCGCAACATGGCTATTTTTGCACCCCCCCCACGCGCAGCCCACGACTGTGCAAGGAAAACGGACGAGTTTCCTTGTGAAGACAAAGGTCATCATGCGCAAGTAGTGGATGACCTCGGCTGTAAGACCTCAACAGGGACATCGGTGGCGTCCTCCCGCAGATCAGTGAGTACAGTCACACCGTGCTCAAGCATTGACACCACCTGACCCTTTCCCACCTCCGTACTAGTAGTTCATGCCCGTGTCGAAGTGCAGCGTGGGCATGATGAGGTCGATGTGGCCCACAATATACATAAGCACCGAGTATGCGCCATGGCACGCGAGGTGCATCCGGACCCCCTTCCCCCTCTGTAGCCGTCGGTAACGGCGGTACGACCCCCTCATGTTGCCGTCGGTAACGGTGATACGAGCTCGTACGAGCTCCGGTCATGTAGACCGTCGGTAACGGTCGTACGAGCTCCGATCATGTACCCCGTCCGAGACGGTCGTACGAGCTCCCCAAAGGCGGCACGCAACGGAATTGCGGTAATGCATGTAGTACGTAGCCACAGACGTTCTGAGCACATACCGACTTGTTTTACGGCCGTACGTGCGGTGGTTACCCCGCGGCGATGCAAACACTGCCGGAGCTCGTACGAGCACGTACCCCGTCCGAGACGGTCGTACGAGCTCCCTCAGCTGGCACGCACCGGAATTGCGGTAATGCATGTAGTACGTAGCCACAGACGTTCTGAGCACATACCGACTTGTTTTACGGCCGTACGTGCGGTGGTTACCCCGCGGCGATGCAAACACTGCCGGAGCTCGTACGAGCACGTACCCCGTCCGAGACGGTCGTACGAGCTCCCTCAGCTGGCACGCACCGGAATTGCGGTAATGCATGTAGTACGTAGCCACAGACGTTCTGAGCACATACCGACTTGTTTTACGGCCGTACGTGCGGTGGTTACCCCGCGGCGATGCAAACGCTGCCGGAGCTCGTACGAGCATGTACCCCGTCCGAGACGGTCGTACGAGCTCCCCAAAGGCGGCACACATCGGCATTGCGGTTATCCAAGGCAATCTCAGCAGTGGCCTCGGTATTGCAAATGCATGGACAGGTGATGTTTCCCTAAGGGCTTCCGTGGTGGTGGTAATAAAACGCGACCTATCAGTAGCCGTATTCAAGTGACGAGTAAAGAACAAGTACAGCTCTACAACCAGGAAATCCTGGTTATTACCCGAGGTTGTACGAGTGTGTCCCCCGCCGAAGACGGCTGTACGAGCCCTGTCAGCCGGAAAACATCGGAATTACGGTGGTGTATGAAGTACATTGCCGCATATTTCGGTTGGTCCGTTGGGCTACGGAAAGTACTGCTGCCTGCTTGATCCCCTTTCATTATCCTGTATTTTGAGGCTAACCCGTAGCGATAAGACTAGTGTACGCCATGCTCCTGTGTCTTCTTCAAGTGCGGCTCCTTTCCGGGTCTTCCACAGGTTCAAGTGCGCACATGGTTTTGAGTAATCATTGATACCGATAATGTGTTCGGTATTGCTCGTCATACGATTGAAACATACCGTCAGACGTCAGGTTCTGTGTTCACATAGCTAGTCCATTACAAAATACGAAAGCATATTCGAAACATTGCAGTACTCCACAAACCAAGAAAAAGCCAAGTGTCATTTAACCTCCGTATCATGAGTCCGCGCTATGTTCACGCTCGGAAACGTGCTTCAACAAGCGTTTGAAGGCGGGAGGAGCAACTGAATGCCCAGGCTCCTCGATATTCATCCTCTCATCGGTGGGACCCATGGTAGGATTCGCCAGCTGGCGCGTGAAAGCCGGGGGTGAGGACGAGGAGGTTGAAGGGACGGCCAGCCTACGTGCGAACACCGGTGGCATGGGTTCCACAGCACTGGACAGTGTGCGAGTGAACACCGGTGGTGCAGAGGTCGGTGTTGGAGGGCGGGCCAGTTGCCGGATGAATGCCGGTGGCGAAGCGTCGGCAGGTGCAAGCGTTCGCATGAATACCGGCTGTGACGACGTCGGTTTGGACTCGACGGCGAGCCCTCGTGTGAAAGCCGGTGGTGGGCCTGGGACGGTCAAGGATGCCGACGGCGACTCGAGTGTGCGGGTGAATACCGGCTGCGAAGAGGATGTCGTCGACGGAATGGCAAGCCTTCGGCTGAATACCGGAGGAGACGGTTCGGCAGTCACGGGCATGGTGAGCTTCCGAGTGAATTCCGACAGTGGAGAGTCGGGCCTGGAGGAGCGCGCCAGCAGTCGCGTAACTGTGGACAGGGGGGAGGACGACGAGACACCACCCATCAGGCTCTGCCCTCCGGGGGGGGTAAATGGCTTTGATGGGGCGGTCGAGGAAGACGACGGTGGTTCGAGTGTCCGCGTGAACGGTGGTTCGAGTGTCCGCGTGAACGGTGGTTCGAGTGTCCGCGTGAACACCGGCGGCGATGTGGAAAGGACTGTCAAGGGAGGCACCAGTGTCCGGGAGAAGACTGCCGGTGGAGAGGGGCCAGTCAAGACGGCAGGGCGGATTGGGGGGAGTACCGGTGATACCGAGTGGCGATCAGTCTGGTCGGAAGTGGCCGGTACTAGGGTACGCGTAAAGACTGGGAGTGACGGAGGAGGCGCCATATCGGTCGCCAGTGTACGGGAGAAGATTGGCGGTGGGGAGGGGGATCCTGGGCCGGCGGAGCCTACCGAGTGCGATACCGGTGATGCCGAGCGGAGATCTTCCCCGTCGGAAGTGGCCGGTAACGACCCACTCCGTACTGTGTCCTGCGACTCCCACAGACTCAGCTTCTCATCTTCCAAGATGACCGGATTCTGAAAATGATATCATGTTTAGAGATGTAGGAGTGACTTTCATCTAGACTCACATGAGGGTGGTGGTCCAAGATGGCAAAGAGGACTTCTATGCGATGTCTTCGTGCTGTTTCGCTCGAGAAAACCGTCAACCCTTCCAAAAGGTTCTTCAGAAATCCTACAGCGATAGCAAGCCCAGACAAGACGGAGGCTTCTTGATCTTCATCCCCACGCTGATATTTGCGCACTATCCAGTCGGTGCGAGTCTGGCGCACCGACACTTCCACCGTGTGAGCGATCTGGATCGCAGTGCGCATGGCGATCTCGAGTAAGCCATCGTGGTCGTGTTGGGGGATGCAATAACCGATTCTGATGTCATCACCTGCCATGTTGATGAGTACGAACACCCACTCGCCGCCAATATACCACGGGAGGCAGATGATGCTGTCAGTAGCGAAGTCACCTCGAGCGGTGAGTTTGCCGAAGAGGTCGACCAAGTCTACCGGTGACAGTTGCGTCACGATAGGGGAATAGACGTGGAGGGGGCGGGTGAGGCGGTCGGTATGACGCATCACAATAGCGACGACTGCGTCGATCAACTCGTCGTTGAGGTCACAGTCGTCCGTGGTCAGATGCAAGAAGAGGTCACACCATGGGTGCAGCAACGCTGGCAGGTCGAGCATTCGGGCAGTCTGTACTTTGACGACCGCTCTGTCAACTTCTTCTTGTCGTCCAACTTCGCTGAGCCACTCCAGTCCACGCTCGACATTGGACTGAACCGTATGGACGTTGCGCAGACGTCGCCACAAGTCCAAGAGCCAGAATGGTAGCGGGGTGCCGCGATCGCCGGGATGGATTACCGAACGGAAGGTGCTCGGTAATGCCAGAACGGCATCATCCTTCGGTATGTGGACGGCAGTGTCGGCAGAGTAGTGGTCCACGCAGAAGACCCAAGGCGGCAGGTCTTCCGCGGCGACCGGTGGGGTGCTTGAATACGAGAGCAGGCTCCCGGCAGCCCACGGCCGTGGGGCCACCCCAGAGCAAAACTGCCGGCTGAGAAGCTGGCGGACAGTTGTCGCGTCTGAGGGGATTAACTGTTGGGTCAACTTCTTTGGCGCTTTCTTTGTCTCCCAGTTTGCAAAGGACACGTCGAGGATGTCCTCGTACTGGGTGTTGATTTCAGCATCTGCAACCGAGGTCAGCCGTGTGTGCAGACGTGGCATTGCCGGCACCTACCGCCGACCGGTGATGGAACTAGACAGGACAGGGAATAAGATTTTGGTTGTGGGACTATACAAATGCACATTACCTAGGACTCGAAGGTTGTACTTCATTGTTTTTCTTGCAGTGGCGTGGATTGAGATAGAGGGGGAGGGTGAAATCGTGCGAGAGGGGTGAGGAGGAGGGATGAATTACGTTTGGTTCGACTGTCGGCAGTGACCGACCTCCGCGTGTGATCCCGATACAGATCGGAGCAGTTTTACGTCAACGATGGCATGTTGAAAGACGTGGCGCCTGCTGTGTTCAAACTCTCCCACTTCCAACCACCGAGTTGACCATCTGCACACGCGCCTCTACCTTCTTATCACCGCATCCCACTCTCTGCCTTGCTACCGAACATCTCCCGACATGTCCACCCACCCATCCGAGAGCGACATGCTGACTGTGCGCCATGCCGTCACCGAAATCCACTACGCGCTCTCTCGCCGTCTGTGTCAGACCAAGCTCGGGCACGAGAATATGAAGAACTGGTACAATATGTTCTTCGCTGCGCTCGACAAGGCCTACGACTTCCAGGCGCAGTTCAAGTTAAACACCTGGCCGCGCTACACCCTCGGCGCCTTCTACGAGTACGAAAAATCCCGGCACGTCGCTGGATACACCGGGTCTCCATTCGAGATCGTACCCATTGCCGACACCGCGGCTGCTCAGAAGGCTGGGTACAATTTCGACTTGCACATAGTCGGTAATGACCACGGCCAGATTGGACTCTTGCCGGAGCAGGACGTCGACCTTAGTTGGTGTGACATCGGTAAGCATCCGGCTTTCTTTCCTCCCATCCATATTTTCTAATCTCAGGTTTGAGTAGAAGCCACAGTGACAGACTCACAGTCGATGGGGGATGGTGCGCTTTATGTCTGTTCAGTATCGGTAGTACCACTAATGATTTATCCCAGGAGCTAACAAGTCGAGCACCACGAAGTCCGGAGCTGCGAAGAGCACCGAGGGTACAAAGAGTGCCGGGGTTCCGAAGGTTGCCGATGCTACCGAGAACACCGGTAGTTCAAAGACTACCGGTACTACGAAGAGTACCGCTTCTCCGACGGCTTCCGGTGCTACGACGACGGACGTGAGTTCCAAGACCGCAAAACCTGCGAAGGGGGCGCGCAAGAGGTTTAACCCGAGGATGTCACGGGCCATCAAAAGTAAGTCCCGGAAAAGATCATTCAGAATAGATCTAATTGTATTCTTAGAGCCTGCTGAACCGGCAAAGCCTGCGTAAGTACCGTACTGTGCCGGCATGACGTTGCGAATTACGCTAACACCGCCCCCAGCCGTCATCAGCCGACCAAAGACAAGAAAGGCAAGGGTCGGGCGACGACGGTAGAGGTGACTACCGATGACGATGTCAGCAACGAAGAAGAAGAAGACGACGAGAGCGAGGAGGAAACCCCTCTCCAAGGTATGTGTGCCGTCGGTAATCACAGCCAAACATATTTACTCACTATCACTCAGATGTACGAAAGACACGTTCGATCACCAAGAAGGCAGTGTCTTTTGCGACCCCCACGACGCCACCGCTGTCCAAGACGAGGTGGGCGACATCAGCGGCACCGGAGCCACCAAAGAGGACCACCGCTACGCCGAAGAAGAGGGCGAGGAGCCAGAGTCGTGATGTGACGAGGACTGCCGGGACGAATTCCGGTGATGAAGACAACGCTCCGTCCGGCGGTGGTAGCGGCAAGACCACCACCAAGAAGCCAGTGAAGCGAGTCCTCCGACCCGCTCATCCCGACCATGTCGCGCCGGAGAAGAACTTCGACCCGTTGCCCAACCACAAAGGCCGGATCCCGGTCTATGTGATTCGAAAGGACGGAGTGAGTCGCCAATGTGTTTCTCTCATAGCCGATTGTACTTACCGTTTGAATGGCAGCCAATGGCACACTTCCGGTGTGGACATTGCAAGGCTGCCGGCACCGACTGCCGGATCCTCATCTTCGACGGGTCGTACTGCAAGTCTTGCCGCACGAAGAAGATGGCCTGCGACCTCTCGCCTATTGGGCACGGTAGGCTCGGCGCCGCGGCATACCGCTCATACCGGGCCTTCGTTCAGTTGGCGAACCCGGCGCGGTATCCAGACCCGGTATTGGTTTCTCGTTTACTCTTGGCTCTCCAGGACTCGGGACTCGCGGACTGGTTCTTTGACTGGTACTGGGACTTCTACGAACTCGATCTGGCGACACGGCAGAAGATGATCAACGACCCCAAGTACCACATCGACTTGCATGTGGCGGAATGGAGGACGCCCATTCGGAGGATCGCCGGTGATGTAGAGGTGATGCCGGTACGCAGCAATCTCAGTGGTTCTTCACGAGGGTCCTTATCATTTTGTCATTTTGCAGAACTCTGAGGACTACCCGAAACCCAGGAGGGGAAGGAAGTCTAACACCGACAAGGATACCGGTGAGTACCGGTCCATGTTGTCCTGTTCGGCAGTCAGCAGTCGGCAGTCGGTGATCTTCCGTCGGCATTCGGTGCTTATACCCAGATATTCCAGTGCCACGGCAAAAAAGCAACGAGATCGACGAAGACGATGCTAGCGACGGCGAGCACGATGACGAAAAAATGACCGAGGCTGAAGGAGGTGAGTAACTCCGCTTCCTCTATTACACGCTTGGCCGGATCTATCACTGGTGTGTCGGTGTTCATGTCTTCGGCATAGGATACCACAGCTCTTCCGAACGTGCTGCTAAGAAGAGGCGCGTTACCGGAAGGTCGAAGTCCGTCTCATCGACGCAGTCTCATGTACGCCCTCCGTCACCGGCATTGGATCCGCGCAACCAGCCACCTCCACCGCCTGGTATGTTATGCTTCCCCTAACCTGGCGTCGGCTTATACGGCGCCAGGTTACAACTTTAGAAACGTTCCATTGACAACTCGCGTTCCAGTGGACCCCTTGCGCGACTTCCAGCCAGAATCACTGGTGGCCGCTCCCACCATGGAAGCCACTATCCGCGCGATGCAAGCGCAGATCCACGAGATGGCGCACGAAATCGCGGCTCTGAAGGCTGCTATGTATCCTAGTAAGCACCATTAGTTTGAATTACCGGCATGCTAACAGAGCGGATGTGCAGATAATACCAGTAATATGTTCGCCGGCAGTCAGTTTATATGGCCGGCAGTCCCCACCGGTACGTTCGGTAATGATCACTCCCTGCGTATCATCGGCTGATAACGCTTTCACTAGTGAACCCCTTCGCCCAGTATCCGGCTGGATTCACTGCACATGGCGGAGATGAGTACACACAGAACGGTGGCTACTTTAACCCTCAAGCCCACACCTCTGGTATTCCCGGTCCCGGTCAGCAGGGTGTGCCCGACCCTTATGAACGCATCGCCAATCTCAGCCAGTTCGGCACTCATAAGGATTTGCAGTCAGCGTCGCCTTCTGGTGCGTAGTTTGTTTTTTTTGCGCCACTTTCGTGCTCAACGTCTTATAGGCTCCGTGCCAATAGACTGGTCGGACAGCAGCCTCGGAGTCGGTACAGGCAGTACCGACGGTACTGCCGGCAGTGCCGGGGGAATCGGGAGTTCGGTTTTTGTCACCTCCTCCGACGCTCACACCGGTATTGGCCTTGCTGGTCCTGCTGCCGGCACATCTCCGACTGTGACCATCACCTCTCATGGTGCTGACTCCGGCCCTTCCCCTGCTGGTCCAGAGCCTCTCGCTGCCGATATTCGTGGGGCGGGCACGTCGCCTGTTCCTCGTCCACACGGGCACGAAAATAAGACCGACGGCAATGCACATGTGGATGTATCCTCCACGCCCCACGACACCCATCTTGGCAAGCCTGCCAAAGCCAGCGTTGACATGGTACCCATCGTGACGCGCACCGATGCTCCCTCCGGTGCTGCTGACGGACCCGCCACCAGAGATCACAGGGATGCGGATGCTGAGACCGATAGGGAAAGCGATCGCGATGCGGATGGGCAAGAGGAACCTGATGAGGGGTCAGGCGCGGGTCATAACACCGGCAGGACTCCGGTGAAGGAGTTGGCGAAGTTGCCCGAGGATGCTGATGGGGCGCAGGACATGGACATCTCTGCATGAGTGGCTGTTCTTTCGTTATACTATACCTACTGCGTTCCCTCCTCATAATATGTATTCCACTTGAACTGTTCATACAAACATTCTGTGCAGTGTGAGAGACATGCCGCCGCGAATAAGCACGATGTGGTGTGTTTATTGCTGTGCCGGCCTATCGTTCCATGCGTTTTCACCTTCCGAGCGTGAGTGCCGAGTTCTAGGACTCATTACCGAACGGCCATATTCTTCGTTCGGCACTCCGGGAGCACTGTCGGTAACACTCCCGACCTATATCGGCAGCCATTCGGAGACAGCGATCAATTTCCGAGCATGAATGCCGAGTTCTAGGACTCATTACCGAACGGCCATATTCTTCGTTCGGTATTCCGGGAGCACTATCGGTAACACTCCCGATCTATGTCGGCAGTCATTCGGAGACAGCGATCAATTTCCGAGCGTGAGTGCCGAGTTTCTGGACCCATTACCGAACGCCGTGTTCCCTGCTCGGTAATCTCGGAGCACCCCAGTAACAGTCCCTACCACTGTCGGTAGTAAATCCTAGACGGTGACTCAGAGTGCCGCAGCGACTTTGGCAAAGACCAATCACTTCTGCGGTCTTTGCTAAACGTTGTAAAGTGTGCCTGTGCCGACTAGCCGTATTTTTGAAGACACTTTATCCCAAACGAAGTAGTCCGTGGGCACCTCTACTTGCACGGGCGCTTTTCTATCCAGCCTGCTGAGCACGCATGTAGTGCATAGCAGGGGTAGCCACTACCCTTGGGGGTAGGGGGTAAGGGTGCGCAAGGGTAGGGGTCGGGGTAGGTACCAGTTGACCCCCCAATACCCTTGATACCCTCGGTGGTCCCAGAGCTGCTGTACGTAGCAGCCTGGCCTTGCAGGCTCAGCAGGCATGTGCACTGAAGAACGGAGAGCCGTCATCGTGAATAGGAGCCTTTGTATTACATAAGACATTCACCAAAATTCAGGGGGCTGTCCGAGCGAGGGCCATCCCGCAGATTCTCCCTCCCCTGTTCCCTCATACACACAGATTCTGAGCTACACCTCACCACACTCCACCACTCATGGCTGGAGGATCTTCCCTTAGAAAGGGTGCCCAAGCTCTAAAGCGCCAGGCATCAGCACTATCGGAGAAGGTTCGGAAGAAGAAGCGTATCACAGGTTCCAACTCAGACGGTAGCGGCAACGAAGAGACCCGCTCCCAAGGTTCGTCCCCTGGCATTGTCTCCATCCACGGCTCTGGGAGCGATGCCGATAATGCGAGTGGGACGGAGACTCGGCGACCTTCAACTATCAAGAAGGCAGCACGTGCTGCAGCTTCTGCGGTCAAAGGAGTAGCCTCTGCCGTCAAGGCTACCGGTAAGAAAGCCGCCGGGAAGCTGAAGAAGCGTGGGTCATTCAACTCTGGCACGTCGGAAGCAGACCAAGAGGCATCAAATGACGAAGACGTACCTGCTACAGAGGATGATGACAACGAGCCCAAGGACGAGACCCCTGAGGCAGCTCTTGGTGAGTCGGATCCGACATCGCATCAGAATCAACAACGCCTTATCGCACTTTAGCGCGGTTGAAGAAGAAGTGGTCAGCCCCGGTGTACGCATTCTACAAACCAGACATCAAGATCCTCACCAATGAGAAAGGCCAAATCGTGCACGAGTTCTCTTGCGCGAACCCTGGATGTACACAGAAGATCAAACGTAACACCCAAACCAACGACAAGACATCCACAAAGAACCTCCATCGGCATGCGAAGTCGTGTTGGAAAGATGCGGCGTGGAAGGCTGGAACGGGGGCGGGATCTGCGGACAAGGCTCGGCCCGGTCTGGAGGCGTTCGGTCGCACCGGGAAACTGACTACAGCGTTCAAGCGGGCTGGAAAAGGCAAGGTCACGTATTCAATCGTACAGCATACATCAATGGAAACCAGGTACGCACTCACATGAATCAGTTCATGCTCAAGCGTTGAAGTGTGGCATAGAATCGAGATTGTGCGCTGGTGTGCAGAGAACAAGCGGCCGTTCCGTATCGTCAGCGACCGAGCGTTCCAGTGCTTGATGAAGACGGGCCGCCCGGAGTACAAGATCCCGTCTCCTTCCACTGTCTCACGCGACATCCGTCATGTGTTCGCGAAGTGCCGGCAGCGCATCGGCCGGATGCTTCAGGTATGTGATAGCAGTTCCGCATTCATGGCAGGGTACCGTACTGACGCGGGATGAATACACATGATAGGAATATGAAGGCGAACTAAACTTCACCTTTGACGCGTGGACATCGCCTAACCATAGGCCGTTCATCGCGTTTGCCGTCCACTTGCACCACCGCGGGGCTCCGTTGAGCATGATACTGGATGTCATCGAGGTTGCGGAGTCGCACTCCGGTTTCGTCATGGCAGCTGTGTTTGACGCCATGTTGAAGGACTTCGGTATCCAAGATAAGGTTAGTAGTGCATCTCCATAGATACGTGCTTGTGTTTGCTTACCAAACATTTGTAGATCCTCGCGGTGACAGGCGACAGCGCGGCCGCTAATGACACCATGGTCGACGAGTTGTACAAGAGGCTTGACAACTTTGGCGGTCAGTGTAATCGTGCCCGATGCTTCGACCATGTCGTGAACCTATGTGCGCAATCAGTACTCCGTCCTTTCCAGGTAAAGGAGGGCGACAAGGACACAGCGGAGACTGCTGAGGAAACACTAGCACGGCTGCTCGCGGAAATTGACTGGAGTGGTATGGGTTCGGACACCGAGGACGACGAGGGTGACCAAGCGGATGACACACCTGAAGCGGACGACTCAGACGGTCTCTTCGACATCAATGAAGACATGACAGACGATGAGCGCGAGGACTTTGAGGCTGGTATCGCCCCAATCAAGAACGTCTTAACGAAGGTGCGGCGCACTCAGATACAATACAACAACACACCTGATATCTGCCACCACAGATTCGCACCCTGTCCTTCGCAATCATCAATTCCCCCACAATAAACCTCCCTGCGTGGAAGCGGACACTTCGCGAACTCCGTTTGAAGGAGCGCATGATACCGCGGGATGTTCGAACTCGTTGGAATTCGACGTTCTACATGCTAGACTTTGCGGTTGAGTACAAGGCCGCCATTCACCGGATAACTACGGACCTTGATCTTGGCTTGAAGAAGCACAACTTGGACGACGAGGAGTGGGAGATAGTCGAGCAGCTGCGAGACGTTCTGAAGGTACGTGGCAGTTACGCAATCTTACTCTCACGCATCTGCACCCGCAACACAGCTGGTTTGAACTCAAACCAGCCGCAACGCTCATGGTCTCCCACCTCCTCCCGTGCTCTGTCTCGTCCCCCCATTCTCCAGCTTGGCATCCATGACTAACTGCTTCCTCTTGTGCTCGCTCTCGACGTCCCTTGCAACCCAACAACGTTTCTTCTGGCTGTGGTTAAACAACGCCACTCGACTGCCTAAAATCTCATACGGTCGGCCTGATCATCCGTGATCATCTTATCGCGGATGGAAACGACGCCATCCATACTCTGCATGGCCCTGGGACGCGTCGGGACTACAGGTAAGTTGTTTGTACTGTTTTTCATGCGCATATTCCACCTGTTCTGGGCTCCCGCTGTTGTGGTGCTGTCTCGATAATGAGATCCCGCGTCCTACTGCCCTCGCCTCTGTGGCGTGCACTCAACAACACTCTTGTATTCAAGAGTGCTGATGTGTGCCCCACACGCACATGCACCCCGTTCTTGACGCACTCCAGCTGCCAGCGCGCGGTGTGTGTATCTCACACTCCAACTGCCAGCGCTCTCCGCACGCCGGCTCGCTCGACCTGTGTCCCTTGCGCTGCGCGCATGCTCTGCGGTGCCCGACTCCGCTCTTCGGTGCCCGACGCTCTGCGGTGCCCGACGCTCTGGCACTGATGCGCATGCTTGAGTACGTGCTACACACCACCGTGAGCAGATCCGTTTCGATCATGCTGGTGTGGGGCCACACGTCGTGTGGACGCGGACACGGGGACGTGCGTCGTGTGGACGCGGACACGGGGACGCGCGTCGTGTGGACGCGGACACGGGGACGCGCGTCGTGTGGACGCGGACACAGGGACGCGCGTCGTGTGGACGCTGCGACGCGGACGCAGACACGGGGACCGTGACGCGCGTCGTGTGGACGCTGCGACACGGATGCGGACACACAAGTGTAATCTCTTCTTCTCGTCTTCTTGTGCCTACGTCCCACACAGTCACGTTCTAACTTCTCTCGATTTCACAGCTCTTCGAGAATGCTACCACGTTCTTCTCTAGAAAGGGGCATGTCAATCTGCCCATCGTCATTCCGGCCATGGATCACCTCGACGAGAAACTCACGGAGCACGCACTGGATACTGGAAGAATGACTGCCGCTGTTCGCGCTGCGGTTACTCTTGGCAAGAAGACACTTAATCGGTACTATGATCGCACTGATCATACGGAGGTCTACCGGATCGCGATGGGTGCGTATATATGTCCTGGCCTGTATTACATACTTATATGCGCTCGCTGTGATGATCTTCCTCCAGTCCTTCATCCTCAGATGAAGCTCGAGTACTTCAAGACTGCGAAGTGGGAACAGGACTGGATTGATACGGCCGAGAAGATGACTCGGGATGAGTACCTCCGCAGCTATGCGCAGAGGGATATTGAGCACGACGATCGGGCCCCGAAGCCAACGACTGAGCCACGCCGTAAGAAAGACACTGTGAGTGTTCTTTATCACCAGTACTTGACTCCTGTCTTACAGTTTATATGTGGCATGCGCGGCCAATGCGGTGCACAACAGAATCCATTCGCTCAGCTCCCTGCATTCCAACAGAAGCGTCCGGCTGCAGGGGCGAGCGAGATTGATCGCTATCTTGCGGCGTCTACAGAGTACACTGACGATCCACTCAGTTGGTGGTGGAATCGCCGCCGTGAATATCCCCATCTCTCACGCATGGCGCTCTCTTACCTTACAATTCCTGGTATGTGTATATCATGGTATCTCAACCTCTCGCAGCTCGCTTACAGTAAGGATGCTCCACAGCCACTTCAGTCGACATTGAACGCGTTTTCAGCAAAGGGCGGCTGCTCCTTCCACACGTCCGCAACGGTTTGTCTGCCACGTCTATCCGGGCGCTTCTGTGCCTTGATGAGTGGAGCGAGCTCGGACTCGTTCGAGACACCGACGTCTCGGTTGCCCTTCGAGATGATGCATCGGACGATCTGGAGGGTGGTTGGGAGCTCATTGTGTTGCAGCCACGTGCTGGTACTGATACAGTAGAGTAGGACAATGTCGTGTGTGCTGTACTTGCTACCCTTGTCAAACCCTTGACCCTCGAGTACCCTTGTGACCCTCTACAAAACCCTGACCCTTGTATGAGGGTTGTGACCCCCTGAGGGTAGGGGTCAGGGTAAGCATCGGGAGACCCGGGGGTTACCCCTGCTACGCACTACACGCATGTACATACACTCTAAAGTTAGATACACCCATGCCGACCTCCCTGGACGATGTGGCACAATGTTCTAGTGTGTGTGGCCAACTTTGGTAGGTTTAGCGAAAGGCGATCACCGCCCCCAAGATATGTCATGAAAAAATGACATAGAGATCACCATACGCTGGTGTACTCGTTCACAGATGGAGGGTACCAGATCAGCCCCTTATCGTCTTTGGCTAATGGCTCTGGATAAAACAGGGAGTGCTCGCACCTGCCAATGCATGGCAAACATACATACTGTTGTTGGTGTAGCAGAGAAGCACACATCTGTCCCTCATAATATTCAGGCGTTCCTAGTATGAGACAACAACTTTAGGATATTTTAAATCACTGTTAGGACGAAGTCGCCCAGTTTCACGAAGTTCTCTATGGAAATGCGTCCACTGTTGCATATGTCTTTATTTCACAACATATGCATTGGTGATGACTCCATGCAGTATTTTATAATAGAAGCATTTGGAACATGTTCACATGGAAGGTATGTACATTATGCAGCAAACATGATGTTGAACGGATTCGAACCGGTGGAGATATGCAATTGGGGCACACACAGTGCTTTGCCATGAAGTCGTCTGGCTTCACATCCTGTTCCCTCTCTCAACCACAACAATGTGCCATATCTCACCACAACCTGTTCCGATCACCGAGGTTTTTTCGGCATTGGAACGCAGCGGCATACGGTGTCCATTATCTGAGGTTACACACTTCCCTTTGTACTCACACGCTGCGCTATACTATGTTTCATGGGTTTAGAACAAATGTCACAAAATGAACGATATGTGCCATTGACGATATCTCTTTCATTCAGCCAGTCATTCGAGTACGTGATTGCTGGTTTGACATACAATTGAACGCATACCAATTGTTGCATATGTATATTGCCCATCTGTAGGAAGGAAAGCCGTTACACCACATGAGAAAACATTTGTGGGAGGTAAGAGAGTGCTTGAGAAGCTCACAGTCGCTCTCACAGCAACATCGAACCTTTGCGTACGATACTGTTCCGCAGTTGACGCGACGGAATTTATACACTGACAATATTCGCAATAGATTACCTCTGTGCTCCATTCGTACGCGTTGAATGTGCACTCCCTTCGTACGTGTTGAACATTCGAGAGGGCACAACACTTTCAGCGTGCAGACTGAGTGCCGAGATGTCCAATGCCGAGCGTGTCATGGACACTTCCGGTGACAGTTTGGACTACCGCACTCGAACACCGATCAGCATTCCTCAATGCCGGAGCAAACATCCGTTACCGGTGTGCAACATATTGTCTAATCGATCGCAATCGTGACTATTGTCGTTCAGGATGCAACAGATAGAAGACAGCTCGTGAAACATCCTCAGAACATCTTCATCGTGATCCTTACCATCATGTCGAGCAACAACAACAGTCGACCGGGGAGTGATCTCCACATCCTCATTCTTCACACCATGCAAGAGGCATTGGCCACGCGTTTGCGATACACTGCAAGTGATAAAATCCACCCCTTTCGCGAGATTGGGTGTCCTGGTGGGCTGCAACACCAATTATTTGCTGCTGTTCTTCAAGCCGCCGATCGCATTCATGCCGCATGCAGCTGCCAATGTAAGAGTCCTCTTATTTTTACACGCGCATACCCGCGACTGAGGTTCCGTTAGATAACGTGGACTGGAAGCTAGAGGAGTACATGAAGATGACTCCGAAGACCCGCGGTGTAGCGACTGAGCAGCAGAAAGACCGGCTGAAAGATGCATTTCCGGTAGAGCCGCCGGGAGAGTCCGGTATTCCACCGGCAATCAATGTCCCAGCTACCATCGCCGATTCTGACGGTGTCATTCTCGCATGGATTCTTCCCGACCTCCTCCCAGTGGATATACAGGTTTGTAACATCGAGATGTATGTTATAACTTGTTAATAAACATTCATCCAAGACAGAGCTATGGCGGTCAACAGACGGCCTTGCTCCAATTCTAGACAAGCCGTCACCGAACACCGATTCATGGCGCCTCTGGAAGGAGAACTTCAAGCACGACAAACACACACTCTGTGGTCTTCTCAGTATCGCACCGCAGATGGTTCCTCAAGGAGTACGCACTTTAATACAGTCACTTTGTTATCACTAAAAATATTCTGCAGGGACGAAACGGTCCACAACCCTCCAAGGGCTTCGCCGAGCGCGAAGTGCAGGAATGGCTGGAACGCATTACCGAAGTCGGTGCTATCCTCGACGCGGTGATGCAAATCGTTGCTCCAACACAGTACCGGCAAATCATGGAGTTTCTGAATGAACACATCGCCCCACACATTCCTTGGCCGGTGACCGGTATTGCGCTGCAGATCATATGGAACCGGAAGACCACATATCACCGTGACCAGAACAGTTTCCACCTGTGGTACGACCTCCTGGTCACCGTCGGCAACTATGGTGACCAGGCATATCTTGGACTGCGCAGCCTTGGTTACTCAGTCCCATACTCACCTGGTACTGTTGCCATCATCCTGGCTAAATACGTCGAACACGGAGTACCGGAAGTGGAGGAGACTCGGGTCGCGATTTCCTGGTACAATCGCCGGGAGATGGTCAGGGTATGGGGTGGGGAGGACATGTCGACGACTGCCGAATCAGACATTCAGTCGCTAATGCGTTCGGTAATGGACGCTGTTATCAGTCGTGGACTTTGAAAAAGATGTCACAAGGTGGAACTCATCGTCAAATACACGTTACAGCGCAAATATATGCAGATATTACAATAAAACAATCGTCACTGCTTGGTCTTCGTCCGCTTCCGAACTTGGCTACCTTCACCTGCCGTCCCGGACCTCTGACGCGTTGTCCGCTGCGTCTGCTCTCTATCATTACCGGACGAAGTACCGGGCGCCTGTGCGGCTGCACCAACTGCTCCGGTTGGCGGAGTGGACGTAATCTTGACACCCGCCGCGAGCCCGGCGGCAGTGATCTGGACTGCACGGGTGGACCGCCGCTAGATAAGTCACGTTAGCGCACTGGTTATGCCAAGTGACTGTGAACTATACCGGCGGTTGTTGAAGGTGCTTTGCAGTTTCCTTCGGCGCAGCCCCCGCGACCTTCATGCCAGTGGTTCCCTCGGTTTCGTCAGCTGTTCCATTGCCGGGCAATGTCAGGAGGATGGTCCAGCACCTAGATGGATTAGCGGTGCTGGTTATAAGCCATGAGACATTGTAGCCCTTATTACCGAAGCACTCACCGTTGTCCGCAGCTTTTCCCTTCTTCTTCACCGGGCGTGGCATTGGACCGGTCCGTTTCGGCTTCCACCCAGCTTCGAGCGTCAGCTCCATCATATCGCAGAGGACATTCATGCGCTCGGGAAGGATCCTTTGAGGAGATTACTTGCGCCGCAACGCAATAGCGTCAAGGCGCTCTGCCCGAAATCATCTCCACTGTCGAATTCCGGCGGAGGGGACTCCTCTCGGAAGTCATTTGCTTGACGCGAGTCTCGGGAAGGAGTCCAAACACCAAGCAGATCCTTTGCACTGAGACGCGGTCAAGATCCTCGCGGACCGATTCATCGCCGATCCAGTCGAGCAGTCGGACCATCTCTTGTGCGTCGTTGTAGAGATCATGGCCAACAAACCCGTGGACGTTAGCCCATGTTGCCCACGGAGCGGCTGGAATGGGTGGAATGTCCACCTTCGTCTCGAGCTATGATAGTGATATTATTATTATGTCTTCGCACTGAAGTCGCCCACTCACCGCCTTGGCTACACGGGTCAGGAGGTTCTGGTACTGCGTCTCGGCGCACAAGCTCTCGAGGAACGGGACGACCCCGCCGGGTTTGACACCGTACGTGCCGGACGCACCGCCGGAAGTACGTTGTTCGACGCACAACCGGCGAACGGAGGCCTGACGGCGGTGGTGTCCTGACTTGACGTACCCTGGGCCGTCATAGTCTTCCGACGCACCAGTGGGTGTCTCGTCAATACCGAGCGACTTCCGAACCTCATCACCGTCGCCATCCTCATCTTCTTCTTCGTTCTCCTGATCCTCCTTGTCGCTCGCGGTGTTGTCGTCGGAGTCGTCGTGGCCACCATCACCGGATCGGAGCTCGTCGAACTCATCCTCTTCCCGGTCCTCCTTATCAGCCTCCTCTTCGAAGAATTTGTCTTCGTCGTCCTCGTCAGAAACAGTTGCCCTTCCTTTTCCACTTCTGCCACGCTTCGCCATCTGCCCTTCTTGCGACGCGTAGGCTTACCGGTTTCGGTAATGTTGGTGGGTGCGTTCTCGGTGACGTCATCACAAAGGAGGGCTCGTATTGACCCGGATATGATCGGCAGTGGGCTTATACAGACCGCGCAAGAGGTGGAAGCGCCCTTCCGGAACTTGAAACACCTTCCCCGGCTCAGGCTCGGTGAAGTCTTCCGGTACCGGTAATGATGCCTCAGTCCTCAGGATGTGCGTAATCTGTTACGTCTGAGGGCTTATTCCAGCTGGAATACGACCTAGGCACCTTGTGGTTATGGTGGCGATGCTCAGAGCGCTTGCGTGCTGTCGAGCGAGTGCGAGCGACAACGAGTGAGATTGCGCGTAGTTAGGTAGACGTAGTAGTACAAGAGGAGATTCAAGTCTGGGGAGAGGGCGCTCAGAGGCGTCGTCCTTATATACATGTGGAGAGTGGGGGAGTCATATTAACTGCGAGTCACGACGAGTCCGTATGAGATGTCTCAAGTCACCCATGACCTACGATGACTAGGGGCGTTCGACGAGTCATGGTGTAGCAGCGTGAATCGGGATGAGTCCGTACGAGTCGGAGATATTTAGTAGGTGTTTAGAGAGTGTACATATCGGGGGAGTGGGGTTATGCATAGAAATTAAATGGGGTAACGCACTGGCGTCCTCAATCGTAACATCAGCTCCCTCTCCCGGAGAGGGTCGTCCCGACCTCCTACGTGGTGGTCGACGTTGTCGCGTCCGCGGGGGCGTGCCCGATGCCGACAGCCGTGAGGTCCGAGGCGATCTGAATCGACACCCGATCGACGTACTCCTGGATCGCGAGGTGAGGACCCTCGTAGTTCCGGAGTATGGTGATGGTGGGTTGGTCGAACTTCTCGCGGTAGGCGTTCCACCGTTGGGTGTCGACGATCCGGTTCTCGATGACTTCGTCGCACGGGGCGTCGATGTGCTGGGCGATGGCTTCAGCAACTAGAAGGTGTAGGTCGTGTCGAATCTTCGCGTGCACTTGGGGAAGCCGATCTCAAGGTATTCATAGAGACGTGCGGGGGTGAACAGCTCCGGCCAGGAGTCCAGACGCGCGCCGAGGTAGTGGTCGATGCCGACGTGGGCGGTGATGACATACTGACCTGTTCCCGCTTGGACGCGCCACCGAGGCGTGTGCGGAGGGGGGTGAACGAGAACGAGTTCATCGTCATGGAAGTCGATGATTTCCGCCTCAAGCTCGGCGAAGATGTCGTCGAGGGTGTTGTGGTGGCGTGGGCGTGGGGACT